GATCGTTTGCGGCGTCTCGATCGTTAATCCCGAAAAGTGTTGATTTCACAACGTTCGTCGTCTGGAAGAATTGCGGAAAACTCCCCGTATGGTGGTACATGTTGCCACCATTGGTAGTGCAGGTCGGCCAGTCATGTCTGTGATTGAACAAGGCGCAAACATGGGTTATAGATACGGTGTTGTTCATGAAGCGGCGGTGCGGTACTCCTTCAACAGTTAGTCGACTAATTCACCCCCCCCCCCCCCCCCCCCCCCCGGAGGCGGGACCGGAGCTAGCGTGTGTTCCCTTGCCGGAGCTAACAAGGCGGCCGTTGTGATCCCTTCTCTTCCATCCACGTGGGGGCACCACAAAATGGACATGATACACATCCATTGCTGGGGGTGTGTGACCGCTGTATGTGTGTTGTCACCCGGCTGCTTTATACATGCCCGGCAAGAATGAATCAACATGACATGCCAACTTGTATTGTGCCATGTTCGGACACGATGTTGTCACGATTGAAGGGGCATTGAGCACTGCGTCGACTACGATGTTGGAGAATTGCATTGAGGGCACAACCGCTATTGTATATGATTAGCTTAAATGCAACACTTTGCATAATGCTTCATCTATTATCTTACAGTGGGATTGGTAGGTGCATTATTTATGCTTGCAATTGATGGTCGTTGGGTTGTTCTTCACCATTCAGTTGACGACGTGTATTGCGTGTATTGCGTGTATCAGCCTCCTCTTCATCATTCAGTCGACATGAAACGTGTATTGCGTGTATTAGCTTCTCTTCATCATTCAGTCGACGACGTGTATTGCGTGTATTGCGTGTATTAGCTTCCTCTTGGCTATGCAATTGAGGGCGTAGATTGCGAGCATTGAGACGGCAAGAAGAATTAGAAGTACGTTGGTGGGGATGTATGGATCCACAACGGCAAGGTCGAGTGTTTGAAGTCTATAAAGGATGTTCGTGATTAATAAGAATTGTGCATGAAGATACGCCCATTGACCGCCAAAACGCGCACCTGCTGAGTGCTCATTTGGGAGTGTTTGTAATGTGGATCTGCCATCCAAGGGCTCCATATATATACGTATTGTTAAGAAGTCGTGTGATAATGCACAAAAAGGTAGTCTTGGCAAGAAATCTTTATTGTCTATTGCATTGTTGGATAAGGCTTATTGTTGATTGAGCAACGTGATCATCATGCACAAAAACGTGGGTGTGGCAAAGAGAGGTTTATTGACGATTGCATTTGTTGGATAAAGGCTTATTGTTGATTGAGCAATGTGATCCATGCACCAAATGTGGGTGTGGCAAAAGAGAGGTTTATTGACGATTGCATTGTTGGATAAGGCTTATTGTTGATTGAGCAATGTGATCCATGCACCAAATGTGGCTGTGGCAAAAAGAGGTTTATTGACGATTGCATTGTGAGATAAAGGCTTATGGTGATTGAGCAACGTGATCCATGCCAAATGTGGCTGTATAAAGAAGGCTTATTGTTGATTGAGCAACGTGATCATCATGCCGTGGCTGTGGCAAAGGGAGCTTTATTATCGATACAAAACAAAGCGAATTGAGGAACGTGAAACGTGGGTAGAAAGAACGTGGGGATGTGAATGAGGAACGTGAAACGTGGGGATGAGGAACGTGAAATGGTGAATGAGGAACGTGAGAATGGTGAATGAGGAACGTGAAACGTGGGGAATGAGGAAAGTGAGAATGGGGGAATAGGAAAAGGGAGGGAGAGGAGGGATGCATGAATGAAAATGTAACGAAGTAGCCATGTGATTGGTCATTGGAGAGAAGAGAGCTAGTAGTGATTCAACACAAAAGCGATGAGGAACGTGAGAAGAGTAATGGGTGAGAGAGAAGAGGAGGGATGGGCGTGTGAAAAAAGAGTTAGGGAGGCGGCATGATTGGTGAAAAGTGGGTTTAGCCAAATCAGGACTGCTAAGAGTCCAAATGGGGAAACTTACCTCTCGGTTTTAATATATAGATGGGCTCGGCTTGGTCCAGCTTGCCCAGCACCTTGTGTGTGAAAGTTTCGCGTTCAATGTCGCAAACAGCCCAAAAAATATTTTTTGGTCGTCGTCGTCGAAGAGGTCGACCGCCAGATCCAGTTTGGCTGGTGGCGACATTGCGGGAATCTGGGATCGGCAAGCTTGATCGTGAAACTTGCACCCAAGGTGCAGTTGACCAAGCCGAGCACATTGCTCTATTCAAAACCCACGTTTGATTGTAAAGTTCGGAGATACAGGCACCTTGATGTTTGTAAGCGTGATGCTATATGAGAAGTGGTCTTTGTTCATTGCCAAGTAGCTAGATCTTGGAGAGCAAAAGATGCAGAAGGACCTCTTTGGGTAACTCAGCTAAAAAGTCAGGACTTCAGGGACAATGCATGAAAGGTACGCAACCCTCACTTCGATGTCATACATTGGCAGCTAATAGCTACTTTTGTGCATTCCCAACCTTTGTGCATTCTATTGTAGGTGGACGATTCTCCTGCTCCAGACGTTCATTTCCATGATTAAAGTAGGTTGATCCGAGCTGATTTGGTTGAGTTACGCTCGCACAAGATTACATCGGTTGAGCTACATCGAGAGAGCGTGCTTTATGTCCAGAGTGATGTGATCTCTCTTTGACCGCAGCTCAGTCAAATCAGCTCGGATCAACCTACTTTAATCATGGAAATGAATGTCTAGAGCAGGGGCATCGTTCCCATGCAGTGGATCTCGCAACAATGATGATTGGATAAAAGTGGCCGTGCTTCGCCAATACATACTATTCCTAGATGATCCATAAAGTAATTATACGTTGACCCTTCCATTCATGCAAATGCAGCTGTGTTACACAACACGACCCTCTGCATCTTTTGCTCTGCCAAGGTCCACCTACTTGACAGTGAACAAAGACCATCGTCATATAGCATCACTTACAAACACAAAGAAAGTTGCCTGTATCTCCAAACTTTACAATGAAACGTGGGGTTTTTATTAGAGCAATGGGCTCGGCTTGGCCAACAGCACCTTGTGTGAAAGTTTCACGTTCAATGTGCGCAGCTTAGCCCAAAAAATATTTTTTGGTCGTCGTCGAAAAGAGGTTGAGCCATGTCTTCCGCGAATTCAATCAAATCGCCTGATAAGGAAACGAGCAATCTGAGTACACCACCTATATCTTATGCGAGAGCTGCTCGCGTTCAATCTGCTACCAATTCGAATCTTTGACCAGCAGCAGAAATGCGCCGGCCAAAACCTTTATTCAATGTGTGGAAAGTTGGTGGATCCCCTGCTTCGTGCCCGAGTTTGTTTTTTGACTTCACTTCTCATGAAAAACCGTTCAACACTTCTTCGTCACATAAGTGAAAGCTATCCCGATAACTGTGGTGCACGCCTGCACTCAGATCATTCACGCCGTATTGTTGAGCTATTCATTGATGATTCATCCTTGTACGAAAAAGCCTGCAAAAATGGTCTTCACTTCTCTGATGGTCCTCGTATCTTACCCACTCGGCCTTTATCGGAAAACGCTCACATCATCAACATTCGTCTCAGCAACCTGCCATTCACATCTAGGGAAAAACTAGCAGATGGTATTCGACAAGCACTCGCACCCTTTGGTAAGATTCTAGATCATGGTATTCTTCGTGACCAGGACTCCCACTTGTTTATGGGACATGGTTACGCAACATTAAACGTTTCAGCCTCACTCGATTTCCTCCCACTCACACACACGATTGCTTGGCCCAACTCCGCCGACTTCTTTTATGCAACATGGGCTGAAATGCCATTACATTGTCTACACTGTCATCGTTCCGATTACTCTATTTCATCCATGTCCTAGTCATCCAAGTCGCAATCGTCTTTGCTGGTCATGTAGTCAACCAACCCAGGCCATCGTGCAGCAAAATGTTCTTATCATCGCACCCCAACGCCAACCAACAACAAAGAACCACACGACTGCCACCATCGCCTCCATCGCCCACACTTTCTTCTGCCCCAGCCACGACTCTGATGTTTCAATGCATTCTGATGACCTTTCCAATCGTGAAGCTCACAACGACCAGCTTATTGTCGACTTTATCCCACCTCAGCTCAATACTGACTAACGCCAAACCTATCACTGGTCGCCAACGCAGACTACTTAACCGCCTGTTCCCTATTTCCGACGAAGCAAGAACCATTACTGAAACACTGACCAGCGTATCTTATGACAGACTTTATGCTACACTTCGCCACAAGGGGGAAAGCGTTCCCCTTTTCGTTCTCTTTTGCATCGGAAAGTGTCTCTTCTTCGAGTCACAATGATCCGTTTGATCTATTTTCTCTTCTCAGTTGGTCTTCTTTACTTTCACATTGCTGTATCATCTTTTGGGGTATCACTCCTCGACATACTCCCAATAAAAATCGAGGCAAATCAAGCCTCCCTATAACGAAAGAGGTTGAGCCCCGGATCCAGTTTGGCTGGTGGCGACATTGCGAAATCTGGGATTGGCAAGCGATCGTGAAACTGGCACCCAAGGTGCTGTTGGCCAAGCCGAGCCCATTGCTCTATTCAAAACCCCACGTTTCACATTGTAAAGTTTGGAGATACAGGCGTCTTTATGTTTTTACTATGCTGTAAGCGTAGTGATGCTATAAAAGTGGTCTTCGTTCAATGTCAAGTCGTGGGACATGTAGCAGAACAAAAGACGCAGAGGGACCTCTTTGTGTAAGTCAGCTACTTTGCATGACTAGAAGGATGGAAGGATGATACTGTATACTATTGACAATATCCCATACATTGCGAGCTAACAGCCATTTCCTCACGATCGGCAATGTTGCCCATTCTATGACAGTGGAACGATGCTCCTGCTTCAGACATTCATTTCCATGATTGGATTATGTTGATCCGAGTTGATTTGGCTGAGCTACGCTCATACAAAGGTTACTTCAGTTGAGCAACATAGAGCATGGTAGTTAGATGTGTGGATTGATGTAATCCCTCTTTTTTGGCTGTATCTCGGTCAAATAAACTCGGATCAACATAATGATCCGTCTGTGAATGGAATGTCTGAAACGGGCATCCACTGTCATAGAATGGGCAACGTGCCGATTATTGAAGGAGAAATGACTGATAGCGTGCAATATATAGACTATTGTGGATAGTCATAAAGTATAATCCATCAACCCTTCCAGTCATGCAGGATAGCTGTGTTACCCAAAGAGGTCCTTCTGCATCTTTGGCTCTGCCAGGGTCCACCTACTTGATAATGAACAAAGACAACTTCTCATATAGCATCACGCTTACAAACATAAAGGTGCCTGTATCTCCAAACTTTACAATGAAATGTGGGGGTTTTGAATAGAGCAATGTGCTCGGCTTGGCCAACTGCACCTTGTGTGAAAGTTTCACGTTCAATGTCGCAACTAGCCCAAAAAATATTTTTTGGTCGTCGTCGTCGAAGAGGTCGACCCCCAGATCCAGTTTGGCTGGTAGCGACATTGCGAAATCTGGGATTGGCCACGATGGACTTCATAGTTTGACACAAGATCGCTTTCACCCCGCCGAGCAACATGGTTCTATTAAAGACCCCGCGTTTCATTGTAAGGTTTAGAGATACAGGCACCTTTATGTTTTACATATGCTGTAAGCGTGATGCTATATGAAAAGAGGTCTTTGTTCATTGTCAATCGTCCTCACTCAATGCTAGAGCTATGGCCTACAGGCGTGCAGGGACATGTTTGTGTAACTGAGCTAGACTTGAAGGGTCGATCCTATTGGTGGAGATATGCATGATTGATCCTTGCCCTGCCTCCCTATAGTAAGGTCCGCCCATGATGGCCGTATCGAATGATTCTTTCTTATATAAGGATGCATGAGATAGTGTTAGCTGAGATCTGTCATAGATACGTAAGCATGGCTTGTTAATGTGCTTGTGGAATATCGTATAACAGCTCATTCTTTCTTGGAGGATGTAATGCATTAAGTTCACAATGAATACCAAGCTCTGTAACAAGCAAATGTTGGGCATCATCACTCTCAAATTAGTTATCTTTGCAATACAATCGTTAGAGGTTCGCCACTGCCTTTCGTATACTATCAGCATGTGTGCTAGAAAGCTTTAGCGAAGTCATAAAATGTTGTGGCAAAAGAACAAAAGCATCGCGATACGACGATGTCAATGATCCAACCTCGCTTTCCGACCTTCTATCTCTACTCCCTCTTCAAACCACAAACCAGCCAAGTGATCCACATCTTGCTCATATCAGATACCCCAAATATCATGTTCAATCCAATTTTCATTCAATGACAAAGTTGAAGATAGTATATAGTAGTGTGGGCGTCTATCAAGTAAATCTGGTAAAGGAACAGCATTGCAAATTGGAAAAGACACGGACGAATCACATAGAGGCCACAGAGATAATGGTGTCATTGCATTCTTGGTTGCTGCCGTCATAAACATCCTTTGACCATGATCCCAAATCCGTTGCTGCGTAGTTTGACTTGAGTATCCCAATGCCATCCATCCATAGCTGTACGACACCATTCGTCAAAGGTATAAGCCCTTTGTCAACTCCATCAAATCCATCATCATCCTTAGCCGTATCCACGGATCCTTCCTGCTGACGACGCGTCAAGTAACCAAAGCAACATCCCATGATTCACCATCACTTCACTTGATTGCATTCCTCCATCCATAACCATTGCAAATCCAATACGTTGGTTGAAAAGATCCATGTGATCGCTGCACGCTTCCTTCTCCATCTACCTGTGGGTCTATCTCTTTCTTGGCCAATTTCCATCCTTGCTCAACCAGGTAAGGAATTGCTTGTATTGCGGCGCACTTGATAGCTGACATGGCATCATCCATTGGTATCCGTATGTATCAAAGCAAGTTGCTGCACGTAAATGAAAATGCTTCTATACAGTGGCTATGTGCTGTTCATGTCAAAAAGGCTGCAAGACAGTGCTGCATGCAAAGAACGCTGTTCGAGACAATGAAATAAAGATCTTCATGATAGCAGCTGTTGCTGTAACGTTTGGTCGTGGGCAGTGGAGTGTGGAAAAGCGTGTGTCGTAGTAGAGTGACAAGGTTGTGAACGCTCTTTGACACAATGGAGTAAAGACCTTGCTAGTGGCAGCTGCTGTTACGATTGGTTGTGGCAGAGAAGGGCGCAAGAGACTCGTGTGTTGTAATAGAGTGACAAGAATGCTGTGTACACGCCATGGATTTGTCATTCAGTCAAAGGCTTTTGGATCAAGAGTGTTGTAGGATTGACATGATGGGTTGAAGCAGGACAATCGTTCGTAGGCGGTAGTTGTGCTTGAATGGGGCAACAGTTGAGAACGGGAGGAAGAGGGAAGAAGCGGTGAGTGGAAGAAGTGGAAAATTAAGTGAGTTGAACTGATGTTGAATGGTACTTCTTTGCTTGTGTGTTGTTCATTCAAATCCTATTGGATCAAGAAAGTTGGAGGATGGACATGATGAGCTGGAGCAGAACAATCGTTCATATGCATTGGATTGGGCAACAAAGGTGAATGGGAGGAATGGGCTGCTAGCTGGCAGTTTACAAATAACGTTGCAAAATGATCTTTGTGAAATTGGATGAACTTCTGTGTTTGAGCGTAACTCGACCAAATCCCCTCGGATCATGAAAGTTGAATGATGGCGACGATGGGTTGGAGCAGGTGAGTCGTTCACATGCTGTGGGATGCTCAACAGCTTCAAATGGGAGAAAAGGCTAGCAACAGAGGTTTTCAACGTGCGTTTTTTATTGAGGTACGACATCTTGAAACCGCTTTCAGGTACGAGATTGATTGAATGATCACCATGATGCACGTTTGGGTATACATTAGTGCCATGAACAAAGACCCGCATGCTGTGCTCTGCACTTTCATTGTCAAGAAGCATCATAAACTAACCAATCCTTCCAAACGAGACATCAAAACATAAGCTATAATGGGTATTTCAGCGAAAGCGATGGCGATAACAGTCAAGACTTTTCAGCTTAGAACAAACTTGTAACGTTTTTCATTGAATGCGTTTAAACATCTATTTACTCATTTTGCTAGATCCTTCTCTATCCTTATTGATCCTTGATCTCACCACAGTCGACAATCTCAATCTTGCCAGTAGGACGACCAGTTGGCGATCCATATTGTTCCAAAAGATCCAACACTTCGTTGCCCTCAGAGATTTGACCAAAGACAGTGTGGTTACCATCCAACCAAGGGGTCTTGTCAAAAGTGATGAAGAATTGGGAGCCATTGGTGTTCTGCAAGTAATACGTTGGTCACTCTTGTTATCCCCAGCATATATATTTTATCCTATACTTACAGGACCAGCATTAGCCATGGAGAGGACACCCTTGCCAGTGTGCTTCAAAGTGAAGTTCTCGCTAAACAAGAAATGACAAAGGTTAATGACCTTGATAATAGGTAACGACTTGATGAAACTTACTCGTTGAAGGTACGACCATAGATGGATTCACCACCACGACCATCACCAAGGGTGAAATCTGATCACATGCATCATCAACAAAACAATGAAATCAAACCTGACTTTTTGTTCAATTACATACCACCACCTTGAGCCATAAAACCAGGAATGATACGATGGCTACGATAGAAAGAATGAATGAATCAACTGACACAAGCGCGCGTGTGTTTGGATCACATACAAGTAGCTGTTCTTGAAATGGAGAGGCTTGCCGGCTTGACCAACACCCTTCTCACCAGTGCACAAAGCACGGAAGTTCTCGGCAGTCTTGGGGACAGTGTCGTTGAAAAGCTTTTTGGCGGCAATGAGCAAAAACAGAGAGAGAGAAAATGTGTGTGTCAATGAACGCGTAAAATGACAATGGGGGGTTAACCACTATTGAAGCAATTCGAGTACCTTGAAGACCATACGGCCACTTGGTTTGCCGTTGACGGCGACATCGAAAAAGACCTTTGGGAGATTCTTGGAAGCCATGTTGGGTTGTGGGAAAAGATATAAACACACACGAGCTAGCAACAGTCCCCCGAGATTGACAGCAGCGGGGAATTCTTGACAATGTGACACGAGATGGATGATGGCATTAGTGAAAATGAAAATAGCTTGTATTTGTTGATGAAGATTGAAGGCTATGTGGAATGAATGGGAAGGAAAATAATCAATGGAGGAGCAAGTCTATACAAGATGGCAGAAAAAAACGAGAGAGAGATGATTATTGATCCTGCTTGTACATATGGAATTGATTGGCCATCGTAGACACAGGTGATGGATACAATGCTGCCGCTGCTGCCGCTGCCGCTGCACTACCATCTTGTTGGATAGTGACGCTTTGCTGAAACCTATATACATGTTAATGACATTTGGAGCAAGAGCTCATTGACATTGCATGCTTACTTGCGCAGCTCTTCATTTTCTTGCATTAATCTTTCCATTTCTGCTAGAATGGACATTTGAGTCCTTTTCAGGTGCTGAATGTGCTGTACCGCTATAGGAAAAAAATAGAAAAAGTTAGGAGATGGTATCCTTGTATCCACATCTACTGCTTACTTCGATGCAATAAAGTCACCTTGCTCATCTTTTTGTTGAGACAAGCAGGCAGCTGGTTCCTTAGCTCCTCGAACCCATCCTTGATTTGTGCACGCCGTTTCTGCTCGGATTGAATGTGGATTTGCCTCCTAATCTCCAAAGAAGAGATACTACAGTAGCAGCAGAACATAAACACTACATTTAAAACATATACGGATGGTTATAATGGCCTTTTTTTTACCTCTTTGATCGACGACGCTGCTTTTTTTCAGCGTCATCATCTTTGGAAAAGAGATACGCGATCTCTTCAGCTGGTGTTGGCATGGGAGATGGCCACATGTCTATAGTTTCGAAGCATGTCAGTGGAAGAGCCCTGCTTGCAGGATCCATTTTCCCATAATGTGATCATTTACCTGAATTATTACTGTTTGTACTTTCTTTCACGGCGTCCATTTTTGATTAACACTTGTGATTGCAGACGACGCACTCACACGGTATACAGCGATACTGGATTTGAATTAAAAGAGAATAAGGCAGATAATGATCTCTGGAGACTTGTATGTTATATAGTAAAAGTACCAGAAGGGGAATGGGGGCAAAAGGGAGAAGGTGGATGTCAAACAACAAAAGATAGGAGATGTACACCTTCTATTTCAGCAAAAAGAGCTTTAAACGACTAATGGTGATATCCATTGCAGAAGGAATCGATACTACAGATACCTCGTAAAAGCAAACTCGCTTTCACTATCGAAGAAATTACGTATGATGTTATACGTAAGTAAGCGTGTGACGAGGTAGGGATGTTTCACAATCATGAAAGGTGCTCCCTCTTAGGGGTAAAGGAGAAAGATAAAAGTCCATTTGTACACCGCTTTTGCACTCATCATTAGCAGGACCCTGCAAGTGAGAAGTTCTCATTGATCAGCAGGCCCTGTTCTCTCACACTCCATGATGAAAAACCAACAATTCTATACATGTATTTTGTGCAACAGAAGAAACACATGAAATATAAAAGAAATCTAGTATACACAATTGCCTTTGCCTCCTTCTCCTCCTCATGATTTCCATAAGCCACGGATCTTGTGATGCACAGGATATCCAAAAGTCTCCATTTCTTCTAATGCCATATGGAACCGGGGATCCCGAGCAGCCGCTAATTTGTGTGCAAGATTCTCATAACATTCTTGTGGTGGGACAACGCCATAGCCCTTCATTTCCTCAAGATACGAAAAGGCGCCTTCATAATCCTTTTGTGTACATTCGAGAGCGATCATCTTGACATAGGTTTGGATATCTGGTGTGACACCGGCTTTTTTCATCTCCTCAATGACAACATTGCCCATACCCTTGGTACGAGTTCTCACGCATGCTTCAAGAACGTTGTTGTATGTATCAATATCAGGAGAGACACCAAGATGCTTGGCTTCACGGTATGTAGCAACGGTACGTTCAAGATCAGCTGCTTCGGCACAGAGTCCCAAGATGGCATTGAAAGCAGTGACATCCACCTTACGTCCTTCCTTGCGTAACTCCTCAAGTACATAGTATGCATTATCAATAGCACGCACACCACCTGATCTGAGACGTTCCTGAATCAAAAGAGTCGTCCGTGAAGTTGGTGTAACACCTGAGACACGCATGATATCCAGCACGTTGAATGCACTCTTGAGATCCTTCTTTTGAACAAATGCTTCCATCAAGGGTGTGAAGTAGTGTTCCTTGTAGGGGTATCCACTCGTAGATAGTTGTCGAATCACCTTGGTAGCCAACTTTGCATCGCCTGCACGAGCAGCCACGCCAAGGACGTGCAAACAAGTGCCTTCATCAGGTCGCATATTAAGAGTTGTCACAGACTTGTCCCAGCAATAGGCCACCATCTCGTACTATATAACGTATACTATAAGTATATATACCTCTCCTTCCTTCAATGTTACCACCTCCTTACCTTGTTATTCCATGAAGTTGCACGCATCACATCGAGGTATATCCTAGGGTTGCTTTCAACAGCCACACCTGATGCCTCTGCCTCCTGCAACAATTTGAAAGCCATTTCAGGATCCTGCCACCTCAAACATGCACCAATAAGAATGACATAGCAAGCTTCATTGGGCGCAACACCGGATTGCTTCATCGTCTCGAGTAAATCCACAGCATGTTCCAATTGCTGATCATTGCATAATCCTTGCATCCAATGTGCATACGTGGTGACAGTAGGCTCGACATTCTCTTGCTTCATAGCATCAATGATCTTGCTCTGGTGTTCAGTAGCACCACGTGCAGCAAATCCTTCCATGAGCGTGTTGTAGCTGTCGAGAGCAGGCTTAATTCCATCCGCTTGCATCTGTTTGAGCGTCTTCAACAAGCCCTGTGTATCGCGTGCTCGTGCATGGGCCACCAAGAGTGCATTGTACGTGTTGAGATCGAACTTGAGATTGGCTGCCTTGATTTCCTTGGTGATCGCAAGCACTTGTTTCAACAATCGCTGTCCATTCATATTGATCCGCAAGCGAGTAGCAAGGCGCTGGTTGTAAGCAGCCAATGGTGCTGTCGGATGGTTGTACGTGATAATATTGGGTGCTGCATTGCCAGTGTCGGCTCCAAGACCAGTACCAGTCGATGTTGCATTGAAGCCTATACACCCAGAGTTGAGCCTATATATACATACACCAAAGCCATCGCATGGAGCGAATACTTACGACGAGGCTGAACCAATGCCGTACGAGGAAGAGTGCGAGTAAGCCTGGTGAATCGAAACATGACAGCCAGCGGGAATTGGAAGGAACAACAAACTCGGACAAAGCTGGGGCCTGGCATTGCTCTACTACAAAGCCACCATTTAGCCAATGATGCGTCGTCAAATTAAACAGTGATTGACAACATTCTTCTGATACCATGACATGGTCCCCCTGCCTTTTTATGAATGAAAAGATTATTCCACCAATTGATTATCCACCTTGTATCCTTCCTTACACCAATGATGATTGAATTACAGAGTTTACCAGTGTGCTTTACGTTAAACGATCAAGCCTTTGACTATGGCAAATCTACATTGGACATTGTGTTGACAAGTGATTCTCGTAAAGTGATCCAGGTGGGTGGTTTCATACTTTTCGATCATAAAACATAGAATGCATTGCATATGAAGTTACCAAAATAAAGTGTATGGAGAAAGATGGGGTATAGTAGTGCGCGCATCATCGGATGAATCGATGATCAAGTAAACCAATGATATGTCCTTTGCATCAAAAGTCCGGAAATGATCGAGGTATATGTTGAACGAAACGGGTGACTCTATCACGATGAATCACGATGACGAGAGAGGGGGCCAGGATGAATGGGATATACGTGAGAGGAAATTATCTCCACAAAAGGCCAAGACAACGGAGTATACAACCCACCCCAAGCAAACGATAGAGGACCAAAGATAAGGAAAATGGCATGTTTTTCGTTATATTGGATCAAAATGAGTGTGGGATAGGTGCTGCACAATGTCTAATGGGGACAAGCCTACCACCCCCCACACAATGGGAAATGACCCGACTGTCGGCTTTCGGAAAGCAATCGGCACGCGTTCCTTTTTTGTAGTGGGCAAGGAGACACCCACCTTATTACCGCGCACATACAGCAACCAAAGAAAGGGATATCAATAAGGGACCAATATCTTATGTAAACCGGTCTCGCAACCACATGACGCAATGATCGTATGATAAATGTTGTGCATGCAAGTCGTGTGTGCTAGTATTTGCGCTGAATTCGCTTGGTGCAACAACCCCATGGTTTCATATTGTGTCCAATTCCTGCCAACCACAGAGCACCGATCATCTGCGTGCTTTCCTGGATCACACACACAATACCATAACACAGAGGGAGAAAGCCTGTATTAAAAATAACACAACTTGAAGCATGGCTGGATATAAAAAGAACGGATAGAGTTCTGGGGATGGGTACACAAAAAGTGAAAGTGAGCCCGCCGAGTTAAAAATTGTGTGTGTACATGTGCATGTGTGTGTGTGTGGCATAATTATAATTCACTCAGAAATGAAACATCATGAAGATCACAGACGCGAGCAAGATGGGGCTGTACAATAACGCGCGTGCATGTGAGTGTGGCGCGCTTACATACTATAATGTACGATTTGGGGGTTATTCTTTCGTTTTGCACATCTTGCAAAATCGGCAGGCAAGCTATGGCGATCCTACATAGGATGCATGTAATGTCATTGGTTGACAACTTTGGTTCGCATCATCTCATCATTCGTTTCCTCGTTTCCTCTCTTTTCGTTGTGATCGTCGGCAAAAAGGCAGCATGTGGTTTCTGCATGTACTCATACACCGACAATCCAAAGCTCATTTTTTTCACCCCACCATCACAATCACACACCGACACGTCTGTCATACTCCTCTTATCTACTTGAAAAGTACATTTCTACCCAAATGAAGCTTATAGGCAGCGGGAGTAAAAAGTCGCCATTCTTCGTTGTTGCTTTTACTTTGTTGTGTTACTTTAAACTCTCCACACCCAGGTTTATGATACAAAGAATGCAACATTTACATGTCTCTTTGTTCCATGGCAACGCTCTTTGTTCCATAGCAACGCTCTTTGTTCCATGGCAACGCCCATTCATCATCAATAACAAGGTGGCACACGTATCAATTTTGCAGAGGTGATAGGGAAAAAGGAAAAAAGGGTTATCAGCACCACCAACCGCGTGAGGATGTGTGAGCTTGCATAATTCAGATGACATGATTAATAATAGCGAAAGAAGGGTACAGTAGTTTTGAGCTTTATTGTAATGATGGGGGTATGGGAAACGGCCCTTTTCAAGTCCTCTCCTTTGTACTGCGCGATCTGACATTGGTTACACGAACGTTGAAGTGGGGGATGATTCTTTCAAATTTCCTTTTAAAATATGGGGGGCATCGGCGGCCCATGTATGGCAATGACATCCCATCGTGTGTCACCCTATTTCGGCAAGTTACCATTTTGTATGTCGACCAACAAGCAAAGGGATTTATTCGATGAGCAAGTGAAAGGAGCAAATTTCTATGTACATACTGATACATGGGGGAAAGGTGATATGTATAATATATGGTAGAGGATACTGTGCATATAAATATAAAGAGGGAGCATGATATTGTGTGTGTGTGCATAATGCGTGTGTATAGTGTGCGTGTGTGTGATTGTGACAATGCGATGAGGAAAATGTTGTGTGTATGTTGTTTGTTGGGTGTGCTATCTTGTTTAGCAACGGGTACCGCAGCCATTTTCAACTCGTAAATGGCGGTTGAGCGCATCCATTCTTGCAAATGATTTGCTACAAGCAGGGCAAGTGAATGGCTTAATACCCCAGTGCAGCTTTTCATGTCGATTACGATCATGTTGGCGGGCAAATCGGCGACCACATTGACCACAAGGGAAAGGTCGCTCCGAAGTGTGTGTACGCATATGCGATGTGAGGTTGTATGCACGTGTAAATGACTTGCCACAGCCTGGATGTTGACATACAAATGATCCTTGGTTACGACGATCGCTACTACTACGACGTACACGAGATGGTGGTGAAGACATATCATTGTTGCCATTGAAACGAGGTGGTTCAGAAACCCGCCGGGGGCGTCTTGATGATGATGATGTAGATGATGGTACAACAGGTGCTGCTAATGCTGTGCTATTGGTATTTGCTGATGTGAATGCCGTGCTGATATGAGTGGGTTGAGGAGAAGATGTAATAGTAGTGGCGGCAGTGGTGGCTGCAACAGCAGCGAAATCTGTAACATTCAAATCATTGAAACAAGGATCTGAGTGCACAGAGGATGCATCAAAATACAAGTCGGGGGAAGAGCCACGGTTGGGTGTCCAGCACAACCAATCTTGTTGAGGAGTCAATGTTTGCAGCTGAGCATTGTGTTGGTCAATGAATTGATCAACCATCCACAAATCAGTGCGTGGAGGTTTAACAGGCGTAGGTTCAGTAATTGAAATACAAGGCTGAATCTCCAAGCTCAAACGATGTTGTTGCTGCGGCTGTTGTTGTGTGGTATCTTGCATTGGGAAATAACCAAGCTCTGGTGCTGGTGCATTGCTTGTGGTCAACAATGGCTCCACAAGAGGAGCTGCAGAAGACATTGGGGAATAGAATGCATCACCATAAGGAGAACCAACAGGGCTTGGGTAAGTTGGCATATGGTCAAGAGAATGATAAGGAGATACGGCGGCGGACATCATAGAGTGCTGATGCTGCTCGCTAAGTGGAGGAGATGATACCATCATGCCATTGGCAGCAAGCCATGCATCTTCTGTAGATGAAGGGTGTAGAGCGATTTGGACAGCTTCTTGGTTCATAATGAAGAAAAATGGAGAAAAGATATAATTGTGATGTTGATGCAAGTACTGAAGCAACGAGAAGGTTTACAAGAAGGACCCATTTTATATGTCTCGGTTGTGAACAGATGACTCGGGTTGAATTGGGGGGCAACAACGATTGCTGTTGGGGGGTTTTTTGGAAGCGAGAGACAGGATACACAGTGCGTGAAAGAGGAGAGGATATTTTTAGCTCAAAGCTGAAGCACTTAGGCGTTACACAGACGTGCTGTCTTTATCCATGTGATGCATCGTGTCCCTCAAACGTCATTCATTTGCTTGAACCTCACACATCCTTCACACTGGGAGACATATTCACACTCGTACACACACAAACATCACATCTAAAAATAACGAATGCGCCCAGCACCATCAAATAAACTTTTCGCTTCCTTCGTTTACCGTTGTCTAATGATCTAATTCATGAACCGGTGCGCTTTTTTTTAGTTGTGATCGCTACACAGCAACATCGCAATACAATAATTGCCCGCCTTTAATCATGCTAGGCGATCCTGCACGACCATAAGCCTCTTTGTATTGCATATTGTCGGGGCGAAATCCTTTTGCAAATGATGCCATTCTGCATCCAAACATCAATTTACCTGATTATGCAATAAACTTTGCCAAAGGGGTCGCGGCTAATGAGGAGAACAATCCCAATCTCTATGTACTAGAAAAGTTGGCACGATATCAGGAGAAGCTATCTTCACCATGCTTAGGTGATGTATGTACACAAATGGGGGTTGTTATCGAGGGTCGCCAAGGTGTAGTACATTTGAATCAAGATGAGCCACTGCAGCCGCATAACAAAAGTTTTGTGGCTCCTACGATGATTCGCAATTGTATAGCGATGTTCTAATTGGATATCACAATATGGGTTAGCATACCTTGTTCAGAAGCGGTGTGATTCAATGTTGTCAATCAATCATCCGCTGAATGCACTGTGTGATGCAAAATTCATTCTCATCCAACAGCCATCGTGAAACAGAAATAGCAAGATCGTGTCCTCTCATCGCAACGGGAATTTTGACTTTGTCAATGTGATGACGATAATGGTAGCGAAGGGTAAATGGACAATCATTATGCAAAACAAAAATGCAACAGCAGCGGGATCGGTACTATATAGGACCGAGTGCTTGCAGATCAGCATACCTCCTCTTTCGTAATAATCCTTGGTGTATCATCTGCTACTTACCCCTTTGGTATTTCCCTCATTGCTCTTCTTTTTGCTTGTATTGCATTCGTGATTACCTTAAACGAGACCACCATAATTAAAGGAACACCCTTACAGAAATAGGAATACAAAACGTCGTATGCATGAACCCTGAGGTAAAAGCATAGAGTCCTTTGCCATCACTCAAATACAAGAAGCGGAGGTCATCATGACCCCAACAGTCCAATGTGCTCGTTCTGATGACCCACCAACGCGTTCATTCATCCTTTTCAAGCCAGCTGGTGACACTGTTGCACAAGCTTAAAGAGTGCATGCACTTCTCTTTTCGTTTATTTGTAATCGAAGATGGTAGTCGACACAAGTCGCATTCAAGCAAGGTGGTATAATTCTGGTTGAGGATCAAAGCCGAATGAAAAGCCATCGTGATTTGCGTATAGTGTCGTTGTTGCAATTATCAACCCCACAAGGATATGCAACATTATCCTTCGTCTTGATGTGCTAGTAGTAATGTTATTTGCTCAGCAGCACAGGGGTTAATCCCGATTACTTTATTGCCTGTGCACTAACGTTCATTTCCACCTTGACATCACCCACGCCCTTTAAAGAGAACCGGGACCTGAACACACGCACACACAAAGAGCTGCCCTGAAAAATGGTTTGCAACAAACACACGAGATCACTTGCACCGACTTTTTGGGAGATACAAAGAGGTGCAACAAATCCTGTTTGTTGTTGTTGTGTGGCTTACCCATGGTCCAAGCTTTTGATGCAACTTGATTGATGGTTGCAGCATGTAGCATGTATACTATCAACCAAACCAAGAAACACGCGCCTAGAGAGTATATAATGCGGAGTGCGTGATGAAGGGCCGTTAGATATATGCTGTATGTGTGTTAAAAATATACATTCATCTGCCAACATTGGTGATACTATGCTCTTCTTTTCCCCGAGAAAAGGATTTGTTGGTTGTAATGCTGCTAGATAGCGTGTGACAAGATAGATGACGAGAAGAAGGTGATCGGATGGGGGTGATATGAAAGTAAGCAATTTCCCCCATGAAGGAGCGTATGTACCAGCATGCCGCGGTAAACAATTCCGCGCAGCTAAAAGGGACAAAGTAAGATTCGCGATCCTGGATCACTCTTATTCTCCCTTATGGTACCCCCAATGCCCATATCTCGATCACTGCATTGTACCTTGTCCTTCCTTTTGATTATCCAGGTTGCGCAAAAACGAAACACTCATGGTGATTTTTCATGCCGATGACTCACTTTTTTGCTATTGGCATCTCTTATCATTAACCACACTACATACAACAATGGCAAAGAACGAATATGGATGTTCAACTTTATTTACTAATACGCATTGCTTGATTGATCCATGCCAAAGGCTATTATCCTACCCCACAATATGATTACGCATTGCAAATCAGAAAAAGGCATCCATAGTACCCACTATGATGCATACGCTTTCGGGATAATATTGCATCTTTCGTTTGTCATTGATTGTTTTTCTCCGTTGTATGAGTCAGCGATTGTACCTTTATTGTCAAAACAAAACGACGGGGAGATGACGGCCGATGTTGTGCTTCTCGCAGTATCGGGGAACGTGTGCTCTGTGTAGCTGAAACTACTTGGCACTTCCCCCCATTGCCATCTACTTTTAAGCCCATAGACGTACCTTTTAACCTGCTGGTACCACTATTCATGCAAAGCGTGTATTCTGTATTGTGAGGACGAGTGTAACGCGGAGCCACTTGAGGTGCTTTAGCCACTTGTTGAGCCCACACACGCATGAGCTATGTCCCAGTTGTAGGTCAGCTACCATAATAAGGGTCTTGGCTTAAGTTAAATGTGGTAGGCTATAGAGGACGCTGCATCATGATCATATTTGATTATGTTTCGTTTTGCTAAATGATGGTTTCAAGGAAGGCGTACACGCGTAATTCTTGCCGATGGTTCATATATCCACTGTTATCATATCATGCGGTTGTATTACGTATATTCTTGGAGTTGGTCAACAAGGGCAGGTGATGCGGCTCGGTCACAGCGATGCATATAGTAAGAGAACCTGGCGGTTGTTATTCGTTAGGATCGTCCCATGTACACAACCACTCATTCAAATGAGCTGAACCCTGTGTATTGATACCTTCCAACCTTTTGACTTTTTTGTCAACGACTTTCTTCTTCGCCTTTTATGGTCAAGGCTAATACACAAAAAGCCTATTGACGTTGAAGGCTTTTAATCTTTACCATCTTGTCAAGCAGCAGTCGTCATCCATACCATAAATGTGGACCTGAAGCTGTATCCATATGCCTTCAATGGTGTAGCCATGAGAAAACCAGTTATGGATTCATGCTGTTTAGTGGAAGCTCTTGCAAGAGATGGTGTAACCTGACGAGTGGTGGATTGTGGTTGAAAGGGGAGATCACCCTTTTTAGTGGATGAAATTTTATCAAAAGCATGATATGATGCCTGTTGGTGAATGATAAACGGTGGTCCAAGCATCACCATTGCTCACTTGACGACTTTATTGCAAATGACGAAGCCGCTTGTATCGTTCATAATGAAGCAAGCCCTCTCCTATATTAAACGCACTTATTAAAAACATGCATGTTGAAGATCTCATTTACAAGCTGCAAGGTTTGTTGTCGTCATCATCCAAAGAGGCGAGCAAAAGAGAGAAAGAAAGTGCCCTGTGGATTACGCCAACCACCACCTTAATTCCCAAGATGGGTGGATGTTGTGTGTGGATCAGCATAACGTTTTACTTTCCTGACTGTAGAAGGGTGAGGCAAAACAAGGTGGGAAAAAACAACGAGGTAAGTTTAGTTTATGATCGTCATTTTAGCACCCGGCTAAAGTGGGTGATTTGATTGCCACCATCATGGTGGGCGTCTATTAAGTCCAAGATCCACGAGCTGCTGCTCTCCGATTATAGGAGTAGCAACAAAGTAGGAATGGCAGAGGACAGCCTGCTTGTTCAGTGGTATGCTGCTAAGGCACTCTGAACAAAGAATTTGATGAACAAAGTTGTGCAATCATCTGATGGGAAATAAAGGATCCAATCATTCATTTCTGATATCGGCTTGTAAACGCATTTGGTTTTTGCCACAGTGTTTTGCGTTTGAATGGCAAGAAGATGGTGGGGGTAACAACCTCGTTTTTATGTTCCGCAATCCAGGTGCAGGTTGCTTAGTATGTTCTTTGACCTCTCAACACAACAACCTTTGCCCTTTTGATGTACATTCCTCTGGGTGATGAGCCATACCCAACCCATTGCGCATTGATCATATCATATCAGTATCTTGAATTTAAGGCATTAGATTCCATTCACTCTTTCTTTCCATCATCTGGTTTTGGAACCAACAACGTCGTGTTTATTCTCTTCTATAGATACGTTCAACCATCGTCATCCATTATGAAATCACTATGCCTAACAACGGCTGCCATTTGAATAGCGATGCAATCCCACATATAAAGAGATAGAATGCTGCTGTAGACTAACAAAGTTATCCCGTGCGAAACCTTTTCTCAGCAATGTTGATAAGAAGCAGGATGGGCAGCTTGCTCGTCTTGTTGAAAACACTGAACCATGCCTGATCAAATCCATCAAACACGCTAATTGGTGCGAGATCCTTGTCCTTGTCATTAGGGTAAACGTCGCGTTGTACTCAAGGAGTGATGTTGTTGCTGTGGCGACACATGCACTGATATGGAATTCCAAGGATGGTGTTGTTTGCTATTGCCTTTGCTCTGTAACATCTTGGATAGGTAAACAATGTATTAGAATACAAATGCCTTCCACCTAGATATTGGTTTACAAACCTTCTTCTGCCTTGCGAGATGTAGCACATCATTCGCTTGCTGAACGTTGCAACCATGGAAACCGATCCTTATGACGACGCTGTTGCTTACAATAGCCCATATCTGTCTCCTTCCATGTTTCAAGTTGACGATGTACAATATGATGGATGTAAGGATATGTTGACGCTGGTGTATGTCAAATTCACATGTGTGCTATTGCGTTTGGGCTTCTGGGAGTTTTGAAGGAGATGTTTGTAGCCATGACCTTGTCCTTGTCTCTAAACGAAATGACAACCATAATCGCGCCCATTCTGTTGACTCGTTATGACGGTTGAATGTTGCAGTTGCACTTGAGGTCAACACGTTGATTGGCAATGCGAAGAAGGAATGCAAATGGTGAAGTGAAAGCAAATGAGAAAGGGGGAGCAAGGAACGAGTGTAGCGAATGCTGCATTGAAGTGGAAATCAATTCAATGTTCCGCACAGCGTTTTCATAGAGATCATTATCATGTTTCATTGTTCCGTTCATAATGGATGGAATGATATGCATACAAAAGAGTCGATTTCGAACAAGTAAAATGGCGTTTTTTCATTGTATCCCATCAACGAAAGACCAAATCCTTCCATGATGTTGCATGTCAAAATCCCTTTGTGGAGTCCATTGAGAGATAACAGCATGTATTGTACTAAGCTACCTGAGCTATTGCGGGACATGAAAAGTGATAGACCCCCAATTTCTATTCAACCAGTGGTGCCAAATGATAGCCTTAGATGGGGGCCGTGGGACACCCACACGCACACTTTGTATAATACATACAATCGGGTGGGATCCCGACACTCACAACAACTGCGAGATTTTTGGATGACTGCTGCTTTACCCCCCTCTCTCGTGCGATGTTGCGCTCCTTTCACACTGGTGCACTCTCTCTCTCTCTCGCACGCACCACGCTCTTGTCTCTCCAATACCACTCGTCACCTTTATATTGAAATTGACGGCGTCTGTCTATATAAAGCTTGGCCGATTCTCACTCCTTCTTCCCTCCCTTTTCTTTCTTTCATTCACCCACTCTCTCAACACCATGGCTTTCCAAACAAGTAGGTGTATCATTCTTTCTGCCTGCTGTGATTTTACTCATTCCTCCGCCCTTTAGCCAATGATGCCGCAGCCACCAAGTGGTCCATGCCTCGTGCAACCAAAAGAAGAATTTGTGAAGAAGACGACGACGACAACAACATGATTGCTTACGAGGTAAGAAAAAAAGAAAACAAATACGGCTATTGCATACATCTTGTGCAGAAATAAAATGTGCAGCCTTATTCACCACCCCCATATTATTTGCAACCAGGGCGTCAAACGTTTGAGCTGTCAGCATCAGCGATCAGTTGATATGGCGACATCGGCTCCACAACAACAGAAGGCACCGCTGCCCTCCATTACATACGCGACACCTGATTATAGACCTCCTCCACGATCGGATGCTCTTTGGTTACAACCTGCACCTTCTACTACTACTACTACCATGATGATGGATGAGGAACTCACTGATGAAGAAGCTCTTTTGACTCCCTTGCCTTCAATGCAACAACAACAACAACAGCAACAACCCAAATACACATCGACTACCCCAACAGTTAATTTGATGGATCATCATCATCATCACCATCATCACCAACATTCGTCATTTTCTCAAGTGCAAGCCTAACAGCGTGCTGGTGTTGTTGTTGTTGATGATGATATCACACGACCACCATCATCAACACACATTTACATCATGCGAACATCCAACCCATATACTACACAACCACGACCACCACCTTTTGCTCTAACTTTCAATGTATCCTTATATCCTGATTTGTAAATACAAGTAAAGAATTTGGTTTTTTTTTCCACTCACATTACCGCCATCAGCATCATCATCATCTTGTCATCCGTCTAATGAGACTCCGCTAAGTGTGCGAGAGAGTGTGTGTGTGTGATGTGTGTTGTTGTTGTGTGTGGTATTGTGTGCCTTACTTTTTTGTGCTTGAAACAGCCAAGAGGCTTCTTTTTCTTTCTTTGTCTTTTTCCACTTTTCTCCCTTTCAACAACTATCCAAGATATACGAAGCGTGTGTTGGCCAAAGAGACCCGAGTCTCTTGTTTATTGATATATGCTGCTCTTAACACATGTACTGCTGCTTTCCCTATTCTTCTTCTCTTTGGCGGCGGTTGTCGCTGGAGACACCGACACGCTGATTCCATTTGACGATGCGAGCATCAAATACTATGGACGATGGCACCGAACGATCAATGAGATTCAAAGCGGTTGGCCGGGAGCTTATTTTAAGACGACAGTGGAGGGTGGTAGTCGCATCAAGTTGCGTTTGAACCGACCAACGAGTGTCTTTGTGCAGGTGGATTATGGTGCTGTACGGCAATTACAAGCAGCGTATCAAGGACAATTACCCATTGAATTGGATATCACGCCACCGCCAGCATCGAATCAAGATGATGATGATGATGAACAACAAGACCATGAGCTTTTGGTAGCAGCATCTGCCAATGCATCCATTCATCTCGAATCCTTGGTGATAAGCAGCCAAGGACGAAGCAACAAGACACATCCACCCGATAAGCAATCACCTTTACTTGTCGAGTTTGTTGGACACGAGTTATCCCTTGGCGTGGGCACATCACAATCTCTCTTTACAAGTTTCCCATGGTTGGTGTCATCGATGGTGAGTGCTGAACATGCTCAAATTGCATACAATCGAGCACGCCTTGAGAATTATACGGGACGAGATCTTGGCATGGAAACACGCTATTTTGATTGGAGTCCGCATGACAGCAAAGCCTGGTGGAATTTTTCATACGCACCAACAGCCATTGTGATCTTGTTAGGACGTAACGACCGCATCAGTGATGATTATGCAGATACGCTCGTCAACTTTTTGAAGCGCATCAGGTCACATTTGCCAGACACATCCATTCTTATCCTCTCAGAGCCATTGGGTGATCTCGTGCGTCAATCACAAGATGCAGTCTATCACTTGAACGACCAAGGAGACCAAAATATCTTTTACATTGATACCACAGGTTGGGTGCAATACGGTGCAACCGCCTTTGTCGATACCGTAAGTATCCATATTTATTATTATCAATAACATGACATCTACTAATGATATCATTTCATCTACTGCTTTAGACACATCTCAATGACGCAGGACATGATCGTGTCGCTCGTCGACTTGCACCCTTGTTAGAAGCACGTTTGGCTACACCACCTCGACCCTTGCCACCACCACCATCCAATCCAAGCTTACCACACGATTGGCAAACCATGGATATTGGCCAAGATGAACGTGTGGGTCTTCCTGGATCCGTCTCCTTTGATTCACCACATACATTTACATTATGGGGTTCGGGTGTGGATATTGGTGGTCATCAAGATGCGTTTCGTTTCGTATACCAATCTCTTTCAGGCAATGGTGCTATTGAAGCCACTGTGGAATCCCATTCCGCCTTCAGCTCTTGCGCCAAAGCTGGGATCATGATCCGTGAACATCTTGCTTTGGGTGCTCCACATGTATTATTTGGTGTCTCACCTGCTAGCGGCATCTTTTTCCAAGCACGTTCATCCAATTTCAATGAGACCCGCCTTGTCAAGAAACTTCGAGCATCTCCACCTTATCGTTTCAGGCTTGTTCGCCATGGTTCAAGTTGGATTGCACAATCATCATCATCATCATCACCACCATCAAATCCAGATGATGATTCACAAGCAGAGTGGCAACTCGTAGCCAATGTAACGGATTTGGTATTTGCAAGGGATGTCTATGTCGGTTTAGCAGTGACCAGCTGTGATCCTTCCGTTGTTAGCGTTGCCAAGTTTGCTGAAATCTCTCTCAGTGGCGGTGTCGGCAATGGATTTTATTCAAACGACATTCACATTCCTCGTCTCATTCATCAACAACCTTAATGCACTCGAGTATTTGTCAAGTTTGTTATTGTAAAAAAATGTGTGTGACAATGGATTGGACAATTGTGTGATGATTAAAGATAATGTTCTACATGAAAATAGTGGATCGCGCGTGTTTGTGAGTGAGGTGAGGGTGGGGGGATGGTATTATCGAGGTTGGTGGTGGTGAGAGAGAGAATCAAGTGGATTGATAGCAAAAGTAGCAGCAAATTGATCACTGGGAGTATTCGGTCGTGGTGCATCCACATTAAGTGAATGTTGTTGTTGTTGAGAAGTGGGTGTATGAGGTGAATGTGGTGAATACAATGAACTACTATCATCATCGGATACCATTCCAAATGGACTTAAGGATGATAAGTGTTGCGCTGGAAGATCATGCGTTTGTACTGTAAGGCCACCACGTGTGTAATGATGCGTCGTTGTTGGAGGAAACATGTCGGGTGAAGTGATTAATATTGAAGGTGTGGATGATCCTCCTCGATCTTCATATTCCTGATCAGCTTTCAATTCGGGTGGTAATGTGCCTAGGTGATGTTGTTAACAGGTATCCATGGCAACCAATATTATATAACATTGCCTACCCCCATGTTGTTGCGTAATGACATTTAGCATGTTCTTTAGCAATTCCTCCTGGGACTCCTGCTTTTTCCTCGTTTCTTGTAATTCCTTGACAAGTTGATTGAAGTTTTCTGATAGATGGTTGATACGTTGCATCATTTCTGAGTGATTGACCTGCATCACTGTCATATGGCTGTGAAGATCTCGATTGTCACGGTTCTTTGTTGTGTCATTGTCGATCGTCTTTCGTTTGATCTCATCCAATAAATCAGGTCGATCACGTAAAAAGCGTGGATGTGAAAACTCCCAGATTTGATTCTCGGCAAGTGTACGATGACCCCGTGGCGATTTGTTCACCTTGTGGAAGCCGTACCTGAAAATCATCATCGCATCTTAGATCCCAATCCTGGTTTCACATAGTGAAACAATGTACAAAGCTTACATGTTGAGTTGCCGTACAAAGCTTGAAAAGTTGTTGTGTTTAAAGTGCTTGGGCAAGACATCACGAGAGAACTCCATAATGTTGCATACGACAAAGGATGATCCAGTATACGTCCATGCTATAAGATGCTGGTATTGATTGTCGACAACCATGCTTAATAACAACTCTCAGTGTCTGCCCCCTTTTTATGTATATGCATTGTTCTCGAGAGTGTCGCTTACTTGTATAGCTTATGGACAAATGTATTCGTATGTGCAGGTTTAGGTGTCGCATGTTGTGAATCTGTGGGTTGTGGAACAACACTCGAGCTGCCAGCTGTGGTCGTGCTACTACTGCTGTTGCTGTTGCTACCCACTACAGGCGTCAATGAAGAGCTCTGATGCTGCTGTTGCGAGTGCTGCTCTAGCATGTATTGCTGAGCGTCCATACAAGAATCGAGATGGGTCAATGTTGAAGGTGCTGCTGATTGATGGTGGCAAGACGTGATTTGTACACGGCACTTAAGTGGAAGAGGGAAAAGAGGAAGTACAAAGAGCGAACCAAACCTAGACCTTTGAATTATTTCAGCTACACAGCCGCGCCACGGCCCGAACCCCACATCTTTTTATCTTGATCCGATGCATTTTACAACAACTAATGTCCATCATATCACTACTATCAGACAACACGATCACCTTGATGTATCTCCCATGACGCCGTTTGATAGAAGTTGTCATCATACGAATATCCAAGAGACATGTACTTTTGGTGATAAGCCACGGTTTTGTCCTTTTACACATATAGCGCCGATCATTGCTATAAAATGCCTTGTTGTAGTAGGCTGCTGATACTTGTTCATATGCACCCTAATGAAAACTTGTATAATCAACATACATGTGGCACAGGTCATTAAACCCATTTCGCTTGATGGGCAACTTTTCAATGTTACGCTTTGGTTAAATCCTATTACCGCCACGTATCCCATGTCAGTTTTATCCATGAAAAGGATTTATCATTTCCCACCTAGTGGATATATGGACCTTGCTTCTACTCTGGAACGCCATAGCCATGTATTCAGCCTGCCCTCGTGACGATAATAATCCACGCCATGCTCCCGAGCCACGGCCTCCTCTCGGTGTAGCCCGCAGTGGCAATCATAGTGGCGCCAAGAGCCTTCTTGGCAACCTACCATGTAGTCGTAATGCTAATCTCAGTATTGACAAGCGAGTAAAATAATCCAAAAATCGATGATTTGACAATCCTCTCACAAAGCTTCATACACTCAACAAGGTCCATTTTGATCCAAATTGATTAGAAAAGGTATACTATGTATGGTGATGAGTGGCATCGATACTTGGACATGCTGCCATGTGTGTGCATAAATGATCTTCCTATTATTGTTGATTGTCACACTTTGGTTCTCAAAGCAAACCTATGTATGGCTATTACAAGCGATCGTCATTGAGGATGAGAGTATCCTTTGTATCTTTGCTCTATGCTATTTTCCGGTTTCCCAGGGTTTTTTCAGTGCCTCCCCAAAGTGGCTGGTCTCAGTCATGTTGAAACACGCCACATGACCACGTGATCCATCAGATAAATGACCCTAATGGTTCCATCGTAAACCTTACATCATAACGTTGGTGGCTGTCTCCTTATGGTGTTCGACGCTAGAATTGCATAAACCCCCACTATATCATATCCATGGACTATCCATCCCAATCCACAAAGTACGAAAGTGAAATGTTTGTTTTTTGTATTTAGCTATGCATTGACCATTGATAGTTGGAAAAGGGGGTTGGGGTAGTTGGGGGTAGAGAGAGAGAGCTATTTACAACTTTTCCTTGAGCATGGTTTCCAATTTGACACCGTCCTTTGCAAAGTTACGGATGCCTTCCGAGAGCTTTTCAGTAGCCATAGCGTCTTCATTCATTTCCCAACGGAAAGCCTTTTCATTGTTGAAGAAGGATACCTTGGGGATGCTTTGTGCCTTTGCCTTTTCAGGTGATAGCTTTTGGCTGATCTTTTTGGTGTCCTGGTTCAACTCTCCCAATAATGCAGGGGAAATGGTCAAAAAGTCGCATCCAGCCAGCTCCTCAATCTCCCCGGTGTTTCGGAAGGAAGCACCCATGACAATGGTGTTGTAGCCGTATTGCTTGTAATAGTTGTAAATCTTGGTCACTGATAGCACACCTGGATCCTCGGCTGGTTCATAGGAAGATTTACCAGTAGACTTTTTGTACCAATCCATAATACGGCCCACAAATGGAGAGATCAAAGTGACACCTGCTTCGGCACATGCGACTGCTTGTGGGAAACCAAACAACAATGTCAAGTTGCAATGGATGCCATGTTGCTTTTCCAATACCTAAATGCATAATTCATTTCTCAGTGTCACTTTCCATGCATCGAATACCGAAAAGTACTTACCGATGCAGCATGGATACCCTCCCAAGTGGAAGCAATCTTGATAAGGATGCGATCTTTCTTGATACCATCATCTTCATACATCTTGATCAAGCGAAGAGCCTTGGCAATAGTAGCATCCGTATCAAATGACAAACGAGCATCCACTTCGGTTGATACACGGCCGGGTACAATCTTGAGAATCTCCTTGCCGAAATTGACCAACAACCGATCCATGGCCCATTCAGCTTGCTCCTCCTTAGATCTATAGAACAATGATGAATACCCTTTTGTTGGGGATAACTCACACGCCCAACAAACAAATAAGGATCACTTACCCTCCCTTACTCTTGCCATACTCAATAGCTGCCTCAATCAATGGAGCATACTGAGACTTTTGAGAAGCTGCCAGGATCAAAGATGGGTTGGTAGTTGCATCTTGGGGTTTGTATTGTGCAATAGCTGAACAAAGGTTTCGTGTAAGTGACAAGCGTAATGACGAACAATGACCCAAGAAAAACTTACTCTCAAAGTCACCAGAATCGGCAACAATGGTAGTGTACTGCTTGATTTGATCGAGAACTGACATTGCCGTTGAAGAATGAGAAGCGAGGGAAAAAGAAACAATGAAACAGTTGACGCTGCATGATACTGAGCTTTAAAAGGTAACCCAGCCAATCATTGCCTAGCAAAGGATGATTGGCTGAGATCGCCAAAATAGTTATTGCGGGATGTTCTTTGCTTTAGTCATCGGAATATCGAGCGGGTGCCAATGATTGGGTCTCGACAGCCACAAAGAAGCAGAAACGGTATATTCGAATGAATACGTGGGGTGTGTGTGATTGTCTGTGTCTGTGTGTTCCTTTTCCTTCTCTTCCACAAAACATTGTCGTCGTTTTTTTCTCCTCCTCCCCGCTTTCACTTTGTGTGGTTAATCTTTTATTATCAACGTTCAAAAGTAATCAACTCATTCGATTGTGAAAATGATATCCAACTCCAATATTCCTCCTTCTGCTGCTGATAAGCAACATCATAACAATGGCAATACTACCGAAAATGACGCTGCGAAAATAATGCGAGCTCTCAATGTGGAAGAGATCGACGTGGATCTATATCAAAGCATCGAATTGTGGCACCCTGCTGGTTCCAGAGGTGCATTTGGTGGCCAGGTACATTGGCGATAATACATTCCTTCCTTTCACAAATGGATGTCACTGATATTATTATAGATGGTAGCTCAAGCATTGCGTGCTGGATGGAATACGGTGTCTGACGATTTTCATGTTCATGTAAGCCTTTTGCTTTTCCCCCCCAAAAAAAGACAATGAAGATTATCTGACATGTCCACATGCTATGTGCATCACCCACGTGCAAAATATAACAGTCCTTGCACAACTACTTTTTGCTACCGGGTAATGCCGATATCCCCGTTATATACCAAGTACAAAGGATACGTGATGGTCGATCTTTTGTCACTCGCGTTGTTACTGCTTCGCAAAAAGGAAAAACGGTGCTTACATGCATGTGCAGCTTCACCAAGTATGCTGATGGATCAAATGCCAGCTTGTGCCATCAGGTACGTTAGCGTGTTTGACATATTTTTTAAGGTCCCGCCCCCAAACGCCGCCTAAACTTTTCACTTTCCTTTCTTAGGATACCATGCCAACCAATATCCCTCAGCCTGAAGAGCTCACAGAGTAAGTTGTATACAATGATGCATGATTATAGATATCACTAACCCCTTGTATGAAGCAACATTGATCGGCTAAAGGTGCTTGCTAATGATCCACGGGTACCAGAGCATTATCGTCAACGCTACAAGAATTTTATGGACACAGTAAGCTGAAACATCCTTTTTTGTTTGGATTGCCACATGGGAGATGTACCAACATGCCGATCAGGTTACACCGGTTGAATACAGGGATATCCACAATGGAAATTCTGAGGAACTTCTTACTGGCTACATGAAGCCACTTGAAGACCAGGTAATTAAAGTCGTTGGCATGGCTACACGTTGGCATGGTTACCATGGCTCTAACGATGATACGATAGGGCCAATGGTTCAAGACTCGTGAAAGATTGCCCGATCATGATCCCAAGCTACATGCATGTGCCATTGCATATGCTTCGGATAGTGGTATTTTGATGTCTGCCGTAAGAGCAAATGGGATGATTGGCAGAAGGGGTATTGGTATGATGGCAAGCTTGGATCATTCAATGTGGTTCCACGTACCGACGCGTGCTGATGAATGGTAAGCTCGCTATCTTGATTCATGTTTTCTTTTATAGCCTTATTCAATCATGAATGTTATAGGTTGTACCATGCATTTGATAGTCCTCGAACCAACGATGGTCGTGGTACATCCTTTGGACGAATCTATAACCAACAAGGTGTGTTGGTGGCAACGTGTTCTCAAGAAGGTATCATTCGATTGACAAAAGGAGAGCAAGCAAGACGACAAAAGGCTGCTGCCGATGAAGCCAATGCATCATCATCGTCATCACCATCCAAATTGTAGTTGCGGGGCAATTAAGGTGGTGCACAGACTAGACGCAAACCATATCACTCTTTTTAGACGCTTTTATCACAATAGCAAACGATAGATTCCTTCCTTTACTACTATGTATTACTATCATCCAAACTTTTCTCTCCTTTAACATGACTATGAACCTTTATTCCATTGTATTCTATATTCACTACTACTGTGCATGGGGATGATAAGCAAACGCATCATCGGGCGGACTTGACATGCTGACTTTTTGTGTGCTATGTGAGTCTCCATTTGCCACCATCATTTCATTTCACACCGCTGCACGTGGCTATGCCTTTTTGTGTGCCCCCACTATCCTATGCTATCGTATTCACTCTCATCTTCTATCCTAAAGTTCAGAAAATGCCATATATTGGCTATTCACCTCGAGGTGTAAAATGCCCCGAATAAGCCACACCTTGTTCTCTTTTTCATTGTAAGTCCTTTACCCGCCTTGCGGGCTTCCTTTTCTTCTTTCTTTTCCTCGCTTGCTTTCCTCTTATTCCTCTTGTCGTTACTATGTCAAAACCTTTGCGTGAATACAAGCTCGTCATTGTAGGAGGAGGCGGTACGTTAGCATATGCATTCGAAGACACCCTTCATCCTCATCCCCAAGTTGTGTCTTGTAGGTGTCGGTAAATCCGCTCTGACCATCCAATTCATCCAGTCCCAATTCGTTGATGAGTACGACCCCACTATCGAAGGTAGGTGAAGGCCTGTTACTGCTTGTTTATCCGAGTAGTAGTGTGTTTATGTTTGTGGAGGATACAACAAGATTTCTCGGTTCCTGATTTTCGATATCCTTTAGATTCCTACCGAAAGCAATGTGTGATTGATGGTGAAACGGCACTGTTGGATGTATTGGATACGGCTGGCCAAGAAGAGTATAGGTAATTTGGATGCGTTTCTATATGTCATTGATGGCATCTATTGACATGGGGGATCGACAATGATAGTGCAATGCGTGAGCAGTATATGCGTAATGGTGAAGGCTTCTTGTTGGTGTATGCAAGCACATCCCGTTTATCTTTTGAGGAAATCAGCACATTCCATCAACAAATCAGTCGAGTCAAGGACCGTGATTCTTTCCCTATGGTGTTGGTAGCCAACAAGTGTGATTTGGAGCAGGAACGACAAGTATCAAGTCAAGAAGGTCGTGATTTGGCTCGGCAATTTGGTTGTCAATTCCTCGAGACATCTGCCAAACAACGTATAGCTGTGGATGATGCGTTTTATCAGGTGGTACGAGAAATTCGTCGATTCAACAAGGAACAGGAGTCGTCGGGCGGTGGCGGTGGTGGAATGCACAACATGGGCATGCACGATCCTACCGACGCTAACTCGGATAAATGCTGCATCCTTATGTAAAAAACAAGAAACCATGTTATAATCCCCCGTGTGTAGTAGTAGTAGTAGTTAGTAGTGTATATGTGCGTGCGCATCTCTCTTTCTCTCTCGCTATTTAATATCCCCTCATCCACTCACACATTCACTCATCCAAAACATTACCACCACCACCAACCACCTCCTTTGTTTCTCTTTCCATTCCTATTCCTACGCACTCTCCTTTTTCTTCATTCCATTCTCCTCCCTTTCTTCTCCATATCCATCTTGATGTGCTGTGGTTTTCTCGCATACACGCACACATATATATTTCAAACACCCATTACAAAGTAGAATGAACCAATGCAATACATATATAATTTAAACAACACGATTCCGAAATGAATAGTCAGCAAGGGAGATGGTGGTACAACATATATTCTCGCGTTAGAGCGACAGCAACACTACATAGCGAGTGACCTTTTTATGTCCAGCTGCCTCCAAACAGTGTATCATCAATGCCTAATCATTAACGCAACAATGCTCGAACGTCTTGATTAGCCGAGATGGTTGATGGCATGGCAAATCAATCACTTGCTTAAGCGACAACCAGATGATAAATGTATTCGGTGACTGAAAACAATCATATTTAAATCTCGGAGACAAGGTACAATTTATGTCATGTGAGCGTGGATTGCAGGAAATGACCCAAGAGTATGGTTTGTTTGAAATCTTAAGATAATGTCATTGAACGTATTAGAGTATGGTGATGATGGTGATAATAGTTGTCAGCTAAATGGTATTAGAGATAGAAAGGGCGAAAGAGATAGCATAGTATATTCCTTCCTTGGTTCTTTTACAGCACAATGCATTTCAATCTCTTTTTTTGTTTTTCCTTTGTGGGGTTCTGGTGATTGATTTGTCTAACAAGATCAAAGAAAATTTCATCGACATTAATCCTTGCCAGGGCGGAGGTCTCATAGAATGGCTTGCTGCCCCATTGTTGTGATAGCATCATGCCTTGTTCCCTTGGCACCATACGCTCTTGTTCCAAATCACACTTGTTGCCTACAAGGACCATAGGCACCTAAGTAGTAGAAACGAAGATTAGTCTGAGAGAGGTTACATGTTTGGGTCCCTATGATGATTGATCCATACGCTATTCGAATCCTTGACACGTAAAATTTGTTCTCGTAATGGTTCCAGATCGTTGAGTGTGACCATGCTTGTGATGGAATAGACCAAAAGGAAACCTTGCCCGCTTTTCATATAAAGGTCGCGCATAGCGGTGAATTGTTCGGTGCCAGCGGTGTCGAGAATTTCCAAGATGCATTGCGTGCCATCAACCTCGACTTGTTTGCGATAAGAATCTTCAATGGTGGGATCATATTTTTCAACAAAGATGGATTGAACAAATTGCACAGTCTAGTAGATGTATTCGATGTATATGCAACGCGCACACGTGGGTGGTTTATATACGCATTTTGATGATGATCGATATACAACATGCACGCATTCAATACATCATTGAGTACCTTTTGTATGATGGAGAATGATGATGTATAGATGTGTGTTCTTACCAAAGCTGATTTGCCTACACCGCCAGAACCGAGGACAACTAGCTTGTATTCTCGCATTTTACTAGAGGTGATGATGATAATAGAGCTTCGTTGCTTGAATGTGATACAGGAGGAATAGCCGAAAAAGAAAATAGAGGAAGAAAAAGAAGGGGAAAAGAGGAAAAGAAATGATTTTGGGTGGAGAGGGAGAAGACATGGTGGACAAGGTACGAAAAGAGAAATTGGCACGAGTAGTATGACGAAGCGATATGTAAGTTAAGGGGTTGAACGCGATCCATCATTATCAACATCATCATTGACAGATAAAAAGAACAACTCCAACCCCCCTTTCATTAGGTAAACTGAGATATGGGTCCTTCCAAAGAGACAATGACCAATGCAAGATGATAATGGGTGAACAATAGGCGTTTGTATTGTGTATGTAATTGTATTGATATGCATGCTATGATTGGACCGTGCCATCACACCCGAAAAGGTAACAACTCACAGTGTGTGTTCTTTGTCTCGCTTTTCTTCTTTCCCAACCAGCTTTATCCTTCTTGTATCTTTTTCCTCTCTCGCACACCCGCCTAATACACCCTTGGTCTTCACCAACACTTGTCAACTCATCGACTATCGGGAGAGGTGCTGCATTTCACCATTCTTTTATCTTTCATTCTTTGTCCCGCATCGACACACGCTTACACTATACACAACACCCACACCCACACACGAGGCTCAGCATAGAACGCCTCAACACAAAACAACCCCTTCCAGTCACTTCACACAGCTTATATAATCTTTTTCACCTATTGACGACACTATACAATCAACATCATGTACTACACATCTGTCTGCAAGGCACTCTATGACTATAAGGCCCAATCAGAAGACGAATTGACCTTCAAAGAGGATGACATTCTATACATTCTTGACAAGGAAGAGGATCCCGATTGGTGGAGAGCACAGCTTAAACCACAGTCTCTGGAACAGGAGGGTCCTGTTGGTATGGTGCCTGCCAACTACGTTGACGAGGTATATCGTTTACATGCGTAACTCAGCATTCGTGTGTCATTAAACTGATAATGGGTATCTATAGGCTGATCCTATTGGAAAGGTCCAAGCAATCTATGATTACACTGCACAGCAAGACGAGGAATTGACATTTCACGAAGACGACCTATTGACGCTATATGAGAACGATGATCCGGATTGGTATCTTGTCAAGGATAAGCATGGAAAGATTGGTCTTGCTCCAAGCAATTATCTTCAAGAGGTAAGTATCGAAGCGACAATGTTTGAAGGATTGCCAAGCCAACACGTGGATTATCCAATGTAGGCATCAGGTCACGCTTCCGCAGTCTCATCCACTAGTCAAGTTCAAGCTCCTGTCACTACGCCAACAACTCACCACGAGGAAGAGGAGGAAGAGGAGGACCAACATGAGATTCCTGCAGCACCACCAGCACCACCAGCACCTGTAGCAGCAGCAATGCCAGTAAGTTTTATACTTTAAAAGAGCGTACATGTATTAATTGGAGGATGGAAAATGATAGGCTGCCAATAAGGCTGATGATGCCATTTCGTGGTCTGTGCATGAGTATGATACGGAGAAGAAAAAGAAGAAAAAGAGCAAAGGCAATCTTCTTGTGGGCAATGGCATGCTATGTTATGGAAGTGAAACCGACAAATCATCGCCTGTACGCCAATTCCCTATTCTCGAGGTGTCGCAAAGTTCGAATGATGGCAAGACGGTGCATATTCAATTATCGGATGCCACTCTTGATTTTCAAGCTTCATCAAAGTCCGAAGCAAAGGCAATCGTCGCCAAGATACAGGAATCCAAATCTCTTGCTGCACCCACAACAACACCTACAACAGCTGCTATTCCTACACAACAAGCAGCTATACCCGAGCCACAGCAAGAACAACATGTACCAGCACCACCACCTCCACCTCCTCCACAACCACAACCACAACCACAACCACAACCAGTAGCACCTCCTGTTGTGCATCATGAACCAGAGCCTGCTACAACTTCCGAGCCTGAGCCTGAACCTGAACCAGCATGTGAACCACGTTGGGCTATTGTGCTATATGATTTCACTGCTGAAGGACCTGAGGAGATTTCAACCAAAGAAGAGGATCAAGTTCTTGTGGTGGATTATGTTAGCAGTGATGAATGGTGGTCTATCGAGTATCAGGATGGTAGAGCTGGTATTGTGCCTGCAACATACGTTCAATTTCAAGAAGAGTATGAAGCCGATTTGGCACGTGAGGAAGAGCAACGTCGTAAGCAACAGGAACAAGAAGCTGAAAAGCAACGTCGTGAAGCTGAAGCTGCTGCTGCACGTCAACGTCGCATTGAAGAAGAACAACGTCAACGTGAGGAAGAGGCACGAAAGGCTGAGGAGGAACGTCAACGTCGTCAACAAGAAGAACAACAACGACAAAAGGAACAAGAAGCTCGTCGACAAGCTGCTGCTGCTGCTGCTGCTACAGCATCAAAGCCATCCCCATCGATGGGTGCAGCATCACCACGTCGTAGTCAAATCCCAGCACCTCCTCCACCTGTTAACAAAGCACCTGCCAATCGTTCATCACAACCTATTCCTACGCCACCTGTCAACAAAGCAAAGCAGCCCCAAGATCCTGGTAAACCTGATCCTTCAAAGGTGCGCATATGGACCGATCGTACGGGTGCATTCAAAGTGGAGGCTCAATTCTTGACGTATCACAATGAAAAGATTCGGTTGCACAAGGTCAATGGTGTCAAGATTGATGTTCCTGTACAAAAGATGTGCCTTGAAGATTTGAGATACATTGAGCAACAAACGGGCAAGAAATTGGTTGAGGATGGTACGGATGATGTTCCTCTTGCTCATTTGGCCAACAGCAACAACAGCCGTAATGCTCCTGGTTCAAAACCTCAATGGGATTGGTTCGATTACTTTATGAAAGCCAACATTCCAATGCACAACAGTTTACGTTACGCATCGGCTTTCCAAGCTGAAGGACTCGGTGAGCATGATTTGGATAATTTGACGCATCGCAAAATGAAGTCATTGGGTATGTCGGAGACGCATGTTCAACGTTTACAACGATTCATTGAAACGGGTGTTGTTGAACCGGCATCGGATGAGGAGACACCTTCGAGCAAACGCAAGATGAAGAAATCAGTATCGTTTGGTGCAATCAGTGTTATTGATGACAGCGATAATGAATCTTTGGGTGGATATGGAGCGGGCAATCGACAACATCAAATCGATGAAGATGAACGACTTGCACGACAACTTCAAGAAGAGTACAATGCACAAGCACAGCAACAAGGATCACCATCGATTCGTGGTGTTGGATTACAGCGACGTGGTACTGGAAGACCTACTCCCAGCACATCGGCTCCACGTGATGTCAATACTGATATTATGGATAAGATCAAGAGCCAATTAAGCTCACAGCCACTTACACCTACTCCTGCTCAACCCCCACAATCTTCATCAGCAACAGCAACACCACCACCTCCACCACCTCCACCACCTGCTGCTGCTGCTGCTGCTCCTCTTCAACCTACACCTGTAGCAAGGCAACAAACTGGATTTGCTGATGATGCTTGGGCACCAAGAGCCTCGAATTCACCCAATGTTTCCAATGCTCAACCTGATGCTATGGCTCAAACAAAGGCTGCTTGGTCTGCTCCTCCACCTCCACCTCCACCAGCACCACCAGCTCAAAATCAAGTCCAAGTTCAAGCTGCTCCTATGCAAAATCCAAATTTGACAGGCATTCAACAACAGCAACCATTGCAACAATCTCCACAGCAACCACCTGTTTCACTTCCGCCACGTCAACGTCCAACACCGCCAGCACCACAAAACAACAAAGTGGATCCTCAAATGTTGTCTCAATGGACCAGCCCTGGTCAACAATCACAACCACAACAACCACAGCCTCAAATTCAGCAACCACCTCAAGTACAGCAAATGGTAGCACAATTTAATGCTGGTAATCCACCACCTCCTCAGCAACAACAACAACAACAACAGCCTGCTTTGCCGCCACGTTCACCCATGAATCAATTTATGCAATCACCCACGACGACTACTCAAGCTAATGTGGGAATGATGCAGCAACAGCAACCACCATTACCACCTCGATCACCAATGAATCAATTTAACACCACAGCGCAGCCACAATTTATGCAACAAACTGGATCTCCTTCTCATTTCGCGCAACAGCAGCCATTTATGCAACAACAACAACAACAACAGCCACCTGTCATGCAACAGCCTCCCATGTCATCAGTGCCTGTTAATTCAGTGTTGCCACCTGCATTAGTACCCATGAACACTGGTATGCAACAACCAGCATTACAGCCACAACCCACTGGTAGTGCTGCGTCATGGGCTGCTGCCAGTAAGTATAAACTTTTAAAGGGTAGAAGAATGATGATGATGATCTAACAGCTTATTATTACATAGCTCCTGATAATCCATTTGGCAGTGGTGCTATTGCACAAAGACCACCTCCACAATCGCAAGGATCCTTTTCCAGCGTATCTTCAATGCAGCCATCACAGGTGTTTGCATCCATGGCCAACAACAATAATCCTGGTGCTGGCAACTTCCATGATCCCAATGACAAGTATGCTGTGTTCAAGAATATGAATGCAACAGCAGGTTCGCCAAGTGTATTTAATGCTGGTCAGCCCCAAGGTAAGTAACCTCCTTTCTCAATATGACCGTGTAGATGCTAATTCTTATACATTTACATAGGAGGAGTAGGAGGAGCAATGCCTTTCCAACAACCACAGGCTACTGGATTTACGCAAATGCAACCTCAACCCACTGGCAACCCTCAACAACCTTTCCAGCAACAACAACAGTTTTACAATCGCTGGTGATCATGTACATTCTTGATTTTCGCACCTCTTTTTTTGTATCACTATCCTAGTAGATTCATCACACACACACACACACACCATGATTGATTCGATACCATCCCCTCGAAAGCAGCCATCTAATAGTAGGCTGTTGAACCCTTTCACAAATAAAAAAATCGCATTTCCGTATAGACCAACACATCTTTCTCGGAAACATATCAATGCGAGCTACTACTAACAACAACAACTACAACAGCATCAAATCTAAGCGAATTTTCGATTTGTTATCTTCTTCTTCTTTTACTCACTTCTTGCTATGCGGTCGATATTCACGAGCTTGGCAGTAATTGCATCAGCTGGGCTTGCAGTATTGGCTGAGGACGATGATGCCAGTCCTTTGATGCATCCACCCATCCCACCTATGAAGAGCAAGTATGTGGCACCTGATACACCAAAGTACGACTATGCCGAAGTATTGCACAAGAGCTATCTATTCTATCACGCACAAAAATCGGGTGCGTTGCCATACCAACGTATGGCATGGCGGGGTGATTCATGCAAAGTGTGTGTGGGCGATTTTTACGAAGACTTGTCACGTGGTTGGTACGAAGCAGCCAATACCATGAAATGGGGTCTACCTTTTGGATGGACAGCAACACAACTTGCATTCAATATCTTCATCTTTGAAGATGCCATGAATTCAGTGGATGAGCTTGCTGAGGGTCTCGAACTACTCAAATGGGGTGCAGGTATAATAACAGCTGATAAAAACTTCCGACGATGGCATCATTGACGTATTGGGGGTGGTGGTAGATTACCTAATGAATTGTCATTACAATGATACACACATTGTCGGTCAATTGGGAACATCCTCTTTGGGACCAATCTCAAAACAAATTGAATTGGATGTTGATTTCAATTACTGGGGACCACCAGAAGAATACGAACAATGGGTGCCAAGTGGATTACCGCACAAGGCGTATTACTTGACACCTGACAACCCATCATCCGAAATTGTGGGTGAATACAGTGCTTCCATGGCAGCTATCTCCATCCCATGGCGCAAACACAACGCAACACTCGCTGATGAGCTTGTGGATCGTGCCAAGCGACTTTATAAGTTTGCAACAGATTATCCCGGTAGCTATGTTACATCACGGCATAATGCTTTCCAATGGGCGACGTTTTGGTATCCATCCACACGATATCAGGATGAATTGGCATGGAGCGCTGCATGGTTGTACGCAGCCACAAAAGATCCGTTTTACCTAGAAGAGGCGAAAAAGTGGTACAATTCTGATCCTGATTCCTGGTACGAGTACTCGTGGGATGAAAAGGGTGGTGGCATGCACGTGTTACTTTACGCCCTCACCAAGGATGGAGAGTTTTACAAGAATGCCATGATGTACTTTAACCAGTTCTTGCCAAGCCCTGAACAAATCGTCAAGTTTACGCCACGGGGTCTTGCCTACATTGAGCATTGGGGTTCGGTTGGCTACTCGGGCAACGTCGCTTTCCTTATGCTTGCATTTTCTAAGCTTATTGGATATGAGACCATTGAAGCAAAACAATTGACATCGTTTGCCATCCAACAAATCAACTATGCCCTTGGCGATTACGGCTACTCATGGGTGGTTGGCTTTGGTGATAATTACCCTAGTAAACCTTACCATAAGGCATCCTACAACTCATTCATCGATTATCCCTTACGTGGCCATCAACAAGATGAAGTTGAAGAAGATTTTACGGGTAGCGCAACGAACCAGCGTTTCATCTTGTATGGTGCTGTTGAAGGAGGACCCAATGTGGATGATTCATGGCATGATGACCGATCCAACTATGAATACTCTGAAGTAACACAAGATTACAATGCTGCATGGACTGGTGCTATTGCAGGCCTCATTGATTATTATGGCACGGATAAGTTTGAGCCCTACACCGATTGTGGTCTTGATCTTGGTTGGAACCATCCAAATGCAAGCACTCCACCTGCATGGCCCGAAGATGATTGTTATCACACTTGCAACAAGAATTGCCCTCGTGGCCAACTCAAATCCTCGTTCTCTTGGCGTATGCTTATGGAGCCTGATAACCTTGACAAGAACATTGACATCCTCTATCCTGGAAAGGGTGCCATTCGTGCCGCTGCAGTGGATGGTAATCGTGCGAATGCTGAAGATCCTAGTGCTTACGATGCTAGTGCTGCAAGGGAAGGTGATGATTATCGAGCAGCTACTAATAGCAATAAGGCAAAGCAAGATGACGCCAAGGATAATCAATCGAAAATGTCATCAGCAACTCCCAACAAGAACAAAGCATCCACTATAATCACGGGATTAGGTGCAGCCTGGTTCCTCGGCATGCTGGCATCATGCTTGGTTCAATAGATAGAGAATACGTAAATACCATTGTTATTAGTTATTACAGCAATAGATCCATAAAGGAATCGGGTGTTATTGCAAAACATGGATTGGTGGTGGATTCAAGGCTTCCTATTACTCTGCTTACATGTGCTATAGAAAAAAAAAGTTGGATGCTCATTGTATAATGAAAACAATGCACACACTGATCCCTGATCCATCTTTGCTTGTGCTTATGATATGATGTTGCCGATTTGTAATCATGATGAGGAGAATGCGAACAAGCGCTCATTGGAATTCGAGCGGTTATCCAGATGATTCCAAAGAAGATGCCTTGTAATCAGCCACAGAATAGCTTGGTACATATGCTGATAACAGAAAAAGTTGCTTCACAACAAGCCTTATTTGGATGACTACTCAATTGTGGAATTCATATGTAGGAAAGGAGGAATCTAACTTAACAATATCTCCATTACAAGGAGGCCTAGCCGTGCCTGGAACCCTGTCATGCGAGTCCAGACAATTGGGAACGATCGACAATAATGGGAGATGTGCAGCATCGAAGGCGGGGTTAAGTACACATGCATGGTGCCACATGATCATGATTGGTACTGTGCACATCCTCAAAATGGTGAATTCCGGCGGTCTTTGCGCCCGGTTTTCCTTTCCCTTCCTTTGCTCACGTACTTTTTTTCTTTGAAATTCTTATATACAACAGCTGTTCATTCTTTTTTTGATAATGTTATTATGGCCAATCTTACAAGAGTAAAAAAACCATACAAAAGCTGGGTTAAAGATGGCGTCAATGGTGGCCCATCATCTATGGATATACTTGTCGGTTGGCTTGCTGATCGTTCAAACTACCAACGCTGGCGCAGTGGTAACGCTGTTGTTGAAACGGATCATCAACAACGCATTCCCAAAAAGATCCTCTTGGAAGAGATTCTTACCAAGATGCGTCAAGCTGGTATCCACCATCGCCTTCCCAAAGATGTGGCAAGCAAAATCTCTACCCTACAAAGCAACTATCGAGCAGCCTGTGAATGGATGAATACCGAAGCAAGACGTTTACGCAAAGCTGGTGTTTCAGAACACACCATCCATGGTACCTATGCGCATTGATTGTTTTGTTTCTATCGCATCACCACCATATCGACCACAACCCTCTTTCTCTTTCTTGGTTCTTCCCTGTTATAGAGGAGGTCGTCAAGCACTTTGCCTATTGGGATGCTCTTAATCCAAGCTTTGGTCATTATCGATGTTCTTCAAGTAGTGGACCCATGGCCATCAGCAGTCTTATGGACCAACAGCAGCAGCAGCAGCAACAACAACAAGAAGAGCAACAATCGAATCATTCCGACGATGACCAAGTGGATGAATTAGATGAAGATGATGAATACCAAGAGCCTTACCATGGAGATGGTAACCATAGAAACGCAAGAATTCTTAATCACCAACACACAACACAACAAAAGAAGCGACGACGGCGTATGTATCAAGATGAAGACATGAATGAAAATGATAACTCGAGAATAACAAAAAGGAGGAATAGCACCAGCAGTAGCAGCAACAGCAGTGCGGCAAGTAATGATTTATTGCGTATCTTGAACCATACATGTCGTCCAACACCATCATCCTCTTCAAATAATACCGTATTGTCAACATCCTCCTCCACAGCCCATCATCACCATCCTAGTGCATCATCCGTTGACTCTGTTCTTGCTGATTCATTCATTGAGATCAACCGTGAAAAAGAACCCATCACGAGGAAACGTTCATCATCCAACAATAACAATCATCATCAACATGTATTACGATTCCTTCATGGCAAACAAGCTGAGCAAGAACAACTATTGATTGAAAAAGAGAGCCGAATTCGTGCCAAGGCCGAGTTGGTGAAGCATTTGATGAAAGCTGGCTTCTCGGAAGAAGAGATCACTGAACAGCTCAGCCAGCTCTAGTAGCTATATGACATTGATTGCTTAATGTTTGGACAATAAAACCATATCCACATCCTTTTGTACCTGAAATGCAACCATACAATAATGCTATGATGCAAATGTCTCTTTCACCACGACAACGTAGTGACGCTGAACATGTTCATGCATACAAGATAAGGAATAATGCAACGTTGTCGAGTGAAAAATGCATGTCTCGTGGCTTGGTGACTGCCGTTGCCTGCGATCCAGCGAGTAAAAGCGAGCTACTGGCCAAATTTTCGCTTCTTTCTTCAAGTCCTTGTACTGATTTTTGACCATGTGTAAGGCACTAGTGAATCAAAGTGTGGGCCGTTGCATATTCCATGAACTCACCTTACTATTGTGTAGCTGGAAAGAAGAAAGCACAAAAAATGTCGCTGTCCGACTTTTTGGCGGACGACTGTAAGTATAAGAAAAGGGTTACAAGCAGCTCTCGTTTCATTACAACTCACCCCTTGCAATGTATAGCTGGATCCTGGGCCGATGAAATGGCCACTCTTCCCTCTGCTCGTAAGTCAATGTGTACCCTATAATCGAACCTCTGACTCACCTATTTTCCCGCTTACAGCCGCAGGTAACAACAACAAGGAGACTTGGCAACGATATAGGAGACTATCAAGAATCCTATGTCTGTGCGTCATTGTATTCGAAAAAGATGAACTCATTATCCTTTTTTATATCCTTGTGCAGCCAAAGAAGATGTTGATAGCCCTCGTGCTGATCGTTTTGGTGGTCGTAAGTCTTTGTGTGTGGTGGTGTCTTTGAACAACGAACGTCATATCAACATGCATCATTTTTTACATAGCCCGTGACATGGATTTGCCCAGTGGACCTGCTCGTGGTGGTGATCGTTTTGAACGTCGTGAACGTTTTACTTCTCCTCGCCCTGAAAGATTTGCTCCTCGTGCTCCAGTCGAATTGCCTACCGAGCCACCTTTCACTGCTCACATTGCCAACCTTTCCTTTGAGGCTAACGAGGATGACTTGGCTGATTTCTTTGGACAAATGAAGGTAAAGGGAATAGAAAAGGAACCATCATTAGCATGAAGACTAATATCATTCTTTTTAGATTGCCAACATCCGTATCTTGCGTGATCGTGATGAGCGTTCCAAGGGCTTTGGCTATGTTGAATTCGAAGATCTTGAATCCCTTAAGGGTGCTCTTGAATTGACAGGCGAGGTAGGTATTGGTTTGGGGTATGGGTAGTATCCTTTATTACGATTGTGTTATGTTGACATCACCTTTTTTTGTTCCTAGTCTATGCAAGGACGTACAATTCGTGTTAACGTGGCTGATCCTCGTAAGTAGTAATGTTGTTGCTATGCACAAGGTCCAATAGTAACTCATTCATTTGAAACATTTATAGCCAGAGAACGTCCTGAACGTGCTCCTCGTCAGCCCGATCGCACTGACGTATCTTCTTGGCGTCGTGAGACACCACTTGAATTGCCAGAGCGTCGTGGTGGTGGATTCCGTGGTGGCCGTGGTGGATTTGATCGTCGTGGTGGTGATACTTCGTGGCGTGGTGGTGCTTTTACTAGACGTGATGACCGTTTTGGTAAGTTTTTTTGTTGGCAACATGTATCACAATCCTTTCCTTTATTCATACATGTTTGCATGGTTTAGGTCGTAACGATGCTCCTGCTGAACGTCCTCGTCTCAACCTCAAGCCACGCACTGTTGATACACCCCCAGCTGCTTCCACTCAAGGTTCTCAGAGCAACAAGCCCAACCCATTCGGTGCTGCTAAGCCTGTTGATACTGAGGAGGCTCTTAAGCGTATCGAAGACAAGCTCCACAAGACCACTATTAGCAAGTGAACAAACAGCGGACAGGCGCCGTCGTAGAAAACACTTCTCTTTCAACTCATCATCGACTCTTTTCAACCCACTACTTTTTCTCACAACACAATCGAATTCGCCCAAACGACCCACACCTCTCATAAAAGAAGAACACGGAAGAGAAAAAAGAACTCAACAAGCATGCATCATTGTATGTGTGTGTATCCGCGATGCTCTGCCAACTGTTTTTTATCTAGCTTTTTCCTTTTACAACATAAAAATACACCTCGGTAGTCTATTAGAAATGCACAAATGTTTAATTTGTTGTTGCAGGCTGATGATGGTGATTTACAGTGGTGCTATTGTACAAGAAAGGGAGAAAGAGAGAGAAAGGCACTAGTGAGTAATAAAATGATGAAGGATGATTGGAGGAGAATAATGTAGTATAAGGGATATATATGTGATTGCGTGCAAATAGGTTAGGTATGAAGGTTGTTGAGATGATAAGATGGGAAAGATAGCGAGAATGTTCGCCCCTCTATGCGTTCATAATGTGATAGATAAGGTAGCTTGGCAAACCATATACACCAAAGCCCATAGACTTGGCCATTTTCGCAAAGCCTTCAGTTTCAACCTGATGTTGGTATACAAATGCTGGAAAGTTGGCGCCTTCACGATGCACATGTGCCTTGACCAGGGTGAATGTTGCTCCCTGCATATACAACTATCATCAATAACCCATATCCCTCCCTGCATGTGCTATCCTGTCCTTTTCACAACACTTACCACGCCATCCAATGGTACTTTTTCAAGAGGATCATGGTGGGTTGGCATATCAACCATGACATTACGGTGGGTGAGAAATTCGTAGTAACCTAAAAAGGGATAATGACGAGTGGTGAGCAACATGCAGTCTTGTTTTTGATGAATGGCACATGACGTAGTGCCAATGTATATATCCACATACCTTCAAGTAAGACATAGTCCTGAAAAATGGTGTAGCCACAAGGATGAAAAGGGAGCAATCTTTGTGTGAGCGATACAAGGAGATAAAAAAGGGGGCAAGCTATTCACACTTACAGGATCCAGATCCTTTTGAAGTTCCAAAGAGCGTTCCGTTTCTTGCCAATTGTTCTTGTCATATCCCCAGAATGAATTATCCTCAGTTTCACGTAAGCAGTTGGGAACAACAACATCAACATCCACGCTCATAAGGTCTTCAAGAATGGTGGGTGGGTATTCAACAAGGTCAACATCAAGCCAAAGTACCCAAGCGTGTTCCTCTCGGAGAGCAGCTGTGAGCAAATAGTTGCGAGAGCGTGCCATGTACGAACGACGCAGGGGCTGCATTTCAAAAGCATGTCGTCGGTCCTCGGGTAGCTCAAAGTTGAAATCCTTTTGATAAATGGCAACGTTGTGATATCGATTCTTCCAGCGGCTCATAAAGGCATCTGCTTGTTGCTCAAGTAGTTCCACTGTTTCATCGTTGGTGTCGGAAACAAGAAAGGCGATTGAAATAAGGTGTTTGGGATACGTCATGCGATCCAGCAACTCAAAATACCGTGGCAGGTAGTTAGCGGCGTTCTTGAGCGGTGTCAGAATGAGCACATGTTCCTCGTTGTCTTTGGCGTGAGCTGTTGCTTCCACTTGATTGAGATCAACGTATACAGGTTCAGTATCATGCTTGTGGTTGCTTGTGGTTTGGGTAAAAGACATTGCTTGGCTAAAAGCTCGCACAGCACGACCACCACTAGTACATTGGCCAGCCATAGTCATTGGATGGGCAAAGGTCATAAATGATACAAGTCCAAGAAAGAGAACGGCTGCAAGAGCAATGCCTTGACGCTTAGAGATGCGAAACATACGACGGTGTTCGGCAACTGTCATCGTTAAAGAGTGGCGAGAAGAGGGGAAAAAAAAGAGAGGATGAACAAGAAGAAAGGGGAAATTGGAGGGAAAGGAGAAAGAAAAAGAAGCTGAATGCGGGATTAGCAGGTGCTGGGACGACGACGACAAGGCACAGCCACTGTGTGTGTTTTTTATAGTTTGTCAGACCATGGTGTAGATCACTTTTTTCTTTTTAGTCTGTTTCTGTTTCGGGTACCGATGATGATGGTGATCACTTTTCACTCGTCAATAACTAAATGAATGAGGAGACTGTGTGCAAGCATGTCATACCTAAACAGGTATCGTGCAATCACGTCTTGTTTCCCTCTATAATTAGACCTGAGACTCGGAAAAGTCCTTTGTTTATATCACACGTCGATCCCTTTTTCCATGAGATAATCGAAAGAGCCATTTGACCAAGCATTCTATTTGAAGTTATTCCATTACCAAGCATGTCAATAACAACAACGATTGTTATGGCCCTCACTATAAGCTATACATGGCCCATATTTTGGTTTTTAACTATACATGATGTATGTGCGCTGATGCAATGGGTCATGTTTCATATCGAAACGAAGATGCCAAGCAGTCATCGTTAGAGGAGTGAAATGTACGTTTCTCCCTTGGCACATAAGCACGACAAAAACTGGATTACCTGGGTCATGCTGCAAAATGCCAAGATTGGAGTACTGAGCACATGGCCGGCTTGTGCAGAAAATTTGGCAGAAAAAGAGAAAAAGGGGGCTAATGCTGCAGTAAGGTGATGTGGTGTTTGCATTATCATACAATTACTTAGATACTACTTGTATTGTGCGTAGTGGGGAAAAGAGGTCTCGATCTTTTATTATCATCAATATTAAACTTCATTGACTTTTAGCGTCGATCTTCTCATTTCCAAGGGCCTGGGCTGATGATGGGAAAATCCATAGCGGGGATCGTCCAACTTCTCTTTTTGGAAACGCACACGCACACACAACACATGTACTCCCGGAACAGCAATCCGTGCTTTCTTTTTTCCTTAAATATCGATTTCAACAACTTTCCAACTCAAACACACGTTTGCATGTGATACATAAAGAATGAGGGAAGCGATCCTTTGTTGGTACTTGTACATAGAATGACACCTTGCTGTTACGAGGAGGTAAGCAAGGACACAGACGTTATATATGCATACATGCCGTCGGGTCAAGATACAGCTACTTTGGGCATATGCATGCTGCTACATGTTCAAAGGAACCCATTTTTACATCACGTGATGTAACTCTTGGTGAATAAAGACATCATCAGGTTTGCAGCTGCGTAAAGTTCTTAATGCATCGCTCGATTTTAGGCACTTGACGCTGATAAGCAGCCTCCCCATTACCTAGATGATCATTCGGATCATAAGGATACTCGATCGTTTACGCTTTAGATGACATGTAGTTCATGAGTTTTCATACGTTGAAACAAAAAGGTAATCTTGGGAGATAAGAAAATGCATTGACTGGATTAAAATCAGCCATCCCTAACCTGGATCTCAAAATGCATGATCCGTCATTGGTACTGTATGGACCTATTGATATCGCCGGCTCACAAAATGGCTTTTATTTACCGTCAAAAGCTACATTCTTCATGACTTAGTTGTATAAATTGTCGATGCAAAAGACGTCGTAAGGTGAAAGAGTTAAGCATTTGAATGCAAACCAACAACCTGCTGTAGTATTGATTTCCCAACATACATCCCATAATAGTCCAAAAAAATGAGGTAGCCTGTGGTAAAGAATTAGGCTACGTAAGTAAAGATGGCGTTTGATAGATTATACATTGCTTAGAAAAGGGCATTTAATGAGAACTTGCAAGGCTACAACAACATGGTGAATGATCGGGATGGGAGCAGCTATAACTGCTACTGATAGATAACTCTTGGGCTGTGCAACAAAGCTGATGCGTGGTCAACGAATGAAAACTCAGGATTACTCATTCGGTGTGACAGCGGCCATCAACCGTGGTAAAACTTAGATCTCACATTCCGATCTCTATCTTCCACTTCTTTATCCATCATGGTCACTGCCACTACTACTACTACTTTGAAAGTTGGTGTTCTCGGTAAGGCTTTGGTTTTTATTGGAAACAGTGTATAGAGTGTCTCATTACTATTCTACGTTTCCCATGATCCAGCCTTGCAAGGCGCCTTCATTGAACACATCCACATGCTCAACAATCTCGCCGAGGTGTCCGAAGCCATTCCTGTGCGCACGATCGAGCAACTCAACTCTGTGGATGCCCTCATTATTCCCGGTGGTGAGTCGACGGCTATGGCTCTTATTGCAGAACGCTGCCAGCTTTTGGAACCTTTGCGTGCCTTTGTCAAGGAGAAGCCTACATGGGGTACTTGTGCTGGTATGATTATGCTTGCCAATGAAGCTTCAAGTGCCAAGAAAGGAGGACAACAATTGATTGGTGGTATGGGTATCCGTGTCAACCGCAACCAATTTGGTACGCAAAAGGACTCGTTTGGTATTGGATTGCACATGCCTGAGATCGTGGGTGAAGAGCCTTTCCATGCCGTCTTTATTCGTGCACCAGTGATCACCGATATTTTGTCTGACGATGTCAAGGTCCTCGCAAGATTGGAAAAACAAGTGGGTGAGACGAAGGCTGAGACTATTGTGGCAGTACGACAAAACAATCTCTTTGCTACGGCTTTCCATCCCGAATTGACTCGTGATGATCGTCTCCACAAGTTCTTTGTCAAAATGGCCATCGAGTGCTACAACAACAAGCAATAGATATTACAACATCATTTCACGCAACCCACTCCTCAATTTCACTTATACGCATCATACCCTAGCGATAGAAGAATGGAATGGCATTTCATATTGTAGATTTTTATGGTAGATAGTAGATTACCCTTGTATTGACATTAAATGCATTTTCTCAGGACAAAAACTAAATCCCACCGATAATAGCTGGCGGATTGTTATTGCATCCAAATACAACGTTTACAAGTAGTATTGTGAACATGGCATTATGGGGTAGGCTTAGTAATACAGCTCAACTTTGGGATCGTGACCGAGTCACTTGACGCTCCTTCTTGTTCTGGTTGCCTTGGTGGGAAGATGTACAACTCACCATGTAACGATCACCCAAGAGCAATTTAGAAGAATAGCCCTATGTGAACCCTTGAAAGCCGTTGCATCAACCCTATTTGGGCTGTAGTAGATCGTCCCACCTAATCCAACATTGCATATACATCACGAGAGTAAGCTACATCAAAGGAACGTGAGCATGTGCTTCATCAAAGAAGATGTTTAGATTTACTTCCATAAAAGAGCCAAATTGCACAATGACAACAATGACAATGAAAGTAGCAAAACAATGAAACAACGCTAAAGAGCATCACCAATAGTAATACATGATGTATCACTGAAGGAAGATTATCCACCATGGTATACACATAAGCTTCAAATTTGACGTTGTACTACGCACCCAAAGGGTGATGTGATCGAGGGAAGCGATGTGCGGAATGAATGAGCGACAAGATCCACGCTATCTGCAAGGATCACAAAGAGAAAAGAGGAGTACTAAACGTTTGTTGGGAATGGTGATGAGCTATAGATTGATGGGTTGAGAAGAGTTTTTATGTAGATCATGAGATCTTGAGCATTCACCGATACAGCACCAAGAGATTAGTGACGCCTTCACAAGTAACTCCTGGCTTGGTGTCATGCATGGATCAGGTTCTGAGATAAAGATGCAAGTGTGTGTAACCACCACTTACCATTTCACTCACTTCTTCACCTTGCCTATGATGCTCTCCACACTATCGATTATGAGGAAGCAGCTCTATACCTTACAGCATAGTAAAAACATAAAGCTGCCAGTATCTCTAAACTTTACAATCAAATGCGGGGTTTTTAATAGAACAAAGCTGCTCGCTGGGGTCAACAGGATCTTGTGTGGTAGTTTCACGATCAAGCTTGCCAATCCCAGATTTCGCAATGTCGCTACCAGCCAAACTGGATCTGGGGGTCGACCTCTTCGACGACGACGACCAAAAAATATTTTTTGGGCTGTTTGCGACATTGAACGCGAAACTTTCACACAAGGTGCAGTTGGCCAAGCCGAGCACATTGCGCTATTCAAAACCCCACGTTTCATTGTAAAGTTTGGAGATACATGCACCTTTATGTTTGTAAGCGTCATGCTATATGAGAAGTGGTCTTTGTTCATTGTCAAGTAGGTGGACCCTGGCAGAGCAAAAGATGCAGAGAGTCGTGTTGTGTAACACAGCTACGTTTGCATGAATGAAAGGGTCAATGTATAATTACTTTATGGATCATCTAGGAACAGGCATGTATTGCTAGCTAACGGCCACTTTTATCCAATCATCATTGTTGCGAGATCCACTGCATGGGAACAATGCCCCTGCTCTAGACATTCATTTCCATGATTAAAGTAGGTTGATCCGAACTGATTTGACTGAGCTGCGGTCAAAGAGAGATTACATCACTCTGGACATCAAGCACGCTCGATGTAGCTCAACCGATGTAATCTTGTGTGAGCGTAACTCAACCAAATCAGCTCGGATCAACCTACTTTATTCATGGAAATGAATGTCTAGAGCAGGAGCATCGTCCACCTACAATAGAATGCACAAAAGTTGGGAATGCACAAAAGTGGCTATTAGCTGCCAATGTATGATATAAAAGTGAGGGTTGCGTACCTTTCATGCATTGTCTCTGAAGTCCTGACTTTTTAGCTGAGTTACTCAAAGAGGTCCTTCTGCATCTTTGGCTCTCCAGGGTCTAGCTACTTGGCAATGAACAAAGACCACTTCTCATATAGCATCACGCTTACAAACATAAAGGTGCCTGTATCTCTAAACTTTACAATCAAACATGGGGTTTTTATTAGAGCAATGTGCTCGGCTTGGCCAACTGCACCTTGTGTGCAAGTTTCAAGTTCATCGTGGCTAATCCCAGATTTCGCAATGTTGCCACCAGCCAAACTGGATCCAGAGATCGACCTCTTGAAACTTTTTTCGACGACCAAAAAATCTTTTTTGGGCTGTTTGCGACATTGAACGCGAAACTTTTACACAAGGTGCTGTTGGCCAAGCCGAGCCCATTGCCCTATTAAAAACCCTGTGTTTGATTGTGAAATCTTGAGATATGGCTGTCTTTATGTTTTCACTATGCTGTAAGCGTGATGGAGTTACTTGTTCCTGGTGGATGGTGTCGGCGGCATGAACGGAAAGATGGAGAGCTCAGTGAAACGGCACGTGGTGGTTACACAAACACGTCCTTGACAGGTCGCTTGCACAAATGGATGGTGATGATTGCCTTTTGTGAAGGTATAAGTAAAACAGCATCCAGCCATGAAGGTGTGTCAAGGCATGTGTATATCACATTTGCATGTAGGAGAAGGTCAAGCTGCGTAAACCAATTTGTATATGTAAAAAGATACGTATACATGTTGATGGGTCACTCATCCTGAACCTCAATGGAGGGATCACTTCACTTTTTCTCTTCTCAAGGTCATCCCACTTCCCATTCCTCCTTATTGTATCACAAAAGCCATGTACTTCTTGCATGACCGATAATAACCGGACCGCCTTTATTATTCCATCTTCGAAGCAATAGTATGCAATCCAGAAGCTAGCAAAGTCCAAGCGTGTAATAAATAAACAATGCTTTATTTCATGTAGCTATCTTGCTACATTGCCACAACCATCGTCGTAGCCGTCCTCCGTCATCGTTCGTACTCGTACTCGTGCTCGTCAGTAGGCGTCAATCTCATTGTCGCAAATATCAAAAACACACAAGTTGAAGAGAATGGGATGTTGGAGGCTTCCTTTTGAATCTCGTTGTCGTTATCATTGTCATTATCATCGTAATCGTCATTGTTGTGAATGTCGTTATCATCGTAATCGCCATCGCTGTGAGTGTGGTAATCATCGTAATCGTCATTGTTGTGGATGTGGTAATCATCGTTATCGTCGTCTCTATAAAGAAAAAAGCAGCAAAGTTAGACCATCTGATACTGGAATGATGATGATTTGGTGTACCGCTAGGCAATCCTCTCAAAGGACGAAAGCAAAGCAGAAGAAATTCACAAACCAAATCACCCACCATACGAGCAACGTCGGGCGATCCCTTGTTCTTGAGAAAGCACTGCACGAATCACGCAAGGCCAATTCGATCCATGGCAAGGAAGGGCTCGCTTAGGTAAAGTCCAGGCTCATAGTTGTCTTCATTCATCCTCTCCAAAGAATAATGATCCCCAATCCTTCCAATCATTTCCCACCTCATGAAAAGAAATCCTCAAGGGAAAGAACGAGCCTATCACGAGAAGAGCGTGTTGGTTTGCATTGGTGTCAAGCTGTTGCAAATGCCCTTTTACCTCAACACGGTGACCATGCTCTTCCAAAAACCTATCGTCGTTGGCCCATCAACTCAAATGCAGGCCCGTAGAGCCCTGGACGCGTTCCAAGAAGCTTTTCCAGCACACTTGGCTAGTGCAGAGCGACGCAGCGGCCACTTGATACAGGCTGGGACTTGAACCCAAAGAGATGATGATGATGCCCCAAGTTGCATTGCCTGACCAAAGAAACCTATTCAATTCATTATTAGCACACACGCACAATAAACACCCTTTTCATTGTTTGTTTCACTGTACTTGCCTTTTCCATATACACAAAGACCCGTTGTTGTTGTTGGTTACTGGAAACCGAAAACCATGGTGTAGTATAGTTGAGCCGAAACAAAACGCCAAACCAGCCAACGTCTTGAAACCAAACTTGCTCTCTATACAAGCTAACACGTCAATGGAACCAGTTCGGCTGCAACATTGGACTCTGAATGTACCTGTTGACACCAAGCGTAGAGCGGGAATAGCAACGAGCAAAAGGAAGCAACAATATCGCCATGGCAGCCACGCTCATTCCTCAGCACTTGGACGCACTCACTGTGGTGCACATACATACAATGACATGCACCTATCATCTATGCCAAATGGCAAGCACCAATTATCTTATACACATACACCGTCATCCTCCGAGATCCAACACACGGTTAAACTATCCCTGCTTTATCAATGGTCGTTGACAGGATTAAGATAGCGACGTACTTTTACAACATGGCCAAGACCCATTTGATACGTCCATCTACATCCTATAGTCTTATCACCGCAACGCTAGTTTCAGATCTTCAATAATATAAAAAGAGAGGCAATTTGTCTTCAGAATAAACATCAGTCTCACAGTACTTTATCTTGTCCCTTTGTTCCTATTATCACTTTTGCCTCTATACATTTCACTCACTCCCTGACAATGCACGTTCACAACTATATTAATACCTCACAGCCAACAAGAGTTTATTGTAATAATGAATGCTGCTATTATTGAATAGGTTCTTGGTCAGGTAGTGCAACTTCGGGCATCATTTCTCAATGGGTTCGACTCCCAGCCTGTACCTTTTGGTCACTTGTTGATATAGCTATTAGAGTACTGTTAGTGATGCTCACGAATGCGTAAAAAATATATAAATGACAAGGTGGCAAATTAGCTTCCATGGAAACCCATGTACTGACAAGGATGGCCACGCGAAGGCTTTGCCGTCACCCTCTCCCCTACGGTGCACCAAGCCGGATAACGGGGGCTGCCATTGTAAACAACAACATCTTCTATAGGTGCTGCTCGAGCCAACATGTTCGGTCTGATAAAAGGATAGCATCCCACGCCCACAGAGGCCGACCCATAAGAGCGAAAAGCAATACATAATCCCATATCTACCACAAGGCTACTGATGAACAGTCTAACTTCCAACGGCTAAGGCAGTAATCCTCAAATGCAATTGATAGGGCCAAGATAGGGCTGACCACACTGTCGCATGTAAATCATAGCTGCCAACGATGCTTTACACAAATGAGCAAGGCACCATCCCGTTCTACCCATAGCAAATAAACATCCGCCATATCAGTAGTTGCTGCCATCAAGCGACCTTTTTGGGTAGGCGTCATCAGAGAGACACATCATGCACTGCAACAAATAAATCCGGCCTTGATGAAATAGCATACGCGAGGATATTGACTTGCAAGAGAACGTCCAAGGTATCCATACAAGTACTTGAGGAATGAGATCCGCCATGGCACCGATAAAAACATTGCTCTGAAGATCCACCGATAAAGAGACGACTTGCAGGTAGCTGATTTCCAAAACCATGGAAACGGTATCCTTGACAACCACAACCATAAGATAGAGATCGCTTGCTTGCTTCTGAGACACCCACCCAAATTCAAATGTTGATCTTCGTCTTCCAATTCTTCAATAGGATTCGCCATTGACAGCTGTAAGAAGAGACTTTGATGGCACCGAAGAGCATGCGAAATTATAGCTTGATGGAATGATGGGCCTATAAAACTGCATATCACTACTTTATCTTTGAGGTAATGGTAGCAATACTTAGCCAGTGTCATATGAGAATCCACGATGTTTGATGCCACCCAGTAATCAAAACACATTTCCTTGCTGTAGAGATGCCGACACAGTGACCAATCCTGATAGCCGTTTCTCCAAGCGATACTTGATGATGAATGCCATGAGAGATGGATACACCTTGACAGCATCAAAAGGACACGTAACATTGTTGTTTGTTGCTGATGTGATACATCCATAAGATACGTGCGGTGAAGAGGGCTCTTGAAATCAATTGGCCAATAACGAGAACACCAGAGGATCAAATAAATGTTGTTGACACTAAAGATGTGGGCTCTGTGGCTCATTGCTGCTTCTTGCTTGTGGCTGATATGATCCACCGATAACAGGCATGCGTAGCAGGATATCCATTGAAAGAGTTGTCAACAACTAGGACCACAATAAGACGAGATAAAACTTGGCGACACCAAAAGGTATAGAACTTGTTGCCTTGCCGCTGCAGATGCAAATAAAAGGAAGTGTCCAATAGGTGGTACAGTAATGAAAACCATCGAACGATGTAATTAGGCAAGCTGACACTGAAGGATGCTATAGACGTTGCTCTTTGACCCTGGCATGATTCGCCTATAAATGATGCACGGTAAACACTTTCCCGAACACATAGAACGATACTTAGCAATGATACCTGCATCCATGAATATTCCAAAGGACCAAAATACAAGTAGCTTGCTGAATAGCCCGCATGCTGTAGTAAAAGAGGGGGTTGGTTGGGATTGGAGCCAAAAAACGGATCATCCACTATTTACCAATGAAGCCAAATGAATAAAACCTTGTCGACATCCAATGATAGCTGCATCCATCATGAATCCAAAGAGAACAAGACAAGTAGCTCGCTGAATAACCCACATGAAAGAGGGTGTTAGTAGGCATTGAAAGAAAGAATGAATCATTATTTACCAATGCCAGCTTCATGTATGAAAATCCCAAAGGACCAAACGACAAGTAGCTTGATGAATAGCCCACATGCTAAGCTAAAAGCGGAGGTTGGCAGACGTTGTAGAACGAATGAATCAGCAATTACCAATGAGAGCCATACGCACGAACATGTCGACATCCAATGACAGCTGCATCCATGATAACCCAAAGAACCAGAATACAAGTAGCTTGTCGAATAGCCCGCATGCTATAATAGAAAAGGGGGTTGGTTGGGATTGGAGCCAAAAAAACGGATCATCCACTATTTACCAATGATATCCATATGCACGAAAAGATGTTGACATCCAATGACAGCTGCATCCATGAAAACCCCAAATGACCACGAGACAAGTAGCTTGCTGAATAGTCCGCACACTATAGTAAAAGAGGATGTTGGTAGGCATTGTAGAAAAGAACGGATCATCAGTTACCAATGACAGTCATATGCACGCAATCCTGATGATATCCAAATCCAGCCGGTTCTTTGCAATCGTCCGCTTGCTGATAAGGCCCGCTACGGTGGTACTCGGCTTGAAAGCGATGGAACGATACTTTATGGCATATGCAGTGAGAAGGTTGAGTAATATTGATACCACCAAAGATAGCATACTTACATGATGCCGAAGAGCCCTTACAAAGAGAGACAACGAGACAATCCTTGCTGCCCAAGACCACATGCAAATCGAGAAAGCATTGTGCATCGAAAAGCCCAAACCAGATCCTAGCTGCGGAGTGACGTACATATGGCTAAAGAGCGATGTGAATGGCAATCGTTTTTCATTGGAAATCGAATGCAGCTTGACGATGAATGCCTTGAGGAGATGCATAAATGACCTTGGTAACACCAAAGATGTCAACGTGGACTCTCATTGCTTGTTGATGACATTATCCATCCATAAGACACGTATAGCTGTAGAGATCCATCAAAGGAATCGCCAATAACCAGAACCACCAAGAGATAGAAAGCTTGCTGATATCAAAGATATACAAGTTGTTCCTTGTTGCTGATGTGATCAATCGATAAGAGACCTTCATTTCAGGATGCCCACCGAATTGCCGATAACGAGAAGAACCAGATGATGGGATAAAGCTTGATATGGAACCAACGATATGGATGCTGTTGTTTGTTGCTGATACAATCCACTCATAAAAGACTTGGCTGACATTCTCCAGAGAAATCGCCCATTGCTTGGTAACCAACCACCCGAGACGCAATAAAGGTTGACACCACCAAAGACATAAACATTTCCCCATGGCTGACATGATTCACCTATAAAAGATGCACCATAAACAATTGTCCAAACTCATCCAACAATACTTAGCAATCATAGCTGTGATCTTGTAAACTCCAAAGCACCAAAAGACAAGTAGCTCTCTGCAATGGTCCCTCTAAATAATAATGGTAGGCGTTTCAGCAAAGGTCCCCAAAAAGCATGAGAGTCATACATACCTGAGCCATGGTGATCACAAGGAATTGCAACCAAATACACCATCCGAAGGCAATACAATAATCAACCTGCAACGCCACGGTATGCCACCATATGTACTATACTCTCATTGGATCCTGAAATTGGCATCATAAGAGATATCCACCTTCTCTCTGTAGGCAAGGAAATCAATAGCCGTACTTGGATGGAGGCCGTGCGCACAGCGGATGCATTTTTAAATCCCTGAGGCCGCATCTTGAGTCACACTGTTTCCGGGCCAAAATTCCCCAGGAGAGCACAGTACTATACAATGACATCCTTGACGTGCAGCCTTGATAATAATAGTATCGCCGAAAGAGGCTCTGCCACTGTATGGCGTTCGGTAAGTTCACTTGAATCCAACCAATCCCACAATGAACACTCTTACCTTGTGGTATTTCTCAATAGCATCATTGCCTCAAATAAAACCGTATCTCCATGTCATCCATATTGTCTTGCTGCTGTTTCACTGTAAGGCTCGTTAATTGACAGGTTTTGCTTTGTACATCCAATTCCATCCATGCATACCATTGAGCCAGCGTACGGCGTTATTGCTTTGATATCAATGTCTTGTTGCTGCCAGAGGTACCATCATCCAACGTGTCCAAGCTACAGTAAATGAAGTGTAAGGTAACAATAGCATTCGCTTTTCATGTCGACATACCCATAGTAACAATAGGTTGCGACCCTCCTTGATGACAACCATGGAAAGCATACACACGACACACGATGCCCCCTTTGGATCTTGTATAAACGAGAGAACAGCAAACTACACGTGAACTTTAGTATCTCAATGTCCAACTTGAATGATAAAGGAATGCAGCGATGGAACGTACATGTTGTATTGCAATGGAAGCTTGGGTCATGGGCAGATCGCGCGCGTGCTTGTTGTTGTTGAATGTCTGCAACTGGAAAGTGTCGCCATTGACCACATGTTCACCCCAATGAACGCTGTACATTGTAAGGAATGCCAGCAATTAACGCGTTGTGGTTTGTAAATGGAGACAAGCTTACCTTTTTTGTGAAGTGGAAATGAAGAAGAGTGGCCTCTTTGTTCCTCCTGTTCTCTCCAATTCGTGCACTCCATGCCACCCCGCTGGCTACAGCTATTATTGTTTATACGTAACCTCAACAATATCCTATGCTCTTAGCTCAATAAGAATGATCACTCCTCAAGACTTCAATTGAGAACAGCCCTCGTAATTAAGCTATTAGGTCTGTGCGCATTACATGAATCAATGGCTTATTCAACTCCCACTCCTGAACCAACTTGTGCAACCTATTGTGCCTATTGTGTAACCTCCTACCAAATATATGAAATCCATTCACTTCAATGCAGAAATAACCAAGTGATCCACCCCTTTCACATCTAAGCTGATCGTACGATACCCAAATTATTATGTTGAATCCAATTCCAATTTTCATTCAATAAAAAGTCGAAGAGCACGTACCAGTACACGGTACTGTGGATGTTTATCAAGCAAATATGATAAAAGAACAGCATTGTTGAATAAGAAGCAGGTGGATCACATAGAGGGAACAGGGATAATTGTGCCATCCTATTCTTGATTGCTGCCGCCATGATCATTCTTCATCCATGATTGCAAAATAGATGCTGTATACTTTGGCTCGAGTATTCCAATATCATCCGTAGCTGTGAAACACCTTCCATTGTCAAAGGTATAAAGCCTTTTTGTCACTTCCTCCAATCTATCACCATCCTAAGCCGTATGCATATGGTATGATTCATCCTTCTGACAACGCGACAAATAATCCTTGCCTTGATTGAACCCATCCGCCATAACCACTACAAATCCAATGTTGATAGAAAGAAGCCCCAGAGGCCGCTGCTGATACGTTCCCTTTCCCATCGACCCTTGGTCACTCTCTTCGTGGTTCACTTCCATCGCAACTCAATCAGTTGAAGACTGCTTGTGTTACGGCGTCGTTGATGGCTGATGGCATGTCATCCAAACTAGACATCACGTTTAAAATGGGCCAAAAAGGGAACCAAACTAGTCAATAGATCCATTCCTTCCATCTCATGTACCAAAGTAATACAGTATTCAGATCCATATCCATATCCATAAGAAGTCATATGTATTGAAGCAAGTTGCTACACGTCAATAAAGCTGCTCCTCTATGATGGCTATCTGCTGTTCACGTAAAAAAGCTGTAAGACACGCTTGCAAGTAAAGAACGCTGTTGGGTACGATGGAGTAAAGAGCTTGCTGATAGCAACTGCTGTATTGAATACTGTTACATTGGATTGTGCCAGGGAAGCGCGCAAGAGTGTGTGTGGTGTCGAGAGACTCGTGTGTTGTAGAAGAGTGACAAGAATGTGTACACGCCATCAACTTGCCTCTCGGTCCAAGACAATCGGATAAAGACGTTCGTAGGATGGACGTGATGGGTTGAAGCAGGACAATCGCTCGCAGGTGGTAGTTGTGCTTGAATGCACCAACAGTGAGAATGGGGGAAAGAGGCAAGAAACAGGGAGTGGAAGACCTTGAAATTAAATAGATTTTTCTGATGCTTGGGTGACGTTTCTAAAGCGTTGCACAGTCAACCCCTCTGGGATCAAGAAAGTTGAATGATGGGAATGTTGGACTGGAGCAGGACAACCATTCACATGCATTGGATTGGGTAAAAATGGTGATTGGGAGGAATGGAATATCAAATGGCAGTTTACGAATAACTAATCAACTGATTCTTTTTGAAGTTGGATGATGTTTCTTTGTTTGAGCATTGTTCAGTCAAATCAGCTCGGATCAAGGAAGTTGAAGGATGGACATGATGGGTTGAAGCAGCACAATCGTTCACATGCATTGGTTTGGGCAACAAAGGCGAATGGAAGGAAGAGGCTATTAGCTGCCAATGATGAGCTGGTGCTGAATGGTTTGGAGGTATCATGCGTCGGCGCTTCCAATCATGCAAAGCCGGCTGTGTTACACGAAGAGGTCTATCTGCATCTTTGGCTCTCCAGGGTCTAGCTACTTTACATTAAACAAAGACCACTCTTCATATAGCATCACGCTTACAAACATAAAGGTGCCTGTATCTCCGAACTTTACAATGAAACGTGGGGTTTTTATTAGCGCAATGTGCTCGGCTCGGCCAACAGCACCTTGTGTGAAAGTTTCACGTTCAATCTCGCAAACAGCCCAAAAAATATTTTTTGGTCGTCGTCGTCGTCGTCGTCGAAGAGGTCGACCCCCAGATCCAGTTTGGCTGGTGGCGACATTGCGAAATCTGGGATTGGCAAGCTTGATCGTGAAACTTTACAGATAAATGGGAGGCCGCTGGCTGGGTCACAGAACCGGGTCACACCGCTTATTCGTGACCCGACGCAAATTATCCATTGTTCGCCTTGAATGAGCGCGTAAGCGCTCCGCTCCACGCATTCTAACCTCTTCCCTCTGTACAAAAACCTACTTCACATCGATGCCTGTGGTCTAATGTCTTCTCATGGCGGCAGCATGGCGGCAGCTTGACTTTCTTTGTATCTCCCAAGTCATACATCCATCATGTTCCACTTTTAGTCTTTGTCGTAAGCGTTGGGCCGTTGGCATGGAGACACGTAGACATTGACATGAGTACCTGACACTGTTTGCTTTAGACGATGCCTTCCATTGTTTAGTTGTCGATCGCATAATATTGTCAACACCACACCTTCATATCGTCGCCATTGATTGCTCTTTTTCACTGCCGCCCTTGTCCTCTGCCGCAACTCCAATCATAGACAACACAACACCACCACCACCACCACCATCATCATCATCATCATCATCACCATCACCATCATCATCATCATCATCATAATCATAATCATCATCATCATCATCATCATCATCATCATCATCATCATCATCATTGCTGCTGTTTTCGTTGCCATCTTTGTCTTCAACTGCAAATCCACATCCACATCCACATCCAAGGGTAGAGTCATATACACATCTCTGCTATATGCCAGGAGACCAGGAGTATCGATTGTCCTAGTATCTCTTTGCCAGTAATCATGGTATTCGGCCCAAAGGTGCAGAACTTGTATGTACCCCTTAGCAACAACAGTTTAAGGTTAGTGGGTAATGGATACAATGATGTGGTTTCAAGATAATTAAACGTGTGATGATACGTAGCATTGGTGTATGAATATAGAAAGAAGAATACGAAGATGGTTACATTGTGGCCGAAGGAAAGCTACCGCTTCTTTGATCCAAAAACGCAACAACATGATGGCAGCCCTCATCCACTAAGTGATTCATCAATCGACCAATACATCAATGCAATTGTCGATCTTTACTCCAGCCAAGTCTCCAAACGCCAAAACATTCATCCTCATCCCCATGGAACAGCACTCAAACATTGGAAAAGAAGAAGGGCATTTGAACAACGAGCGCTCAGGCGTAAGATGAAAGTGGATCGTGGCATTGGTGGAATCAATGATGGATATACGGTGATGAGGTGGTCGACTACTTTTTGATTAATGGTGCAAAACCTGATTTATGGAAATGGATGGAAGAACGATGTATGCAGGATGTTCGGCTGCAATGGATGATCAAATGAAGAAACATGGTCAATGGCAGAAGGACTCTCCACAAAAGCACTGCTTGAATGGTTTGCCAAACGAGTGATAAGGACAATGAACGATTTTCCCCGCTGATGGCCACAAAGTCGAATACTGGTTGGATCGTGTTGAATTTGGTAATGGATATCCCAGGTCATTTGCGCTCAAGGCTTTTGCTTTTGTTACAAGAGTTACGTGTGATATCTCTTCAAGTGGCTGTCATGTTGCGCACATTTACCGGTTTGCTGTGTTGGAGCCTATTCAATCATGATCTATTTCACGACCCCGAATTACATCGATCCATGTCAAGGTTGATATCAGACAAGTGGTTATGATGATGATGGAAGGATCGAAGAGTATGAGCCAAGTGAATACGGCAGGCGTTGGAACAGAGTACGTATATATATACTTTCCTTTATTCGTGGCCTGTATTAATCAACAGGTAAAGAACCCAAACGTGTGGTCAGCAGGGATAACTTTCGTGGGTCGCCTGGTGAAGAAAGCTATGAACGAGTCGAGATGGATGATAAAACGACAACAAGGACATGAATGATAGCGACAGCAGGAACATGGACGATAACTACAGCAGGAACGCAACTCATACACAGCACAAAGATTCGATTTATGTTTTCAGCACATGAAGTATGGAGAGCATGGAATGATGGTTTATACACAGGCACACCAGCAGTGAAAGATCTAGAAGAAGTATCATGCAAAATAGCGAGATAGTACCAAAGGTAGGTCTTGATCCATCGCAATTTCAATCACACAACATTGTGCCTAACACACGTGCTTTTTAGAGCGAAAAGGCTCACTAAACGGAAGAAGATCGTCGATGCCATATACAAGATTCAACAAGAAGAGTATGTTTCTATGCGGAAGCTGTGAATCGCTTTGAATAATGGCGTGGAGTGGGAATTTGGATCGATTATGGAAGGAGCATACCAAGCAACCATGCCGTACCGCTGGATAATTCATGCAACAACGACCATTTTTTTCGTACAGCAACGATTTTTTTTGTACATGTCGAGCATTGTATAGCAAGATCCACATTCCATATCACTCCTCTCATCTTGTATCATATAGTAACATCGCATCACATCACTCACATCACACATCACTTGCCTTTTCATGTATATAAGTAACCTCAATCACTATTAAATTCGTGTTTGACAACAAAGAAAGGGTCATAAATGGTCTTCCCATGGCTGATACAATATTGTGTAATGTGGCAAAATATGCACTTCCTCCCCCTTGTCCATACCCTTATCCATACCCCTATCCATTCCTATGTACATGTTACATGATATCGTGTATCACGACAAATTCTACATCATGGATGGTATGAACAATGGAAATGACCATTATGACTTTTTTTGATAGTAAAACACGAATTTAATGAAGGTAATACATAGTTACTTATATACAAGAAATGCCAAGTGATGTGTGATACGAGGTGATGCTACAATACACAATGCTATACAAAAAACGGTCGCTGTACAAAAAAAGGTGGTTGTTGCTGCATGTATCATCTTTCGGTAGGGCCAGGCTGCTTGCTTAGTTCCTTCCATAATCGATCTAGGCTCCAACTTCCTCGTCGTTCTTCCAGGCGATTCACAGCTTCAGTTATTGAAACATGCTCTGTTTGTTGAATATGGTAGATAGTATCGATAATTTTCTTCCTTTTGCTGAAGAATTTTCGTTCTAAAAAGCACGTGTGTTAGGCACAATGTTGTGTGATTGACATTGCGATGAATCAAGGTCTACCTTTCACACTGCTTCGCCATGATGCCTGATACCGTTCTTCTAGATCTCTTACTGCTGGGGTGCCTCGGTACAAACCTTCATCCCATTCTTTCCATAATTCGTGTACCGTAGTTATGGTGCGACTAAGAACATAGCTTGAATCATTTTGTGGTGTATGTGTTGTGTTCCTGTTGTCGTCGTCGACATCCATATCCCTGCTGTCGTCGACATCCATCTCAACTCGATCGTAGTTTTGTTCACCAGATAACCCACGAAAGATGCCCTTGATTACATGCTTGATCTCTTTGCTGGGTGATTAATACGTAATACGAATAAAGAGCAGAAGTATAATATATATACGTACGTTGTTCCAAATGGGCTGTTGTATTCTCTTGACTCATTTTTTTTAGTTCTTTCAAAAGAGCGGCTTGGTTAGCATCCACCTTGGCATGCATCGATGTCAGCTGGTTGTTGATTATAGGGACCACACTTTGTAGCTGTAGTTGTTCGGGATCTTGTTCAGTGGATGATGTATGGAGAAGTTGTTGTTCGAATTCAAGAAAATCGGGATCGTGAAATAGTTGATGAGTGAAAAGAGGCGAACACTGCAAACCGGGAAACGTGCGCAACATGACAACATCTTGAAGAAATACCAAACGTAACTTTTGTAACAAAATCAAAAAACCTTGGGCGCAAATGGTTTGCGGGCATCCATCACCACGTTCCACACGATCCAACCAGTATTCAACATCGGGGAAAATCTTTCGTTGCAATGATTCACTAGGAGAGACACAGGCACGTTTGAGATAGAATTGTTGACCGTCAGCGGGGAAACCGTTCATTGTCCTTATTACTCGCTTCGGCAAACCCGTAAGATAGTGCTTTTGTAAGCAGTCTTGCTGCCAGCGGCCATGTTTCCTCACTTGATCCTCCGTTGCGCCTGATGCTTCAGCGTACCTTGCACCTGAACCTCTCCCAGCATGTGTTTTGTGGCGACTATGGATATGGCAATGATTGAACGCGTTGGTGATGGCTGTGCGTTGTGCGTCGTAACTGATTTCTTTCAAGCGGTTGTGTCCTTTGCAAACTTTTATATCAAACCAATTATTGTTCTCAAAGTTGGGGAACGGCTCACCGTTCTTTTGAAATCGTTGAAAAAAATACATAGCAAGTGCACCGATGGCACATGTACGGACGTTATTATGGCGAATAGCGGCAACGTATTGTTTGATGTGCTTTTGATTGGTTTTTCCTGCATCGAATTGCAACACCAGCCCAGGACACTCCGTGGGTCCTTCATTGTCAAAATCAAGAGTAAAAATATCGGCCAGCTCTAAGGCTCGAGTGTCCTCACCACGAAGGAGGAGTAAATGATTGAAAAGGAAAGTCATGCGTTCTCGAAGGTCGTGCTCCGCACCATTAATCAAAAAGTAGTCGACCACCTTAAGCATCTCATCACCCGTGTATCCATCGTTGATGCCACCAATGCCACGATCCACTTTCATCTTACGCCTGAGCGCTCGTTGTTCATATGCCCTTCTTCTTTTCCAATGTTTGAGCGCTGTTCCACGGGGATGAGGATGAATGTTTTGGCGTTTGGAGACTTGGCTGGAGTAAAGATCGACAATTGCATTGATGTATTGGTCGATTGTTGAATCACTTAGTGGATGAGGGCTGCCATCGTGTTGTAAATTTTTCTTCCTATTGCCTTTAGGGATAACACACTCGTCCAGAAAACGCAGTAACTTCCCTTCGGTCACAATGTAACCATCTTCGTAATCTCTTTCCATGCACCATTGCTATCATCAATCACACATTCAATTCAGCTTGAACCATTTCCATGTATCCATTGTTCACTAAACCACTAACCTTATACCACTTTTGCTTAGGGGCATATACAAGTGTTGTGCCTTTGGGTCGAATAGCGTATTTACTGGCAAGAGCTTCCAGTACAATTTGGTTCTCCCGTGTACTATTCTCAATGGTCTGTGTTTCATGGGATGTGACGATAAGGCGTGGATTTTGATGTGGATGTGAATTTGTAACTGATGATGAAGATGGCGGCGATGATGATGATGGTGGTGATGATGATGATGTTGTTGGTGGTGTTGTGCTGTGTATGTTTGGATTTGCGATTGAGGATAGGGACGGCTGTGAAAAAGGCAATGACGACGATGAAGGTGCAGTGTCGACCCTATTACGTAACCGGCGACTATGACGAGTGGCGGGAGGCATGGACTAAAGCAAGCATGTCAGGTACGTCATATCACGTCAACAAGTCTCATCTCGATCAACTCGGCCCAATGCTTACAACAAACACTGAATAAGTAAAAGCTGAGGACTTGGAGGGGACACAAAGTAAAGCTGCGTTTTATATAGAGAAGAGCTAAGATATTATGCGAACGTGGGTAAAAAAGAGGATTTTTATATAAAGAAGAGCTAAGACATTATGCGAACGTGGGTAAAAAAGAGGAAGGTGTTAGTCATCTAATGGGCGGGTTTCAACAAGCACTTCCATGGCAATGCACCACTTTCACCGACGCAGTGGCGTGACTCACTCCATATTATCTAGATAAAATGGGGGTCTCCATTCCATTTTACCTAATATTTTTGTGAATCAGGGCTGTGACTCAGCCAAAATTTGGCTGCGGGGTTGTGTGAATCGGCTGTGAATCGGCTGTGAATCTGTGAATCTCGTCCATGAAACTTTCACACAAGGTGCTGTTGGCCAAGCCGAGCACATTGCGCTAATAAAAACCCCACGTTTCATTGTAAAGTTCGGAGATACAGGCACCTTTATGTTTGTAAGCGTGATGCTATAAGAAGAGTGGTGTTTGTTCATTGTCAAGTAGGTGGACCCTGGCAGAGCAAAAGATGCAGAGGGTCGTGTTGTGTAGCACAGCTACGTTTGCATGAATGGAAGGGTCAATGTATAATTACTTTATGGATCATCTAGGAACAGGCATGTATTGCTAGCTAACGGCCACTTTTATCCATTCATCATTGTTGCGAGATCCACTGCATGGGAACGATGCCCCTGCTCTAGACATTCATTTCCATGATTAAAGTAGGTTGATCCGAGCTGATTTGACTGAGCTGCGGTCAAAGAGAGATTACATCACTCTGGACATAAAGCACGCTCGATGTAGCTCAACCGATGTAATCTTGTGTGAGCGTAACTCAACCAAATCAGTTCGGATCAACCTACTTTAATCATGGAAATGAATGTCTAGAGCAGGAGCATCGTCCACCTACAATAGAATGCACAAAAGTTGGGAATGCACAAAAGTGGCTATTACCTGCCAATGTATGACATAAAAGTGAGGGTTGCGTACCTTTCATGCATTGTCCCTGAAGTCCTGACTTTTTAGCTGAGTTACCCAAAGAAGTCCTTCTGCATATTTGGCTCTCCAGGGTCTAGCTACTTGGCAATGAACAAAGACCACTTCTCATATAGCATCACGCTTACAAACATAAAGACGCATGTATCTCTAAACTTTACAATGAAACGTGGGGTTTTTATTAGAGCAATGTACTCGGCTTGGCCAACTGCACCTTGCGTGAAAGTTTCATGGACGAGATTCACAGATTCACAGCCGATTCACAGCCGATTCACACAACCCCGCAGCCAAATTTTGGCTGAGTCACAGCCCTGATTCACAAAAATATTAGGTAAAATGGAATGGAGACCCCCATTTTATCTAGATAATATGGAGTGAGTCACGCCACTGCGTCGGTGAAAGTGGTGCATTGCCATGGAAGTGCTTGTTGAAACCCGCCCATTAGATGACTAACACCTTCCTCTTTTTTACCCACGTTCGCATAATGTCTTAGCTCTTCTTTATATAAAAATCCTCTTTTTTACCCACGTTCGCATAATATCTTAGCTCTTCTCTATATAAAACGCAGCTTTACTTTGTGTCCCCTCCAAGTCCTCAGCTTTTACTTATTCAGTGTTTGTTGTAAGCATTGGGCCGAGTTGATCGAGATGAGACTTGTTGACGTGATATGACGTACCTGACATGCTTGCTTTAGTCCATGCCTCCCGCCACTCGTCATAGTCGCCGGTTACGTAATAGGGTCGACACTGCACCTTCATCGTCGTCATTGCCTTTTTCACAGCCGTCCCTATCCTCAATCGCAAATCCAAACATACACAGCACAACACCACCAACAACATCATCATCATCACCACCATCATCATCATCGCCGCCATCTTCATCATCAGTTACAAATTCACATCCACATCAAAATCCACGCCTTATCGTCACATCCCATGAAACACAGACCATTGAGAATAGTACACGGGAGAACCAAATTGTACTGGAAGCTCTTGCCAGTAAATACGCTATTCGACCCAAAGGCACAACACTTGTATATGCCCCTAAGCAAAAGTGGTATAAGGTTAGTGGTTTAGTGAACAATGGATACATGGAAATGGTTCAAGCTGAATTGAATGTGTGATTGATGATAGCAATGGTGCATGGAAAGAGATTACGAAGATGGTTACATTGTGACCGAAGGGAAGTTACTGCGTTTTCTGGACGAGTGTGTTATCCCTAAAGGCAATAGGAAGAAAAATTTACAACACGATGGCAGCCCTCATCCACTAAGTGATTCAACAATCGACCAATACATCAATGCAATTGTCGATCTTTACTCCAGCCAAGTCTCCAAACGCCAAAACATTCATCCTCATCCCCGTGGAACAGCGCTCAAACATTGGAAAAGAAGAAGGGCATATGAACAACGAGCGTTCAGGCGTAAGATGAAAGTGGATCGTGGCATTGGTGGCATCAACGATGGATACACGGGTGATGAGATGCTTAAGGTGGTCGACTACTTTTTGATTAATGGTGCGGAGCACGACCTTCGAGAACGCATGACTTTCCTTTTCAATCATTTACTCCTCCTTCGTGGTGAGGACACTCGAGCCTTAGAGCTGGCCGATATTTTTACTCTTGATTTTGACAATGAAGGACCCACGGAGTGTCCTGGGCTGGTGTTGCAATTCGATGCAGGAAAAACCAATCAAAAGCACATCAAACAATACGTTGCCGCTATTCGCCATAATAACGTCCGTACATGTGCCATCGGTGCACTTGCTATGTATTTTTTTCAACGATTTCAAAAGAACGGTGAGCCGTTCCCCAACTTTGAGAACAATAATTGGTTTGATATAAAAGTTTGCAAAGGACACAACCGCTTGAAAGAAATCAGTTACGACGCACAACGCACAGCCATCACCAACGCGTTCAATCATTGCCATATCCATAGTCGCCACAAAACACATGCTGGGAGAGGTTCAGGTGCAAGGTACGCTGAAGCATCAGGCGCAACGGAGGATCAAGTGAGGAAACATGGCCGCTGGCAGCAAGACTGCTTACAAAAGCACTATCTTACGGGTTTGCCGAAGCGAGTAATAAGGACAATGAACGGTTTCCCCGCTGACGGTCAACAATTCTATCTCAAACGTGCCTGTGTCTCTCCTAGTGAATCATTGCAACGAAAGATTTTCCCCGATGTTGAATACTGGTTGGATCGTGTGGAACGTGGTGATGGATGCCCGCAAACCATTTGCGCCCAAGGTTTTTTGATTTTGTTACAAAAGTTACGTTTGGTATTTCTTCAAGATGTTGTCATGTTGCGCACGTTTCCCGGTTTGCAGTGTTCGCCTCTTTTCACTCATCAACTATTTCACGATCCCGATTTTCTTGAATTCGAACAACAACTTCTCCATACATCATCCACTGAACAAGATCCCGAACAACTACAGCTACAAAGTGTGGTCCCTATAATCAACAACCAGCTGACATCGATGCATGCCAAGGTGGATGCTAACCAAGCCGCTCTTTTGAAAGAACTAAAAAAAATGAGTCAAGAGAATACAACAGCCCATTTGGAACAACGTACGTATATATATTATACTTCTGCTCTTTATTCGTATTACGTATTAATCACCCAGCAAAGAGATCAAGCATGTAATCAAGGGCATCTTTCGTGGGTTATCTGGTGAACAAAACTACGATCGAGTTGAGATGGATGTCGACGACAGCAGGGATATGGATGTCGACGACGACAACAGGAACACAACACATACACCACAAAATGATTCAAGCTATGTTCTTAGTCGCACCATAACTACGGTACACGAATTATGGAAAGAATGGGATGAAGGTTTGTACCGAGGCACCCCAGCAGTAAGAGATCTAGAAGAACGGTATCAGGCATCATGGCGAAGCAGTGTGAAAGGTAGACCTTGATTCATCGCAATGTCAATCACACAACATTGTGCCTAACACACGTGCTTTTTAGAACGAAAATTCTTCAGCAAAAGGAAGAAAATTATCGATACTATCTACCATATTCAACAAACAGAGCATGTTTCAATAACTGAAGCTGTGAATCGCCTGGAAGAACGACGAGGAAGTTGGAGCCTAGATCGATTATGGAAGGAACTAAGCAAGCAGCCTGGCCCTACCGAAAGATGATACATGCAGCAACAACCACCTTTTTTTGTACAGCGACCGTTTTTTGTATAGCATTGTGTATTGTAGCATCACCTCGTATCACACATCACTTGGCATTTCTTGTATATAAGTAACTATGTATTACCTTCATTAAATTCGTGTTTTACTATCAAAAAAAGTCATAATGGTCATTTCCATTGTTCATACCATCCATGATGTAGAATTTGTCGTGATACACGATATCATGTAACATGTACATAGGAATGGATAGGGGTATGGATAAGGGTATGGACAAGGGGGAGGAAGTGCATATTTTGCCACATTACACAATATTGTATCAGCCATGGGAAGACCATTTATGACCCTTTCTTTGTTGTCAAACACGAATTTAATAGTGATTGAGGTTACTTATATACATGAAAAGGCAAGTGATGTGTGATGTGAGTGATGTGATGCGATGTTACTATATGATACAAGATGAGAGGAGTGATATGGAATGTGGATCTTGCTATACAATGCTCGACATGTACAAAAAAAATCGTTGCTGTACGAAAAAAATGGTCGTTGTTGCATGAATTATCCAGCGGTACGGCATGGTTGCTTGGTATGCTCCTTCCATAATCGATCCAAATTCCCACTCCACGCCATTATTCAAAGCGATTCACAGCTTCCGCATAGAAACATACTCTTCTTGTTGAATCTTGTATATGGCATCGACGATCTTCTTCCGTTTAGTGAGCCTTTTCGCTCTAAAAAGCACGTGTGTTAGGCACAATGTTGTGTGATTGAAATTGCGATGGATCAAGACCTACCTTTGGTACTATCTCGCTATTTTGCATGATACTTCTTCTAGATCTTTCACTGCTGGTGTGCCTGTGTATAAACCATCATTCCATGCTCTCCATACTTCATGTGCTGAAAACATAAATCGAATCTTTGTGCTGTGTATGAGTTGCGTTCCTGCTGTAGTTATCGTCCATGTTCCTGCTGTCGCTATCATTCATGTCCTTGTTGTCGTTTTATCATCCATCTCGACTCGTTCATAGCTTTCTTCACCAGGCGACCCACGAAAGTTATCCCTGCTGACCACACGTTTGGGTTCTTTACCTGTTGATTAATACAGGCCACGAATAAAGGAAAGTATATATATACGTACTCTGTTCCAACGCCTGCCGTATTCACTTGGCTCATACTCTTCGATCCTTCCATCATCATCATAACCACTTGTCTGATATCAACCTTGACATGGATCGATGTAATTCGGGGTCGTGAAATAGATCATGATTGAATAGGCTCCAACACAGCAAACCGGTAAATGTGCGCAACATGACAGCCACTTGAAGAGATATCACACGTAACTCTTGTAACAAAAGCAAAAGCCTTGAGCGCAAATGACCTGGGATATCCATTACCAAATTCAACACGATCCAACCAGTATTCGACTTTGTGGCCATCAGCGGGGAAAATCGTTCATTGTCCTTATCACTCGTTTGGCAAACCATTCAAGCAGTGCTTTTGTGGAGAGTCCTTCTGCCATTGACCATGTTTCTTCATTTGATCATCCATTGCAGCCGAACATCCTGCATACATCGTTCTTCCATCCATTTCCATAAATCAGGTTTTGCACCATTAATCAAAAAGTAGTCGACCACCTCATCACCGTATATCCATCATTGATTCCACCAATGCCACGATCCACTTTCATCTTACGCCTGAGCGCTCGTTGTTCAAATGCCCTTCTTCTTTTCCAATGTTTGAGTGCTGTTCCATGGGGATGAGGATGAATGTTTTGGCGTTTGGAGACTTGGCTGGAGTAAAGATCGACAATTGCATTGATGTATTGGTCGATTGATGAATCACTTAGTGGATGAGGGCTGCCATCATGTTGTTGCGTTTTTGGATCAAAGAAGCGGTAGCTTTCCTTCGGCCACAATGTAACCATCTTCGTATTCTTCTTTCTATATTCATACACCAATGCTACGTATCATCACACGTTTAATTATCTTGAAACCACATCATTGTATCCATTACCCACTAACCTTAAACTGTTGTTGCTAAGGGGTACATACAAGTTCTGCACCTTTGGGCCGAATACCATGATTACTGGCAAAGAGATACTAGGACAATCGATACTCCTGGTCTCCTGGCATATAGCAGAGATGTGTATATGACTCTACCCTTGGATGTGGATGTGGATGTGGATTTGCAGTTGAAGACAAAGATGGCAACGAAAACAGCAGCAATGATGATGATGATGATGATGATGATGATGATGATGATGATGATGATTATGATTATGATGATGATGATGATGATGGTGATGGTGATGATGATGATGATGATGGTGGTGGTGGTGGTGGTGGTGTTGTGTTGTCTATGATTGGAGTTGCGGCAGAGGACAAGGGCGGCAGTGAAAAAGAGCAATCAATGGCGACGATATGAAGGTGTGGTGTTGACAATATTATGCGATCGACAACTAAACAATGGAAGGCATCGTCTAAAGCAAACAGTGTCAGGTACTCATGTCAATGTCTACGTGTCTCCATGCCAACGGCCCAACGCTTACGACAAAGACTAAAAGTGGAACATGATGGATGTATGACTTGGGAGATACAAAGAAAGTCAAGCTGCCGCCATGCTGCCGCCATGAGAAGACATTAGACCACAGGCATCGATGTGAAGTAGGTTTTTGTACAGAGGGAAGAGGTTAGAATGCGTGGAGCGGAGCGCTTACGCGCTCATTCAAGGCGAACAATGGATAATTTGCGTCGGGTCACGAATAAGCGGTGTGACCCGGTTCTGTGACCCAGCCAGCGGCCTCCCATTTATCTGTAAAGTTTCACGTTCAATCTCGCAAACAGCCCAAAAAATATTTTTTGGTCGTCGTCGTCGTCGTCGTCGAAGAGGTCGACCCCCAGATCCAGTTTGGCTGGTGGCGACATTGCGAAATCTGGGATTGGCAAGCTTGATCGTGAAACTTTCACGCAAGGTGCTGTTGGCCAAGCCGAGCACATTGCTCTAATAAAAAACCCACGTTTGATTGTAAAGTTTGGAGATACAGACACCTTTATGTTTTTACTATGCTATAAGGTATAGAGCTGTTTCCTCATAATGGATAGTGTGGAGAGCATCAAAGGCAAGGTGAAGAAGTGAGTGAAATGATACGTGGTGGTTACACACACTCGCATCTTTATCTCAGAACCTGATTCATGCATGACACCAAGCCAGGAGTTACTTGTGAAGGCGTCACTAATTTGTTGGTGCTGTATCAGTGAGTGCTCAAGATCTCATGATCTACATAAAAACTCTTCTCAACCCATCAATCTATAGCTCATCACCATTCCCAACAAACGTTTAGTACTCCTCTTTTCTCTTTGTGATCCTTGCAGATAGCGTGGATCTTGTCGCTTTATTCATTCCGCACATCTCTTCCCTCGATCACATCACCCTTTGGGTGTGTAGTACAACGTCAAATTTGAAGCTTATATGGATACCATGGCGGATAATCATCTTTCAGTGATACATCATGTATTAATATTGGTGAGGCGGAAGCAAGGCACATCCTTTAGTTTCGTAGTCTGAGAATTAATGCTAGCATTACATGTCGTCAATAGGATGATCATCTCTTTTCGTTGTTTGTATCTGAAGTTGGGCTTGATGTGAGGGATAAAGACTTGTGTGGATATGCCTTTGCGTAGGAGTATACAACACCAGCAATGAAGCCTACGCGAAAACGATTAGAAGACATTTCTATAATCTGCCTATTATCGGAGGTGCTTACCAATTAAGATGGCGGATACATTTCCAAAGGTTGCAGGATCACCAAAAAAGACGATTCCAGAGATGGCAATAGGAAGTTTGTTGAGTGAGCCAACCATGGAATACGTCGTCGATGAGGTTGTTCGAACGCACCAAGCTGAAGCATATGACATGCCAAATGCTGATGCACCTGAAAAAATCATTGCCCAAATGCGTGCCTGGCGCTGCTCATCAGGGCTATACATGTCATGTAAGGAATTAATACTTTACTTCTTGGGGACTATGTTGTTCCTTCTTGGCAGGTATACTTACAAGTTGACTTGGAAATTAGCCATTGACCAGTCTTCAAGGAGTAAGCTTGGGACAAGGAGCAAAGGGATAGATAAAAGGTTATTGTAGTATACGGTATCAAAATCCTTGAAATTGGTCAACTTAATACGCTTTCGCATGTACAGCACAAAGGATGCTGAAGAAAGGCAATTGAAGAGCATCCAAAAGTATCCAATCATTGGTACACCTGTGTATTCGCTGCGGTATACATCCATCATGGAGCTGATGGCTTCTGATACGTCGTTCCAACCCGCAATGACTGATGACAGCGTCTGTTATTATATACGTTAATGATTAAGGAGGTGAATTTTCATTACATTATACATACCATTAAGCTAAACGATGTCATCATCATGCCTGTGATGCTGCCACCAAACCAAAGTACTTCACCGTATGCAATCAATATAATAGTGAGATTCTTGAAAATGGTATACACAGGGATAGGAAGGAATTGCAATGCCTTGGAGCCTGTATAGATCATGGCCACAAGAAAGATGGTGATAGGGAACCATTTTTTGGCCTCTTCAGTGTTGTATGCACGAAATTTGATGAGATTGAGAAACTTGAAGGTTTGCAAAAGCACCACAGTGACAATGCTCTATGAAGAATTACGTTAGCAACCTATGATATATGCAATTGTATGGCCATGTACCTGAACGGTCAGCAAAAGAAACACCATATTAAAATCTCCACTGACAACGTATTTGTTGGTCACTGTCATGACAATGCTGGCAACACAATAGCTCAAAATGGGCAAGCTCGTTTGTACGACTGGAGGCAATTGGACATGCCGAGATGAGACAACTGCCGGTGATGCGTTTGTCATATCGGTAGACTGTTTTTCGGATATGTCAACAGCCAACAAACAAGCATCCTTTTTCTCCATGGATTGGGCCATCTACCGATGTCTTGAGTGAAAAAGGCCAAGGGATGAGTGAAAGTATGAGAGAGGAAGATAAAACCACCCTCTGCAGGAGATTAAATACACCAAGTGCAATGGCATGCATATAGCCTGATTTGGATTAAACCGGGAAATCTACCCAGTCTATCATGGAATGCATACATGTATCGATATGCCTCCTCCTCAGGCATCCTATGTATCACTGGGAATGCTGCTTAGTGCTGTCAACGCTAAAACTTTCATTGTTGATACGTGGGAAACAATGTCTCATGTGACCTCCAGCTTTTGTCATACATACTACACCTTTGTTATTGTGTACCTTTTCACTCCTTGCCATCGAATACATATATAAAAGCGATGGTAATGTGCTTGATCATATGATGGATAAATGAGTAGAGGATCTATGAAGGAAGGAATAGGCATAAGATCGATGACAAATGAAACGCGTTAGCTTTTACCCAGATAAGTATGAAATGTGGGGAAGGGCAACTGTGCTGAAGTAAGCAGAAATGGGAGGCTCAAGCTGAGGAGGGAGGAATCCTGCTGTTCCCCGCTTAAAGTGAAGGTTCCGCTCATTGAAGCAGCAAATGGTATCGATCCGCATTAGTAACCGCTATTCCCACTCAACCATATAAAAATGACAACCCCAGCTTTTTCAAGCGAGATCTCGATTTTCCCGCCTGTCTCAGTTTACATCTTTCTCTTCTTTTCATCAAAATGGTTGTCTACAAGTCTACGTTTCCACCTATCGATTTACCAAACGTCGATCTTTATACCTTCTTATTTGCACCCAATGAATACAATGCCCGCTTACCACACGATCGCAAAGTGGTTATTGACGGCCACACAGGCCGATCCTTAACATATTCCCAAGTTCGCGACCTCTCAGGACGTCTTGCCACTGGCTGGAAGGAGAAGGTTGGATTGAAAAAGGGTGATATTGTTGCAAGCTTTGCACCCAATCAATATGATCACATTGTTGTGTATCTATCATTGTTGGCAGCACAGGTCACTGTCACCCCTGGGTAAGCATATACACAGTGTCATTATGGAAAAACAATGAAACCGGAAGTTAATTTATTGTCTTTTACTATACTCAGCAATCCCAGCTATACCGAAGGTAAAACTCATTGACACGTTTATTCTATATACATCATTGTACTCACTACTACCGATATCAATTTAGCCGAATTCCTTCATCAAATCTCAAACTCGGGTGCCAAGGCATTGGTTACTGTACCTGCATTGCTTCCAGTATTGCTCAAGGTCTGTGCCAAGGTGGGCATTCCAAAGGAGCGCATCTTTTTGTATGGCGAAAATGATGCTCAAGGTATTCCCTCTGTCTACTCGTTGCTTGCCGACAAGCCTGTTGCCTTCCCCATCAAGGGCATCAATCCCAAAGAAGATGTTGCGTTCGTCTGCTACTCTAGTGGCACCACTGGTCTCGCTAAAGGTGTCATGCTTACCCATCGCAACTTTATCTCGCAAACCATGCTCTCCAATGCTGTCGGTGAAAAAGATAAGGCCGAAGACGATATCGTGCTTGGCTTCTTGCCTTTCTTCCACATTTTTGGTGAGTGCTTCAACCTCATTGTACGTCTTGTGGTATACAATGCTAATCGTACCATGTCGTAGGCTTAACGGTGCTATGTCTCAACGCATTCTACAAGCTGCAACCAGTGGTTGTCATGTCCAAGTTTGATTTGCAACTCTTCTGTGAGCTCATTCAAAAGTACAAGATCACGCTCGTTAGCATTGTGCCTCCTGTTGGTAAGTATGACGCATGACACGTGTTGGTTTCAAGAAGGTGCTGATGCATGGATGTATATCACAGCTGTCGCTTTGGCCAAGCATCCTTTGGTGACCAAGTATGACTTGAGCTCGGTACGCATCTTGGGTTGTGGTGCTGCACCTTTGGGCAAGGAACATATCGAGGCTTTGAAGTTGCGTATGCCTGCACAGTTGAAACAAGGTTATGGCATGACTGAAACTACCAGTGGTGTTATTTCTCAACAAGCTGATGGTGGTACTCCAGGTAAGAGATCTATACTCATCTAAAAAGGACATCATTATTGATTAGCATTGTTTCTATAGGCTCCATTGGTGTTATTTATCCTAACATTGAAGCCAAGATTGTGGATGTGGATTCTGGTAAAGGTAAACTTTCGTGATGGGATCATTGGGACGAAGCACGTAATCTAATCTTTTTACGGATATCATGATTAGAGCTTGGAGATAATCAAGAAGGTGAATTGTTGGTCCGTGGCCCTAGCATCATGAAGGGATACTTGAACAATGATGAAGCCAACGCCAAGACTTTTACTACTGACGGCTGGATGCGTACTGGTGATGTCTGCAAATTTGACAGCACAACCCAAGAATTCTACATTATGGATCGTCTTAAGGAGCTTATCAAGTACAAGGGCTTCCAAGTTGCTCCTGCTGGTAAGTCGGAAAGATTATGTTAGGAGTGAGCAATCAAACTCACGTTACTTTATTTCTAGAATTGGAAGCTTTGCTTTTGAGTATGCCTGAGGTTGCTGATGTATGTGTTATTGGCGTTTACGACTCTTCTCAAGCAACCGAGCTTCCTCGAGCATACATTGTTCCACAAGCCAACGTTAAAGCTGATGCAGCTCTTGCCAAAAAGATCAAGGACTTTGTTGCTTCTCAAGTGACCAACTATAAGCAATTGCGTGGTGGTGTGCACTTCTTGGAGCAGATTCCCAAGAGCACAAGTGGCAAGATCCTCCGACGACAAGTGAGAGATATGGCAAAGAAACAAGATGCTGCTGCTGCTCCTGTTCAAGCCAGATTGTAGATAGCGCAAGGAACAGTATATTATTATATACCTGCTAGTTACTTAGATATAGTTTCATATGCATTTTTTTCATCTTTATTAAAACAATGGACCCGCAGAGCGGTATAGAACCAACTTGAGTCGTCGTCGCTTATGACCGAGAGAGGGGCAGGTACAATAACGCGGAGCTCAGGGTAAAAGTTTGCAAAGCTGCAATAATGAAAACCACTATCCTTTTTGACACATCCATCCGCTTTTTTTTTTTTTACTCTTATCTACTTTTTCTTCTTTCTCGTATTCATCGTATTCGACATTGACTATGTCAAATGATGTTGACACCAAAACAGTAGTTCAAGACACATCCACAAACACCAAAACAACAAAAAGGAAACGACATGCACTTGTTAAAAGATTACATAATTTCATACCCCCATTCCCAGCATGGAAAAAGCCTGTCAAGCAAGCTATTGCATTGTTGATTGGTGTCATTATGACTCTCAGTGATCGTTGTCGAGAAGCAATAGGCCCGGGCTCACTTTTGTGCGCAATCGTTGTTATCTTTTATTTCCCTGCAAGGACATTTGGTGTTGTACTCGAAGTAAGTGCTATTTGATAATAAGCCAAGTCATTATGATGACCACCAACACTCGTTGTATCCATACCAGGATGTCATTTACGGTGCTCTTGGGGCCACAATAGCAGCTGCGTATACGATCTTGGGTACGTAGAGATTGTACGTCATAAGGATATTCCCACAATGATACTAACATGACGTCTTAGCAATGTTTTGTGCAAATCTCGCCCGAGATCCCACCGATCCAATAGCTGTTCAACCTGAATCCAGTGGCGTTTTGGCAATCTTCATGTTTGTTGGAGTATTTATCGTCAGCAACATTCGGCAGCGAATACCCAGAGGTTGGCAATAAACATACATTCCATCGAAAACAGCAACACTCACCAAAAGCAATAGCAACGTTTGCATGTATCAATGCGTCCATCATGTTTGCAGTAAGTGCAGCCCCGCTATTGTGAGATCTTCATCGTGTAACCAGGAACATGATGTCATAGTTTGTGTTGACCGATGCGTCCTCGATAAATGGATTCACCCCATCACTTGCGGTACATAGCCAGGCCCTCTTCGCAACATCATATGATACTAAACATACCTCTGTTAGTGGCAATTTCTCATTCCCATTTGTATCGGATCAGCCATTTGTGTTGCCGTAGCGATGCTAATATGGCCTGAAGACAGCATCACCAATTACATGAGTGTGCTGACAAAGGGATTGGAAGCGCATAATGCATTCTTCAAGGAGCACTCGGAGGCATTTCTTGGAATCTCGCCAATATCGTCATCATCTTATTCGCAAACAACGCCAACTTCCAGCTCGCTATCGGTTCTCCATGATCGATTGCAAAACAACACTTTGACGCTGATTGATTGCAAACGTGCAGTGCATCGTGATATACTCTTCTCGCGCGTCAATGGGCAGGATATTAGCAAGCTTACTCAATTGACAAAGACATTACAGAGTCCTTTGTATGGTATCGGTGTCAGCCATATTGTAAAGGATGACATTTGTAACAGCGAACCGGACCATGAAGTAGCCGTTTTCAAGGACACCATCCAAGAGATCAGTAACATGTTTGAGCCCCTTGCCGAAGCATGCTATGGTGCGACAGCCAACATCATTGAGAGATTGCATGAATTTCACGACACGAAGCCTCGTTCAACACTCAACAGCATTTTATGGCCATTCCCAAGACTCTTCATTTTTAAAAGACGGCAACAACATGACCTTGAAAAGGATGGCAAGGCGTCGTATTCATCCGTAGGACTTTCAAATATTCTTAATCAATGCAAAGACGTGGATTGGTGGCCAGTGGTTGCACCTCTTCAACAACACAGCGAACCTCTTTCATTGTACGCCGTTTCTTTTTATCGTCATCAGCTCAGCAATTACTGCCAACGTCTCATTAGCTTGCTGGAGTTTATTGAACATCTTGAAAGCACTCGAAAAAGTCGACGACTATGGATCCCTTCTCATAAAGCCATCAGAAAACGGTTCCAACAAACGCATCAGGATGTGAGCCACGATGGCACAGGTGGCATGAATGAAGAAACCTTGGTGACAGGTCTCTCGCTTGTACGCACCAACACTCGTATCGATGACAACGAGATTTCTTATGAACAACAACCACGAAGGCCTAGTACGCTATTATCGACAACGTCGCATAGCACTCCTCGTAAAACCACCATGTACTACCGCGACCCTGACGTTGATCCACCAACAACACGTATGCAACGCTTTTGGTTCAAGATGCATCTACTTTACTCGTGGCTACTTCAACCCCAAACGTTCTTTGCATTCAAAGCAGCTGGTGGTTGCTGTGTATTGGCAATCCCATTCTATCTCCCGTGGACAGTGGATTGGTATATGGAATGGCGTGGCAATTGGGCTCTTATCATTCTCCAAGTATGGGCATCATCATCCATGTCTGGTTTATTCTTTTTCAAGTATGTATACTAAGCTATTCTATGTCTTGAGCTGCTTATAACGTCGTATATGGATTAGTTCTCTGCTGCGTTTTGCTGGTACAGCATTTGGAGGCATCCTTGGTATGCTCGTATGGGAAATGACAAGAGCCAATCCGTATGGCATGGCGGTGGTCCTCTTCGTTGGCTTTGTGTTATTGTATCATGTTTTCGTCTCCAAGCCAATGTATCGTGTGGTGCCTATGTTAACTGCTGTTACGATGATGCTGGTAAGTGGGTTGTCATTGTGTAAAAGTACAAAGAAGTACTTGGCTAACAATCAACTCATTTAAGGTTGTTTTGTACTCCTACAACTTCAAAGTTGGTGTCTTTCAAGGGAATTGGCCAGTATACACCATCGCTGGAAAGGCAAGTGATTGATCTTCGATACCACAAAGGGGACTATTGGTAATAATACGAACATTGCTTCATTGTTTCTACAGCGTGTGCTGCTTGTTATTATTGGCTTAGTAGCTGCATCCATTATCACCATGTTTCCTGCTCCCATGACAGCTCGCGTGGAATTACGCAAACGGCTCGCTCAAACACTACGAAGTATCGGTGGCATGTACAGCATCCTAGCTTCTCAAATCCTTATTCCAGAGACAGCAACCATGACATCCACTGAAGAACAAGCCAAGGGATTACGTCGCCTAGCACTTGAACTCCAACGCCAGATTGCGGATGAACGCAGCTTTTTACAGTTATCCAGTTATGAGCCGCCATTACGTGGTCGATTCCCAAAGGAGAATTATGTGTCTGTTTTACAGCATGTTAGTACAATGGCAGACTTGGTTTATTTGATGGTAAGCGACGAGATGGTTGGGTTACTCAGGTGCATTCTCGGTGGACTAGTATGTAACCATGTAAACTTTAGGGCACTGCCACCAATGAAATGCAAGCTCATGTAAGGCAACAAATTGCAGAAGCAATGGCTGAACACCGAAGAGACTATGTAAGTAAAGGATCATGGACATCTTTATATTTCATTGTGTTGCTGAATCAGGGTCATCCACCTATTATAGGCAGCTTCAATTGTCACCATCATCAAACTACTTGCAACAACCCTATCCTCCAAAATGGCCCTTCCAGCTTATATGATTGCCCCGGAAGAAGCACGCGAGCGATACGCACGAGCTCTCAAGAATAGGATTACCATAAGGCCTGACAACATCAATCACCCATCTTTCTTTTGTTACAGTGCGTATGTTGTCACAAGCACTGCGTTTGTCCAAGAGCTTCAGAACTTGCTTGAGGTGGTCGAGAGACTTGTTGGCGTTGAAGATCCCCAAGAATGGCTTCGCATGCATATCCAATAGCCCCTTGTATTAATCTCTTATGTCTACACGCTTACAATTCCATCGCAATGGTTGTGGAAGATAATTGTATTAACAACTTTAATATCCTGTATAATAAATTATCTGATTTCCAAGGTACTCGATGCATACGTACACGTAAAACGAAGGATGGTGAGCACGTGGTATAAAAGACGGCATGTTTCATTCCAAACCCCACCTTGCAGCCAGCACACACGCACTGACCAACCCTAAATTTGACGATGTAAAGAAGAACATGCAATGAAATTCGACCTCCGTTCCTATTGACAACACGTGTTTCCACGTCAGGTTCATTCTTCATAGGAGACATCATGATGAGATTGGGAAGATGTTGCTTGCCGATATATCCACGGATGCACGGCAATAAGAAAGCTTTGTAGTAATTCGGGCGGTGTCGGCCCGCGGACATCATAGTACAGCAATACATGTATCACGCCGTTAAAATCATTCTTTCGTTTGTCATTGATATTGCTTGATGTTCTTTTTCGACAACTAGCAGTAACGATGGTAAGCAATTCGCCTATCTTCTGCATCTGCTGGTTCAATGTCTCTTGCAACCCAACTTGAGCTTATTATTGTAAAGGCTTTGTATTATGGTGCAGCTGTTATCCTTGTTAACTACGTAGGGAACCCTACCTGTTAGCATTGAGCGTAACGTATTGTGTCCACGTCCACAAATAGACAAGCTGTACACAACAAAGGGGCAAAGGGGCGGATGTTTTCATTGCAGCATCTCAGCGAATGCCCGCTAGTAGGGAGGTGGGCCTGATTCGAACCAACAATAAAACCTTTTAGACCTCGAAAAACATCGATGCGAGACTACTAAAGTCATCTTTATGGATTAACACGGGGATCAGCTTTGAGGTAGGGTGGTGAAAACGTTTGCTTGGAAAGTTATCCAAAAAAGTGAAAAACCATGCATGATCGGAGCTGGATCAAATTCGGGTGTACCGTTGACCCGCTCTTTTGATGGTGCAGTTTCAGCGGTTTGCAAGGTGCCGAGATCAAAAAGAGCAATTGTTTGCCCCACCACCAGCTATTCAACTTTCTCCTTTCCCTCTTTTTTCTTTTCACTTTTCTTTTACATCTTGCTAATACCTCTTGTCTATGCCTAAAGCTCTCGAAGCTCTCAAACCACCACCTTTTGAAAAATGGCGGAAGCCGATAAAGGCTGCCGTGGCCATGTTAATTGGGTGTATTATGACGTTCAGTGACCGCTGTCGAGAAGCAATCGGTTCTGCATCCCTGTTAGTCGCAATATCGGTCGTCTTTTACTTTCCATTCAAGACCGTTGGTGTTGTATTCGAGGTAAAAAGAATAAACAAGGATGAATGTACGCGTTGTCTTTTGCTCACAGAGCATGATTCATAATCAAAGGATGTGATTTTGGGCACATTTAGCGCGCTCGTTAGTACGGCATATTGCTGTTTAGGTTCGTGAGATCTGTGCGTGGAAGAACAAAAAGAACAATAGGCATGATGCTGATCTTTGACTTTTACAATAGGCATGTATGCAGCCAACCTTGCACGCGATCCCAACAATCCATCACCTGTACAACCTAAATCAAGTGGCATTCTCGTCGTTTTCCTATTCGTTGCCACCTTTTTTATGTCGTATATCCGTATCAAGATCCCAAGAGGTTAGCACGTTAGCTGAACCGAAATCAAAAAAATGCTGACATATCTTCGTTTCCCGCCATCGTGATTAGCCATGTTCCCGACAATCATTGCTTCTATTCTCGTTTGCGTGAGTGATCTTTGTGGAAGATGAGACAGCATGTTGGATATGCGAGCTCATGTTTTTGGGTTAGTTTGTTTTGACACAATCTTCGGTGATACCTGGTTTCCAGCCAGTCTTATTGGTGAGCTTTGACGTTCGAAAACAATGCAAACAATGCTAACTGATAAAATTTTAGTGGACGTTCCTTAAGCCTCTTGCACTTGGTGGTGGCATATGCGTTGCTGTATCAGCATTAATATGGCCAGATGATAGCATGTCCAATTACATGGCTATCCTCTCAAAGAATTTGAGCGGATTCAATGCTTTCTTTAAGGAGCATTCTGAAGGCTTTCTTTTACTCGAATCAACGCCTCGAGATTCTCAACCTACTGCTGATCCCACCCTTCCTACGATGAACAGCCGCCTACAAGATACCACCCTTATGCTAATTGATTGTAAAAGAGCTGTTCATCGAGATATCATCTTTTCTCGATTGAATGGAAAGGACGTGAGCAAATTGACACAACTTGTCAAAAATCTGCAAGCACCTCTTTATGGAATCGGACTTAGTCAAATATGCAGGAACAAGTTTTTGCGAAAGATTGATGATGAAAAAGAGACAGCCGTCTTGAATACAGCCATCCAAGATATACGTGATGCATGTGGTCAGCTGGCTGATACATGTAATGAAGCCCTCAAGGATTCCATCGATAGGTTACAGAGTTTCCATGGCAACACGAACCGTACAGCACTTAATTCCATGTTATGGCCATTCCCACGACTTTTTTGCAGCCAACGCCGCCAACGCCGCCCTAGCACAAAAGGAAAGGACGAGGAGTATACCGATATGCAAGGGCAGCAGCCACATGTTGATTCACAACAATTACGACAGCAGCTGGATCGATTGAAAAACCAAGCATGTGAAAGCACGGTTCGATTATACAACCTTCATCATGACAACATTGACAAACGCCATGTGGGCGGCATGCATGTGCTTTCTCTTTATCGTTACAATCTTTTCAAGTATGCCGAACGCCTTATCGAGCTGATTGAATTTATCGAGACAATTGAAGTAACACGCACACGTCGCCGATTATGGTTTCCTACGATCAAGGCTCTTAAAAAGTGGTTCCAGTCATCGTCGTCAAATAGCAGTGATCCAAATCTTGGTGCAGGACAAGCCTTTGATACGAATCAAATGGGTGGTGGGCTCGTGCGTATTCAAACCAAGGATGATGAAAACAATGACAGCAACCGCTTTGTCTCAAATGGCCGATCTAGCAAATTGTATCACCGCGATCCTGATTGCAATCCTCCCGAGACTACATTTCAGCGCATTTGCTACAAGCTATACATCATCAAACAATGGTTTTATGAAGCCGATACATTCTTCGCCTTTAAGACTGCAGCTGGTACGGTGCTTTTGGCATTGCCCATTTATCTCAAGGAAAGCGCAGCATGGTATGTCGAGTGGCATGGTCAGTGGGCTGACATCATTGCCATGTTATGGTTGATGCCTACAACGGGTGTCTTTTACTTCTCGGGTATCATGCGAGTCGTTGGCACTGTTGCAGGAGGTGTCTTGGCTATTGTCGTATGGGAGATCTCAAGGGGCAATCCTTACGGCCTTGGTGTGCTCATCTTTGTCATGGCAACATTCTTTTATTACATTTTGATCTATAAGCCGCTACTACGTACGCTTGCTATTATGACATTGATTACTATGGTGCTGGTAAGGACATTGGAATTGTATGGGATAGCAATGGTATTCATGTTTCATTTACATAGGTCGACATTTATGAGTACCAATATCAAATCCAAGGCATTGCTGATGCCAATCCAGTATGGACGATTGCTGGTATGCGTATGCTACTTGTCATCATTGGTATTGTAGCCGCCATTTTTATCATGATGATCCCTACCCAAGTCACCGGCAGAGTGGAGCTCCGTAAACGGCTTGCACAAACATTGCGAGATGTGGGGCGTATGTTTGGATTCATATCACGGCAATTCCTTGGAGCTGATCAACAAGAATACAATGACGACCAAATCAAACACATCCGTCGGCTGGTGCTTGATCTGCAAAGGCAAATATCGGATGAGCGTACCTTCCTTATGATGTCACGGTTCGAGCCTCCCCTTCGTGGCAAATTCCCTACCGCCAGCTATGGCATCGTTGTTGAAAAAGTCAGCACAATGGTCTTTTTGATATACAGCATGGTACGTAGTACATACATGCCATATAGCTAACAGGAAAGGGATCATTAATCGTTGACGGCATGTGTTTAGTGCTTTGCTCTTCGGGATATGGATCCGCAATGGCGTGAGAAGGTGGCGATAAGCAACACTGAAGAACGCAAAGTTTATGTAAGATTATCATTGACACGTGCTTTCAATCCAATCTCACCTTTATCTTGTTTTATAAGGTTGCATCGATATTGACAACCATCAAGCTGATTGCTACCACGCTAGCATCCAAGATGGCGCTTCCACCTTACATGGTACCTGCTACTCAGATAAGAGATCACTATGCCGATATCCTCTTTCGTACCATCCAAGTCAAACCCGAGGACTTGACGCATCCCTCTTTCCTTCCATACACATCCTACATTGTAGCACGTCATACCTTTGTGGATGAGCTGCAAGAATTACTTGAAGCAGTGCAAGATTTAGTTGGTGTTGAAGATCCTGATGAGTGGTTGCGTAGTTATTCGTAATATGATGCGCTGCTACTTTGTGATGGATACCAACCAATAGATATTGCGTGATGTCTTAAACATTCATCCCGATCCCCACACCTTGAAAACTGTGCAACGTGTAACTGCTGACATTCTTCTTTCCTTCCTCCTCCTTTCCTCTTTAATAATCCCAAATGAATTCCCTTCGCGCATTTGCTCGTGCCTATTCTACTGTTCAACCAGGTGTTCGCCCTGGCGTGAGTATTGTCTTGTTTTATTGTCGCGATTGCGTTTAAAAAAGTACATGCATTGACCGTTGCTGCATATTTAAAGATTACTAAAGGCTTTGTTGGTGCTATTGGAAACACTCCTCTTGTAAGTGGGATATCATTTTGAGGTGCAACACTATATGCAGTGAGCTGATAAGCAATGATAGATTCGTTTGAATCGTTTAAGCGAGGAAACTGGATCCGAGATTTTGGCCAAGGCCGAGTTCATGAACCCTGGTGGTTCCGTCAAAGATCGTGCTGCTTTGTATGTGGTGAAGGATGCTGAGGAACGTGGATTGATCAAGCCTGGTGGTACTGTTGTGGAAGGCACTGCTGGTAACACTGGTATTGGTTTGGCTCATGTGTGCCGTGCTAAAGGCTACAAGTGCGTGATCTACATGCCAAACACCCAGGTAAGGAAGATAAGGATGAAGATGAAAGTAGAGGATAAAGTATCTCATGCATGGCTTTTTATCTTTTAGTCTCAAGAAAAGATTGACTTGTTGCGTATGCTTGGTGCTGAAGTGCATCCTGTTCCTGCTGTTGCTTTTGATAACCCTCAAAATTACAACCATCAAGCCCGTCGACATGCTGAAGAACTCGACAACGCTGTGTGGACCAACCAATTCGACAACACTGCCAACCGACGTGCTCACATTGAAACCACTGGACCCGAGATTTGGGCACAAACAGAAGGACTTGTTGATGGCTTTACTTGTGCTACTGGTACTGGTGGCACTTTTGCTGGCACTGCTCGTTACCTCAAGACCCAAAACCCTAACATCAAGGCCTACGTTGCCGATCCTCCTGGATCTGTGCTTCACAGCTACTTCCAAAGTGGTGGCAAGCTTATGGATCGTGCTGGTGGTTCCATCACTGAAGGTATTGGCCAGGGTCGTATCACCGACAATATGGCACAGGATGTTGGTATTGTTGATGGTTCTTTCAATGTCCCTGATGAGGAATCCATTGCCATGCTCTATCGTTTGTTGGATGAGGAGGGTATCTATCTTGGTGCCAGCTCTGCATTGAACGTTGTTGCTGCTGTCAAACTCGCCAAGGAGCTTGGTACTGGTAAGTGGGATAAAGGCCAAAGAAGAAGCGTGAGAAAATGTGTTGCTGACACCTTTATAGGCAAGCGTATTGTCACTATCATGGCTGATGGTGCTTATAGATACCAATCGCGTCTTTTCAGCCGTCAATGGCTCGAGAGCAAGAACCTTGAAAAGGCCATCCCTGATCACTTGCAAAAGTACATTGTTCTCCCTTAGATTGCTAGATTCCAGAAATGTGATAATAGATAAAAAAGCAACTTGTGTATATCATTCGATTTGTATAATTTTCTCCCAAGTATACTTTATTGTGGGTATGTCACGATTTGGATCGAGAGAAGTAATATCAAGGGACTAGCCGCTGGGATTGGTTAGCTTAACACTACCTATGCAGTAATGATTTTACCCCTTTACGCAAACACGCTAGGACTCCATAGAATCCATCTTTAGAGGACCTGCCATCTTTTGTCATCCAAGTCTTTATCATAAGAGATTGCATCTGTAATAAGCTGCCCTGGAACACCGTTCACGACAGCGAGAATATCAGGTCATGAACAGCAGCATGTCCTATCTAATTTGCTATACATATAAATGATGAGCTAATATCCGTTCTTGTAGCTAGACCCTATAGAGCCGGAGATACAGAGGGACCTCTTTGTGTAACACAGCTGTTTTGCAGGATTGGAAGGGTCGATGTATGATACTTTATGCATCATTTAGTAATACTTAAACATTGCAAGTTAACTGGCACTTCTTCCCGATCACCTTTGTTGCCTAATCCAATGCATACGAACGATTCCTCTACTCCAGCCCATCATCTCCATCATTTAACTTTCATGATCCAAGAGGATTTGACTGAAAAACGCTCAAACACAGAAGTATCGCCCAATATGAGAAAAATCATTTTGCAAAGTTATTTGTAAACTGCCACTTGATAGCCCATTCCTCCCATTCACCTTTGTTGCCTAATCCAATGCATACGAACGATTCCTCTACTCCAGCCCATCATCCCCCTCCTTCAACTTCCATGATCCAAGAGGATTTGATTGAGCAACGCTTGTACAAAGAAGTATCATTCAACATCAGATCAACCTGTTTTAATTTCCACTTCTTCCTCTCCCCTTCTTCCCCTCCTCCTCCTCCCATTCTCGACTGTTGCCCCATTCAAGTACAATTACCACCTGCCAACGATTGTCCTGCTTCAACCCATCATGTCAATCCTACAACTGCCCTGATCCGATTACCTTTGACTGAATGGCAAGTCCATGGCGTGTACACAGCCTTATTGCTACTCTACTACAACACACGAGCCTCTCGACACTACGTACTCTCTTGTACACTCCTCTGCCACAACCAGTTGTAACAGCATTCATTGCAGCATTTGCCATTAGCAAGGTCTCCATTGTGTCAAACAGCGTTCTTTATTTGAAACAGCTTGTCTACAGCCTTGTTCACGTGAACAGCAGATAGCCATTAAATAGTAGCAGCCTTATTTACGTGTAGCAACTTGCTTCAATACATGCAACTTTTTATGGATATGGATATGGATGTGGATATGGACATTGGTTTGGTGCATGGGATGGAAGGATATGGACATACACAATGCGTGGAGAAAGAGCCTTGTTCTTATGAATCCATTGACAACTTGACCTTGATGCTATTATGCTGAACGAATGCTGCCTCCAGTTATCGTACTTTACACGCTATTCCAAGGCAGCTGCTATCATCATCCATTCGTGCTACTTGTCAACCAAGTAGAGTCATCATTATCCAACTCTACGCTTACTTTGCATACATTTCGCCATCACGCATCCTAGCACCTCACGTTCATCCATTCACCTTTGCACTACCCACGCTCAAAAGGTAGAAACTTATCAAATGGATGTATCTCCTCCATTGAAGCAATTCGTTGGACCTCTCGATCTATCTCACTTTTGAATGATGTTGGATTAAAGAGTTACTTTGATGAATACTGGATTGCGTTGGACAACCATTTCTAAGTTTCTTTAAGACTTTCCTTTCTCCTGTGTTGGACCTCGTCGTGCGTGGGCACTTGGTGCATATAGATTTATGGCATGGTAAATCAAGATTATCCTCTTATAAATGCTGTGATGATGGAAAAAGAGAGGAAGAGAGAGCGTCTGATTTATTCATTGTGTCTTAAACAAAGGCGATATGTGCACAGCGCAAGTCCTTTTGGAATCCAACATTGCATATGCATCTGCGAAGATAGCTACATCAAAAGAATTATTATGAGTGTGTGCCTCACCCAGTAATATGATTACGTTTTACTTCAATAAAGAGCCCAATAGCATAATACCTCCAACAATGATAATGAAAGTAGGATAACAATGAAACGCTAAAAGTCATTACAAATACTACCACATGGATCACTCACAAAGAGGACTACTCACCATGGCACTTACCAAGGACTTTAAAGGTGTCAGCAATCAAAGAGTGACCATATGAGGGAAGGAAGTGATGCATGATCAAAATGATGGACGACATTGTCTTTTATGTGCAGGTGCATGTGGATACTTTTGTAATCACAAAAGCTTGATGAGCGTATAGAATGATGAAGCAACTTCACAAAGAGCCTTTGATGTAATCGAATGTCCATGGATAAATCAGGTATCAGATAAACAAGGTTGTCATACCCGTCATCAAACAATGACATCCATCCGCCATCACGAATCACTTGCTGTACCCAGTATCCATGACGACGTTCGAAAAGTGTTCGTTACAAAAATATGAGTCAATGACACTTCCATCAACAAACATTGCGCACACGCCTAAATGTTCGTGCCCAACTCGTCAAGCAACATGGTGGGGCTTAAGGTAAGCATGATAGCTTCGACGAGATATGGAGCGACAATTGCTTGAATGGTATTAGTTTCATTTGAAGGGGAGAAACTATGAGCTAATGGATGTGGGGTTGTTATCTACATAGCTGGAACAGCAACGACCCCTACTTGGGATATCAATGCGACCACATTTATTCACAAAGAACACGATTAATGGCAAAAAGGATGCATATTGCATAATTTATTATCACCGAAAAGTAAACACAAAAATGGATGGTATAATGACGATGGTGTGTGCAACAATCTGGGATAGAGGAAAATGGTTAATCGTCGTCGTCCAAGTACTATCAGATATACAGCAAGCAACCCATTCACCCCGGTACCTTTTCACCACGTGAAACTATCAAACGTTAGTGTTTTTATTCTTGTGTCTCATTCTTCATCCTCCAGTAAACTCTGAGTTTAGTGCACGTTCCTTTAGCCGGAACCGAAGTTGCTATTTTACCTATTACACACCTTTCTTCCTGGCACAAAACGCGCCCTATTCGATAACTATCCCTCTTTCTCTCCGCCATTGAACAATGCTATCCCGGCGTCCATTGTTGTTATGGCTTGCATTGCTGCTAGCTCAAAGTTTATCCGTACAAGCCGATGAGACACGCATTGTAAGCACGCCCCTCTTGTTCATTGCCATGTTCCTGCGACCTTTCTCACCAACTCAACACGCATAATCTTTATAGACCAGTGATGACCTCTTTACCACGGCATGCTCTGGCATATGGAGTAAGGACGATGTCCCCGGAAATGACGAGTCCTTTATTAAAGGTACTAGCACATACACATACACGCTAAGACACATCCTCTAAGATATGATCCATAGTGACGCTCGACAACACTTCTCAGGGCAAGACAGCCATGCTTATCTATGAATGGAATGATTTCGATCGCATTGGGATGGTTAATAATGAAACTGGCCAGGTACATTGACAAAAGCAAATTTGGGGAATAGTAGCGGGATGATTTACTTGGCGTGGATCTCATTCATTAGGTGCAATACATCTGCGATGACTATGCTGTCGACAATCACATCTGCGACGCTGTTGACTATGGCACATTTATCGTCAAACAAGATCCCAATGATAACTCATCCATCTTTACCACTGCATTCAGCCTGAAGAAGAACGAGACAGCCATGCCTGAGATTGTGCTATACAAGGTGGATCATACAGGATACTATTGTGTGGCTATCATTCATGCCAATCTTGAGCCTGAGGAAGGTGATCGTTTCGATGCATGGATTGAATGGCGACTTCCCTATGGCAACCTTCCAGCATCCGATTATCCCAAGTTACTGGTAAGGAATATAGCTTTACAAAGGCACATTGTTACGTGTTCACTCAATCGTTGTATAGTTTTATGGTGCATTCTCGATTGCGTATTTGGCTGTAGGTATTGCCTGGGGTATCCAAACTTATCGATTCTGGAACGACATTTTGCCTGTGCAGGTAAGACAAGTGGGATGTAAAAGGAAAGGGCATCAACGGACTAAGTCGCTTTGTAGCACTTTTTATCGGCAACCATATTCTTTCTCATTGTTGAAATGGCCATCAATTGGGGTTTCTGGGAAGCATATAATCAAGCAGGATCGCCTTGTAAGTTCTTCAAAAAAGGATGGTATGACAGCTGCTGACTGTAATCCAACACCAATCATGTAGCATACGGCCTTTTAGCATTGGTGGCATTTATGAACGCTGGCAGAAATAGGTAATGGGAATGGGCAAGGAAAAACGGTCCACATGTGCTCATTTCTTTGTTTACTAGTATGTCATTCTTCATGTTGCTGGTGGTATCCTTGGGATACAGCGTGGTAAAGTGAGTATAAAAACTTTGTTGTATGACCTCTTCTTGTTGCTTATATTATCCATTCATAGGCCAAGTCTTGGATCCACCATGAAAAAATGCGTCGTTCTTGCTGGCACACATTTCTTTTTCGGTGTTATCTACTCTTTGGGTGTGATGTTGCTATCGCCAGGTAGGTATAGGTCATGGTTGTTTATGTGTCATTGTTGACTAAGGAGTACATGTAGAATCGGCTGGATTCATGGTTTTACTGGTTATCTTCCCTCTTGCATTGACCATGTCGGCATTTTACGTGTGGATTTTCAGCTCGCTTACCAATACGATTGCCACGCTAGGTAAATGATTATAGGTGGAAATGATATGTATATACTAGTGCTAAATGTGCAATACATAGAGGTACGCAAGCAACATGTCAAGGCATTGATGTACACAAGGCTTCATCGATTACTCGTTTTCTCGGTGTTTATGGTCATTGTCATTTTCATTCTCAACATGTTTGCCTTTAGCGGACGCAATCAAGTAGACTGGGCTGCTAAAAGCTGGAAATGGCGGTGGATTACCATGGATGGTCTCCTTAATTTGCTCTACTTTGTGGTATTCCTGGTCATTGTTATCTTATGGCGTCCTACAAGCAACAATCAGCGTTATGGTTTGCAACAAATCAGTCAGGATGAAGAGGAAGCTATCGCTCTTGAAAATCAACTTCGTCACGCCGGCTTGGATGCCGATAGCACAGCCATCTTTGATTTGGGAGATGATGACATGAGTGATAACGGTGACCACCACGGCAGCAGCAAAGTGAAGCTCATGACCGTACCCAACCATGAGAACGATCAACATGAATCAAGTAGCAACCATGTCCAAGCATCAAGCAGCAGGGAAAACATCAACAAAAAGGATGATCCTAGCGAAGATGAGGATGATGAGGATGATGGGTAAGAGTATATATAGCGAAATGGATCTACAAGTGAAAGGTACTGATATGGCCCTTTTTTTCTTTATAGACCTGATGATGATGAACGAGCCCATTTGACAAGCAATGCAAGAAAGTAATTGCGAATGTAAAAATATATTGATTTTCTCTCCCAAAACGAATAAATGTATAATCTATATAACGTAAAGGGGATCAATTGGAAGGAAAGGGAAACGAGACATGGAATAGTATCAACGAACGACTGTAGCTGGGAATGGTTTTCCAAGTTTCCATCCTGCTGTACGCCTTATTCGTGGTGATGTATCGCCTGCCACTTCGGCATAAAGTCGAGTCAACTCTCCAACGTAGTACTCCGTTTCTCTGAAGCCGACAGCATTTGGATTAACAACAAGCCGATCCATGGTACTCCTTGGTAAAAAGAGGCCATCCTTTCTTGGGAGCACACGTTGTACACGTTGAGCATGTTCGCGTAGACGTTCAATGAGGACATTACATGATGAGATATAGAATAAACGGCAAGTACGAGATGCTTTGAGAAGGAAGGGTGTATCAAGATATGAAAGCATGAGCTCCACAATTTCAGTTGGTAGACTCGTCCAATGGCTGTTTTGTGTTGGACGTGATGGCGGTGAAGGTGAAGGTGGTGGTTGTGGTTGTAATAGGCTGAGTGTGGTGACCATACGTCCTTCGCGACATCGTTTTGCACGCCATTTAAGCTTTTCCATAATCTTGTGTGCATCATCCACTTTGGTCGAACCCGCTGATTCAATCTCGATACGTCGTGTAGAAAGATGTCGAATCACTTCCAAATGCGACATGTCTGCTGGACCACGACCCAATTTGATAAATTCAGTTTTGAGTGTCTTTTTGGTGATAGCAAGTACGGCAGGCCATAGCTGTGTCTCGGTCATTTGTAATTTGAGTTCTTGTCCAAGTTCGATTGCTTGTTCACCGCCAATGAATGGATATTGCATGAAATGTGTGTTTTGCTGAACTTCCGCCACTTGCTCGGTAGATCCTGGACATACGATAATGAAATAGGCATCGCGCTTCAACAATAACTCGCAAAACTAGGAAGAATGATTCCATATCAATATTGCATATCATCTAATGAAGATCCCTATTACCTTCTTCTGTTCCGGGTCAATGCTTAGTGTCTCGTTTAAGAAAGGATCATAGTATTCGGTCATATCTGGGTCGAGTCCATACAAGTTGAGATAGTGAAGTAGCTGTTGGCAAGCAGGACAATCAGCCCGTTTCAGTGTAATGAGTATCAAGCTGTAATCGGACGCCAATTGCTCCACGTTAACGGGTCGTCCCTTTTGTATAGCCCCCAATGGTCAGCATTCTACTTTTGCAATGGCGTCATGTGTTGGGAGTACCTGCAAGTCGAGAAGCTCTTTCCTAGGAAACGAGCGAGGAGCCGTTGCCATAGTATGAAATGATGCTTGAAAGTCGATATCAGGATTGAACAATGGTGTATCCATGGTATGAGTGGAAGGGAAAAGGGGGAGGAAAGAAAGAGAGAGAGGATCGGATCGTCACAGCAACAAACATAGCGGTGAAACTGAGCTCATCCTAGAATCACTGTTTGTGTCATGCAACTACAATTCCGACACACATACGTTCATCTCCTGTCGATCATCCTTTATTCTACGGGCTACTTTTATAGGAACATTTGGACATAAGAAGAATGAATACGATATGATTACAGATGCTGGTGCGGAGGGCGGGTTTATTCTTGTGGCAAAACTTGGCATTTTTTTGTTGATGCAAGAAAGAGAGAATGATGGGATAGAGAGAAAAGAAAAAAAAGACACAATTAAAACACAAAACGTGGATGGTGTGTTGTACACGTCTAATTGGAAACCAAGTAGTTCAATCGTTCGGCAATGGAGAGCTGGGTACGGGTGACGTTGGCGAGGTAGACAACCATCAAAAGATCTTGCAAATGAGAGTTGAACATCTTCTCGAATGATGCATTATCCAACTTGGGAACAACAGACACAGTATCCATGATATAACGACCAATAGCATTGTTGGGCTTCTCCTTACCAGCCTTTAAGAGCATAGATCTCAATAAGTATATGATCCCCCAATATCCACTCAATCCTATCTCTTTTCCTTACCAAAACGCTCTCGACGTATTCGCTGATTCTCTGCAAGAGTTCTTGTAATTTGCTGATGGCAACTTCCAAATGATCCATATCAGAAAGGAGATTTGCGGTACGGCTTTCAGTAGACTTGGCAGATGCAAGCATATCCACTAATGATTGGAAAATGTCAATTTTGATTCATCCAATACCCATTGATATAGCCTTACATCCACTACGTTCAGCATCCAAGTACTTGATCTCGCATGGGACTGGAAGATACATGCAATCACCAGGCTTTGTGGAGAATCCAACGGGTGCACTAAAACACGTTGATTGATTGTCATGTCAGCCTTCCATCAAGATAAGCTGTGTATATGATCCTCACCATGTGTATGCTCGCATGCCCACATCGTCACTCTTGAACAACATTTCGGTATCAATAGTAAGTTGAATAGGTCGGAAAGGAGTTGTATCTTGGCTAAAGAAGGTGTGGAGAGGAGCGCTGGATGGCGATACACCAGGGCCAGCAGTGTACCAGCCCAAGATAGTTTCTTGGGGATTGACTCTTAGGTGCAAGTCGTGCATGCTGCTGTAATGCTCCTTGTCAAGAACAATTTGGGATTCCTCTTCAGTGTAGATCACGCTGAATGCGTTGCGAATTTCCACTTCGGTGCCATCGGGGCTACGAGCACCAAGAAGGGCGCCAACGACCTTGTTCTGTTGCTCATCGCGACGCAAAAACTGATCGAGAACGGAAAAGAGAACGACAGGGCTGACTGTGCAAGTGAATGGTCGTTGATAAGGTGCCGTGGAAGAATTGCCAACTGAGACGTGTAGAGCTTCCATAATGAGCGTTGTGTTGGGAGGGAAAAGAAGGCCTTTGTTCTTGCCAAAACGAAAAAAGTTGTTGTATTGAAACGCAGTCCCGAGATCCAATCGGACACACGCACACACACACACACACACGCACACGCACTGAGTCGGCTGTCGGTGTCAATATACTACGTAATGTGGTTGCGCGTATGCCACCTCCTCCTGCTACTCTTTTCTCTATTGCATATTCCACACCAATATGGCCACCTTGGAAGACAAATCCTTATGGGAAAACCAAGAAGCCGACGATGAAGTCGAACAAGAAATTCGCCGCTTAGCTCCAGAGGAAATCAACAACAGGACTAGACTACTGGAAAATGATATCAAGGTATGTGCAATGAGTAACCCACACACACACACACACACATTGAGAACACGTCTCCCAACTCACCTCCATTACACCCCTCCCTCTAGGTCATGAAATCAGAAGTGGTACGCTTACAGCACGAGCAGACTGCCATGCGTGAACGCATCAAGGACAACAAGGAGAAAATCAAGTTGAACAAGCAGCTTCCATACTTGGTCAGCAATGTCATCGAGGTTAGATTTCTCTTCAGCAATCAGCAACCCACCACGTAGGGTATACCTTTCTGTTTCTCTGATATCGTTTCTCCACTTTAGCTCCTCGATGTCGATCCTGAACCAGATGAGGAAGAGGGTGCAAACGTTGACCTTGACTCACGACGCAAAGGCAAATGTGCTGTTATCAGAACATCTACGCGACAGGTACATCACGTGATTTGAAGAAGCTATTGTTAAGGAGCATGTGCATTAATCATATACATTGCATTAGACTGTATTCTTGCCATTGATTGGTCTTGTTGATCCTGAAACTCTCAAACCTGGCGACCTTATCGGTGTGAACAAGGATAGTTTCTTGATCTTGGATACATTACCTGCAGAGTAAGTGATAGGAAAGGATGACGATGGAGGCCCATGGCTCATCTTTGATAAATTAGGTATGATTCCCGAGTAAAGGCTATGGAGGTGGATGAGAAACCTACAGAGGATTACAACGACATTGGTGGTCTGGATAAGCAAATCGAAGAATTGGTGGAGGCTGTTGTACTTCCCATGACACATGCCGATCGTTTCAAGAATATTGGTATTCGGCCGCCAAAGGGTGTTTTGATGTATGGTCCCCCTGGTACTGGCAAGACCCTACTTGCAAGAGCTTGTGCAGCACAAACCAACTCAACCTATCTCAAACTTGCTGGTCCACAACTTGTACAGGTAAATACATATAACCCAACATTATTCATTGGAAGGGAAAAACCATGTTGCTCATCGCCGTGATTATTATTATTATTAGATGTTTATTGGTGATGGTGCAAAGCTGGTGCGTGATGCTTTCAACTTGGCCAAAGAAAAGGCACCTTCTATTATCTTCATTGATGAATTGGATGCTGTCGGTACAAAGCGTTTCGACTCTGAAAAATCGGGTGATCGTGAAGTACAGCGTACCATGTTGGAGCTTTTGAATCAGCTGGATGGTTTTTCATCAGATGATCGTATCAAGGTGATTGCTGCCACCAACCGTATTGATATCCTCGATCCTGCATTGCTTCGGTCAGGGCGTCTTGATCGTAAGATTGAATTCCCATTGCCAAACGAAGAAGCTCGTGCACGTATTCTCCAGATCCACTCTCGTAAGATGAACGTCAGCAAGGATGTCAACTTTGAAGAATTGTCTCGATGCTGTGACGAATTCAATGGTGCTCAATGCAAGGCTGTTTGTGTTGAGAGTAAGTTTTATCGATATGTGATATGGATGCAATGCACATGGTACTTACAAGGGATGGTATTTTAGGTGGTATGTTGGCCCTTCGGCGAGGAGCTGTTGAAATCTCTCATGAGGACTTTATGGATGCTATTCAAGAAGTACAAGCAAAGAAGAAAATGTCGCTTCAATACTATGCGTAATAAACACCAACATCTCTTTTGCGTCATTCCCCAATATGTGAGACACCATGAGACAATAGATTGGATGGCCTCGGTGAATTTGCTACATCAACCTATGCTCCTTTTCTTTCTTTTTCTCTTTATACACAATAAACAAATATCAGAATGAATGGTCGAGGAGGTGGTGGAGGTGGAGAAGGGTAGGAGTAAAGGAATTGCAATAGGGTTGCCATGGAAATAACCATGCGCTGTATCTAGGATATTTCACCTTTCTGCCACAGACAATGACGTGCTATGGTTACCGTCACCTGAGAAGCGAATATCCACACCACCATTGTCACCGCAAGTTGAACAATGGTTTCAACCATCACGTAGTACGACAATGCACAGTATCCAAAGCGAGAGAACACACACATCATCCACATCCGCTACATCAAAGATACCCTGGAGACAACGATGGAAAAGCCGAATTCACCAGCGACTTCCCAACAAACGAATCATACGACGTGTACTGAAATGCAGCTTGGCTTACTTTTTAGCAACGCTATTTATCTTGATCAAACCTGTGGCTAATGCACTTGGACCAGCACCATTTTTATGTGCCACAGGGATGCTGTTTAGCCATCCTGGGAGAACCGTAGGTGCACAAGTGGATACTACAGCGATGGCATGTATGGGGATTCTATTGTCAGTTGCCTATGGAATGGGTGGTGTTGCCGTATCAGCTTCTGGACATCGGCCGTATACATGCATATTTCTATTTTGTGGTATCTTTACAGCTTCTGCTTTACGACAACAATGGCCACGCTTCTTTTTCTTTTCATTGCACTTTATGGTGTTGCAAATCTTTATCTTGACAGCATTGGGACCCAATTTGATACTCCCACTAAAATACGGAATTCCCATGCTCATTGGATGTGGTGTATCTCTTCTCGTCAACCTTGTAGTATGGCCCGAATCTGCTACCGACAATCTTGGTATACTTAAGACATCATCCATTCTTGTTATGGTTGTAATAATGTATCATTTATGTATTACTTTAGGACGCACGATTCAAGAGACCATGCAAAACTGCCGAGAAACGCTGATCGCCCTTACAGAACAATTCTTTTTGAGCCCAACAGCGGAACCCATGGATCAGCGATCCATTGATCAGCTCGTCGAAAAGATGCGTAAAACCATGACCAAGATGCGTGGTGCCTATCGAGAAGCAAAATACGAGATCTCATATACCTATGTTCGCCCACAAGAGTTGCTGGAATTACGCAAAGCGCTAGAGCGTATTGTCAATCACCTTGGTGCCTTGAGTGGATCATTGCGTGCAGAGCGTCAAATCTTTGGCCGAGAATACGATGTCGATGCTATTGTCAAGAGAAATCGAAGACGTACCGACAATCGACTCATTTTGTACAATTATCTCGAGCGTTTGCGTGACCCACTTACTCGCTTGTCAAATGAATGTGCTGAGATGCTGCAATACCTTGTGGACGAGTTTGATGAAGAGAAGCAGGAGAGCATTAACAATAGCGACAAGCGTCCTGAACAACCAACGATCCATCTGCAGGATTTTGATAATGAGGAGAAAGAACGGATTTGCTCGCTGCATCTACGAGAAGAACTTTTTCTTGTGGTCTTTTTCATTTTCTCTTTACGTCAGGTGGCTAAGGAGCTTGAGACAATGGCAACATCATTCCAAGAGTTGCTTGAAAGACGAGGCAACAGGAAATCGCTTTACTTTCCCAAACCCATTAGCAAACGATGGCTGCTCAAATACATCTTTACAAGCAATTATCAAAGCACACGTGACAAAGGAGGCTATACACATGGTAAACAAACCTATACTACAACTGCAATGATCCTCCATGGCTCATTTTTTTATGTATCTCATCATACATAGCATCCTTGGAGCGCTATCTACGTCCTGAAGAACATGATCAACAACGAAACGCTCGCACTCAAGAGCTTGATCTCGAACGCAACATCACACGAGCTTCTATTGCTACACAACAAGAAAACAGCAATGCACAACAAGCTATACCCACAGCAAAGATGAAGCGATGCAAACATAGAGAATGGGTGCTTCACTTTCGATACAAGTTGTGGCTGCTGTTGAAACACATAACCAAGTACGAATTCAAGTTTGCACTCAAAATGGCTGTTGCTGTAACAGCGCTCTGTACACCAGCATTTGTTCCATGGACGGCTTCTTGGTTTGCACAAGATCGTGCACAATGGGCTGCTGTCACCGTAAGTGGTACTTGAAAACATGATGTAGCATACTTTTAGCTAACATGGCATATAGGTAGTAGCTATCATGAATCCCACAAGGTAGGTTACTATTGTTGGTATTTGTGAAAAGCGCATGTAACTCACCACACTGGATAGTGGAGGAACATTGCATGCTAGCTTGTGGCGTATCATCGGAACGATTATCGGCGCTTTAGTTGGATGGGCAGCATTAGAGACTGGGCAAGGGAGTGCCTATGTATTGGGCCTTTTTGCTGCATTATTGGGTACGTGTATATGAAATGATGAAATCCCATGTCATTGACCACTTGCTTTGCTTAGCTATTCCGTTTTTCTATATTCACCTTGGAAGCACCTACAATAAAGTCGGCATCGTGGTTCTAATAACATACGTCGCATTGCCACTCGTTCACTATGCCCTACCATCTGGCTCGATAGAAGACTCAATATGGTATTTAATATTAAACGCAAACCCAAAACAAGCTATGAAAACTCATACGCTCTTTTCACCATAGGAAACGATTCGCAGCGGTCATCGTTGGTATCATTGGTAAGCTATATACGTGAAGAAGGAATGGATATGAACCCAACGTTTACTAATTGCCCATCATCCTCCCATGTATAGTATCCATGATCCTCAACTCGTAAGTACAGCGTACTCGAAACCCCATTTGCTGTAAGCTCACTAATGCAATAGACTCGTTTGGCCGTTTCTTGCTCGTCACGCGACTCGTAGATCAGTCTCAGCTATAGTGCGACGATTGGGAGAGCATTACACATTTTTGGTTGGCACATTTTTATACCACGATCCACAAGAACCTCCTTCCGATGCCGAAGTCAAACGCAGTCGTAAGCTGGAAGGCAAGATTCAAAATTCCATCACAGCAACTTATATCCTATTGGAGTTGACAGACCACGAGCCAAGGTAAGCTTTGGTTGCCAGGCAACCTTCCAAGGATGACATCCTATACTCATCAAAATCTTTGTTGTTGCAAGATTAAAGGGTCCCTTCCCCAAATTATTTTATCAAGAGATTCTCAATTCATGTCAAACTATTCTGGATCTACTTGGATGTATGCGTTCTACGTTGTTGCATATGCCAGCCGTTGTCAAAAGGGAACTTTGCAGTGAAGAGGTCCATGCCGACCGCCGCGATATGGTATTGTGTAACATGACACATTTCATGCAGGAACAATCAAATAACATGGATCATGTGAATCGACATATATAGGTAGCGGCCATCATGCTATACTTTTATGCCATTTCCAGCACGCTTCAGACCAAAATCCCATTGCCAGTATACCTACCCTCGATGCGTGCAGCTCGTATGCGACTCATCCATCATCGACGTGAGGCAACAGATCAGCGTGTCAAATTCCGTAACATGACGTGGTATGCTATGGCAAACTGCTCAGAGGAAATTGTTGAAGAACTAGAACACCTCACTCGGTTGGTTCGTTTTATACTTGGCGATCCCACATTTGCTGAGCGTGCGAAACGCATGGAAGCACCCATCGCTCTCACTGAAATCCATAGCAATCATGCGTAATAGTAGTAGATTCGGAAACAAAAAATGTGCATGTTATATGTGTAAAACGAGAAATGGGTCAAGGGAGAGAGGGAGATAGGTACAAAAGAGTGCTATATGTATGCTATGCTATGATTCTTATCTTCCACGGCCTAATGCCTTCATCAATTGTGACATGTCTGGCATACCGCCACCTCCTCCACCACGGCCAGCACCACCTCCAAACATGCCTCCCATTTGTCGAGCCATATTTTGTAGACCTTGCATACCACCGACTTGCTGAAGCATCTCTGGAGGAATCATGTTGGCCATTTGTTGTTGCATACGTGCCATGTTGGCCATTTGATTGGGATTGGCTCTTCGTGGATCAGTTGGCATGTTGCTCAATAAACCGCCCTTGCCACCCATCGTCTTGACCATCTGAGCAAACTTGGTATATTGTTTCAAAATCTCTTCCACCTCATGTACGCTTGTTCCAGAACCTTGAGCTACTCGCATAATTCGTGATCGCTCCTTTTCGAAGGCTTTGTTGTCACCATCCAATTCGGCATCCGTCATGCTGTCCATAATACACATCATGCGCTTGAAACGTCGGCTGGTTTCTTCTTCAGATCCTGCCATCATATCGGCTGGCATACCAGGTATACTACCCATCAACTAGAATTCCTTTCTATTAATACCTCCTTCGTTACACGACTAGTATCCTTCGTTTTACCTTGGAAAGAGGGCCCATCTTGGAGATTTGTTGCAATTGATCATACATGTCTCGAAGAGAATATTTACCTAAAGAATAAAAGGCAAGGCGGTTATTGCATTGATTGTGTAAAGGCACTATGCATAAACATACCCGACTCAAGGTTCTTCATCAAGTTCTTGTTTTGATCCAACTTCATATCCTGCACCTTTTCCACCAAATCTCGCATATCGCCCATGCCAAGCATCTTTCTGACAAAGGGTTTGGGCTCGAAACGATCCAAATCATGCAAGTGTTCACCGGTACCAATAAAGATAATTGGACTTTGTGTTGCAGCAACGCTGATTGATAACATTTGGTCAGAGAGGGAGAGGAAAAAAGTCATTCGCCAATGGGGCCCCCATCACAATTCAACTTACGCAGAAATAGCACCACCACCCTTGGCATGGCCATCCATCTTTGTGAGAATGATAGAACCAAAGTTGGCAGCTTCCTTGAATGCCTTGGATTGACCTTCAGCTGCTTGACCAATAGTACCATCCATCACGAATACAGTAGAATCAGGTTGCTATATGTTGAAAACGCATCAATCAATATCCACTCTTGATCAATCATGCATTGATCCACGAAACGTACCACAGCAGCAGCAATTTGTTTCATTTCTTCAAATAATTCGGCTTCTTGCTTGTGACGACCCGATGTATCAACAATGATGATTTCAAACTTGTCAGCCTTGAATTTGTCAACACCTTCTTGTGCAATGGCAACTGGATCAGCTTCTGAGTAACTATACAAGCAAGTGTCAATCATTCTTCAAGCCCATCAAAGACTCACACAACCAATGACAACATTTACCTGCCATAATAAGGGATCTTGGCCTTGGTAGCATTTTGCTTAAGCTGATCAAAAGCACCGGCACGGAAAGTATCGGCACACACCAATGCCGTTTTCCAGCCTTTCCGCTGATAATGGGAAGCCAACTTTGTACACGTGGTCGTTTTACCGGCACCTTGAAGACCAACCATCATGAACACATTGGGTCGATGCTTGACAGGCTTATAAGGTTCTACACCGGGATCCACCAGCTGGAAGAGCTCATCCATCACAGCCTAATATGCATTATGAGATATACATGATCCTCTCTCTCAATGGTGTATATCGACACTATACCTTTTCAATAACACGTTTCTTATTGACACCACCTCCAAGCTCTTCCAAGTTGACAGTCTTCTTGACGTTGCCCCGTAACCGTTGCACTAGCATGACGTTGACATCGGCTGCGAGCAATGCGGAACAAATGCCCTTGAGGATGGAATCGAGCACCTAACAACGTAGGGTGATCTCGTCGTTAGTTGTGTGTGTTTGGAATGGTTGGATGTAAGGACTGGTTGCTTACTTGCTCATCAATGACAGGAGCCTTGTTCAATTCGAGCAAGGCAGAGTTGATCTTGCGACCCAAATCGGCTAACACCATGGTGCTGAATGGAGAGGGTTGGAAAAGCGGGGGGAAGACAAGAGCGTATTGCTGTTTTTGTGTGAGTGGATAATTGTCTCTTTGTCCGACTCGGATATCGCTCTCGCAGTATGCACATCAAACCAATGCCCCAATTACACGTTGCTCACTGTAGCATTAGATGTATCTTTATAAGCGTAGAATGATCTAGATTTGTTCCTTCAATGTATCCAATAAATCAATGATGCCCATCAATGTACGCTCCACTGTAGGTGGCACATGGACACCAGTGCCCTTTCTAAGAGTCATTGTAAGCATGATCTTGCATATCTCCATCGATAGTCGTATCCGCCCCACAACATTGAAATATGATAATGACCGTAATTGCTGCTGAAGCTCATATAAGTTTAACAAATCATCACGAATAGCAGTATAGCATCGACGTGTACCTATAGAAAGCATTAATAAGAGGATCGTATCATCACAGCAGCCGTGTATATACTCGTCATCACATACGTGTCAGCACATGGTGCACGTTACGCAATCCTACTTCCATTCGATCCAGCAAGTAATTATCCACATCGTCATCAGTACCACGAACAACACCTAAAATTCGATTCATTATGTTACGTTTGCCTCTTAGAAGACAACCTGATCCACCCTCTTTAGTGCTTACATAATAGTGCCCTTAACGCTTGAAACTCTCCCGCCATCATGTCCTCATACGCCTTTTCGGATTGAGTAAATGCAATGACATCGACATAGTAGCCTATTCTACCTGATAAAGCATTCGTTCAAACACGTCGCCTGCATATTCAATGTTGTCTTCTTCTTGATCATGATCCAGCAAAGGCATGGTAAAGCGTGCCAAATCATATTTTCGCCGAGCAATTGGATCACCGAGAGTTTCATAAGCTTCCTTTACCACTTGGAGGAGGAGATGTGTGAGCTGATGGATACTTCTTTATCACTAACTTACATTGAAAACATTCGGTGGCAGGTGGATAGCAAGGTACAAATTTGTCAGGGTGGCACCAGCGGCTCGTCTAATATATGCATGATGAATTATTATGCAATGTAAGTACATCCTTGCATGTGCTTGTCGTTTATGCTTTTTTGGATAATATTGGCTATCCACTCTAGAAACCCCGGAATCTTACCCGAATGTAAGCCTGTCGGATCTCTTGAGTTGTGGCATCTGGTTCAATATCCAGCACTTGATAATAATCTGTGCTGACTGCCAAGATCTCGTCTACTTGCGTTTCCATCTTATTCCTCTAGTGGGCCCCTGAATAAGAACAATAAGAGAAGAAGTGAAAGAAAGGGAGGAGAAGAAAACAAAAGAATTAAATTAGATCCAGTGCAGTTATCATAAACGATGATATTTATTGACGATGACATGAACAATAAGAGAAGCAAGGGCGTTGGGAGACTAGCAGGCTGAATCGTAACAACATTCCTCGCTTGCTTGCTTTATCACTATATTAGTCATTGTAATTTGATGGCTACTTTTCATCATTATCCCATACAAGATGATTAATTCAGGGATTGAAAACCTCCGGAGTAGTAGTATTGCACAGCTACATAGATGGCCCATTATCAGTGGGCATAAGAACTCTATTAGATCATTATCATCTATATCGTAAGAGGGAGATACGATGCTTAATATGAAAATTGAGGTGATCAAGGGTTCAGCGCTTTTCATTACTCTATGCCGACGTGCGAATCAGTACCTTTCCTCTGAAGGCGATTGCTTAAAGCAACGTGCGGAATGATCACTCATCCCATAATGAAGGTACCGCCTTGGTATACAACTCATCACGTGCACGTATGTTGTGGCTGATACATTTTCATTTTCTTTTGATACTGGCACGCTGATAAGGATGATGCCAGATGATGGTGGACTCGGCTGGGTTATAGCTGACAACACTTGCGTGCATAATGGATGGCTTAGAATTTACCGCTTTGCCCTGTGCACGCACGCACACACACACTCTTACTTTTATTCACATACCCCCACACTCGATCGCCAATGGGCAAAAGCGCAAAATTCTACAAGCGGCCAACCCGCAAAGAGAAGGAATCAAGGACATTGAACAAGGTGGCCGATCCAGCGGCGAGTGTACAGAAAAAGACAAAGCAAAAGAGTGGAAAGAAAATGGAGATTGTCACCACGGCTACCGTTGCCATGGAGGTTGATCCACCTGCCAACAAGAAAGTCAAGAAGCATGCAAGCGACAATGACAAGCCTGACTACGTTGACCTCTTTTCAGGAAAGAAGACATATAAGAAGGTTCCCCCAAAACGCAAATAAAGTGGTCAAGTTGTTATAGTACTACGGGCTCAGCATGAATTTGACTTTTTACCGAATGACAAAGAATGAAAAGGAGAGGCACATGGGAGAGGAGGATGCTATGAGGAAAAGGAAAAGGCGTATGCAACGAAAAGGGTAATGTGTCCGCGGCTTTGATGATCAGCATTCTTGCATGCGCATTGCGTAGCAACAAACCAGAAGCGACCACATGGAAGGATGGTCATCTGTAACAGGGGAGTGACATGTCTTGGTTTTCTTTTGAAATGTGACACACGCATGCGCACACGGACATAATCAGAGAGAGGTGCTGCTGACGAAAGGAGACATCAGCTGATATGGGAGTCGGGGATGATAAGTGATGTATTATTGTCATGGTGATGATCCGTTGCAATGGGACTCATACACAGCATGTGATGAAAGTATGGATGCACAATAATGCAAATAAGAAAAAAGTATGACATTGTTGATCTACCGCATGCGACCAACTACATTTAGCAATTTTGCATTTAAACCGACATCAGAGTGGTAAGGGGTGGTCACAGCTGTCTGAAGAAGGTTGTAGATGTAAGGATGATGGTGGAAAGTGGTACCAAAGCAACTTGTGTGACCTCAAGGCAATTGTAGGCACATTGCAGTATACATGTTTGTTTGCACTCTTGTATTTTGCTACAAATTTTGTACACCCATAACCTTGAGACAGCAAGCGGGTCGCTTGCATATCGCATGTTGAGCTTTTGAAGAAGGATGCTGCCACTTGCCCTGATTTGGCCGATTAAGGAAATTCGAGATGCGAATACCCAACAATGTGCTCCTTGGCTTATGCCGATAACACGAGATCTTCATGGCTTTGCACGTCTTGCATTTTCATTTCCATCCACTAAAGTCTGGAGTACGTACATGGTTGCATTACGCGGGAACTTGGTCTTTCTTTCTCCGATTTGGCAAAACGTGTGTGTGATGTATGATGGGCTTTGCTAACAGGGTTCCACAATCAATGTTGCAACGTAAGCTATTATATCAAAATTATACTCAATTGATTTTGTGTGCTCGTGTTTATTGAAGATGTTGGACGTAAGGTGAATACACAACAGCAAATTCTTGCTTGCCGATGCTACACCACAATGATTAATGCATCCAAGAACAAAAACACCCCGGGTTGTAGTATGCATTGGTGTTCACGTGTTCACGAAGAATGATTATTCAAGGTTGCATTGATACATTCAATAGCAGTCAAATGAGCTTGCGGATGACCCACAATCTAGCAAGGACTCGCCTGAAGGATACGTGTGCAATGCGAGCATCAAGCTCGGAAGATGACCCCGATGATACCCACCTTGCAACGAGCAATTTAAAGGTATCATTGATGAGATGACCTTCTTTGTCACGTGTAAATAGGATGTGTTGCTACCACTTGCTGGTATCAAGACCCCAAAAAGGCCCAAGATTAAGATACGTTAAAGAGCTTTTATTGTGTCATTTGTAAACGAATGTACCACTATTAGAATAAAGCTGCCAAACTGCTAATGAGGATGTTGAGGAAGCTGTTTTTGGCCACACTCGGGAGGTTAGAGAACGTTTGTAGGTGACAAAAGTACGTCGATCAACGTGTGCATTATGCATTATAATCCGCAAAGTGTACTAAGCTACCTACAAAAGGCGATGGATTGTAATCTCCATCAGCTTCTGGATGATTTCAACCGAAGCATCATTGTGCACCTCTTTTCTTTGCCACGCCTAAATTGCGCTCCGCTCTCAATCTGTTACACACGGGGCATGTTTGTATTGACCATTGTTGCTGTCACTGCTGATACGTAAACATCACACCATTCCGATGCATGAGCGACATTTGGCAAGGCACATACAAGGACGACCTTTCTCTCTTTGTTGTATTCATTATGCATGTACCCATTATTCTATGGAGAACTTGCAGATGGGCTAAATGCAATGAGGATATACAATATGCAGGGTATTGAGCATGAGGAGCAATCATCATCATCGCTGAGGTGAAGAAATGAGAAGCAGCAGCTTTGCATAGTGTGCATTGTTTCTTGTGCTACTAAGACCTATTTTCCGCTATGCTCAGCGATGGGAGATAACCATGATGATATAATTTGCAGCTTCCGCATGTAACTGCGCGCCAAGCAGACACCGAAGTATTGGATGGAGGTAATTCAAAAGGGGAAAGGGACCCTAAAAGAAAATGGAAATTAGCATTATTAGCTCCATTTGGATATGTGAGCAGGCACATTTCTGGTGGGCTGTGTCTCATATGCAAGATGCACAGGCAAGGGACACAAGGTGAGTTGTATTATTCTTTGTGTCGGGTGACAGCTACAGCTAGGGCGGATAGGCGGGATAAAAATGTGAATGGATGAGGAGTATTGGACAAGTGTGGGTGTGGCAAGTTTCAAACTTGGGGTATTTAGTGTGGATGCCATAAGCAGGTGATGGGTTTCTCCGAGTTTAAGCGAGGGGTAAGAAGCAGATCTTTTCCTCGTGCTGTGAGCGTGTGCGTGATGTGTTAGTGAGTGGTGACACAAACACGGGAGGTTGCACTACCGGATAAAGTTCATCCTGCTGATGCAGTGGATCATATGATTGGTGCATGTACTTCATCTCAGCGTATTCAAGATGCTCCTCCTTTGGAATCCATCAAGCCGGGTTCTCAGGCGGAGAAATACAACCACACAAGATACCTCTTTTTGACACCAAAGCCCATTGTGTGCTAGTTGCCCCAATCAAAAGCTTGTAAATTGAACCCACACTGGTGGTCTGTCACATGCAGCGCCGTCGTGTTATGTCACACATGACATGAAAACTTTTCTGTCTTGCAATAATAGCGCACAACAACCCAAAGACTACATTACGCATACAGAATGTGACACAAATGACAAAACTCACAGCATCCAACACACATCTTTCCAGAAAACAAACAAACAAACTCCTCTCAACAGAGGCTGTTTATGCAGGCAACAAGTTCAAGGAGCATCACTTGCATTACTTTTTTTGAAGACCTATGGCACTCATCATCTCCTGCTTTTTGGCAATAAAGTCATTTCTTGTTCTTTATCCAAACAACCCGCAGTGCATGCATCTATGTATGTGGGTGGGTGTGCATATGTTGATTGGTTGGTTTGAATTTTATCAATAGCTGTCTTTGGATGTATTTGGGGCACTAAGCGATAAGTTAGGATAATGGGATTATCGATGACGAACGATGATGGGTCCGTCAGCCGCCGCTGGCTGACAAATGAGTCGGCGTGAAAAAAAGAGGAAGTTTTCGTTGAAACCAAACAACGAATATGTGTGTGTGTGTGTGTGTGCGTGTGTGGTGTGCGATCAGGCCCCTGTCCAAAAGTGGTCTTGCCATAAAAATTTTTCCAACCATGCATCCCAATTAGGGTGAACGCCGATCAGCTGCCCTGAGGAAAAAAAAAAAGAACCGCGGTCGCCGGTTTTGGTGTGGCCCTTTTGTTATCCCGGTGTGTCACTTCTTGCCGTTCCGTACTCGCTCCCCTTTCGAAAAAAAGAAACCCGTATTTTTCGTGTGGCGCTCACGAATCGACGTGGAACCCTCTACTTCGACGCTTCTCTCCCCCAACTATTAATTCACCCCCCAAATCCTTCATCTCAGTCGACCCAACTAGTATATAAACACCCGTCATTTGGCATGACAGCACCCTACAATCAATCATATATCATTCATCCCATTTTCTTTTTACTTTTTTTTCATTTATACATACTTCTTGCATATCCATCATGGCAGCCGAAGGCCTTCTTTTACTCCAACCCTTTGAATACGAGAAGTCAAATACCTCTTCCGCAGCAGCAGCAGCAGCACAAGCCGATAACGACACACATACTTTAACACAGCCACCACCTTTGGTGTTCACCGAAAATGAATGGGATGATTCACCCGTGTTGTCACCCACCTCTGAATCAAACATTGATTTGTTTGCTGATCTCGATTTGGTTGAGGTATCATTCCCACCACCACCTCCTCCAACTCCCGATACTATCGCATCCATCCCATCCGAAAAGCCATTTGTCGACGAAAGTGTCACTGCTGATCTACTTGGCATGTTGCTACAAGCCTATCAACCCCCTATGCAGCAACAACAACAGCATCAAGAACAGCAGCACCCTGCTCCTGTGGCCACCGTGTAAAAAATGATTCGTTGATTTTCTTTGTTTTCATTGTCTTGTGAAAGTTCATGTCTATACCCACTTTCCACATGCTCCTTTGTTCTCCCTCAGCTCTCTCTTTACATAGCATCATCTCTCACCCTACCTTGCATCTTTGTGTACATATATCACACACACACAATACAGAAAAGTAATATTCATTCTCTTGGAGAATGACAGTTCTCTCTTTGTTTTCATCTCCAAATCAAAAATGTTTGTCCGTTTTTAATTTATGCAGCTGCAAAAACAAATACATGTGAGATCCCTTTGTTCATTCGACACAAAGAAGCCACATGGATAAGAGCATCCTTGTTGTATTTGATCTTTTTCCCTTGCGTTTGCCCTGAGTGTGGTTGAATTCATCATGCAGAAACTAATCTTTGTTTCTCATTTACGTAATCAGACCATCATTGGTGTTTCACAAGGAATGACAAGTCCATTCATTATAAAGCGTCATTGTATTAAGCATAGATAAAGGGTAACTCATATAAGGTAACAATAAAGCGTGCTTGTGTGCAACTACAACTTGCTGGTCTTGTTTCTTGAAAAGAAAATGTGCCATACAGAGCTACATACGTTGGCAACGGTCTTGATTTTGGCACTCGCTGCAGCTGGCATACCACCCACCATTACGGTCATGACCTGCATCTTGTCATCATCATAGGGAGGATATCGCACCTTCATCATGCCTTCCATGGCAGTCGATCGTACCATAGTGGCACGCTCATGAGTAAAGGTCTCAAAAGACTTGTCGCCATGATACGCACCCATACCACTAGGGCCCACACCACCAAATGGAAGCGAAGTTTCTTGCTATTTAACATGTTAGATGATACATCAATCTTGTTGTGCCATAGCTTTCTTTACCAGATGCATCAATGTATCGTTGACAAGGATACCACCCGAGTTAGTCTTGTTCATAACTGCATGAGAGAGAAAAAGAGTTAAATGACATGTTACCATGTGCCCCGTTGCCATAGCGAAATAAACGTCATACTTTGATTGGTTTCAGCACGCTTGCTTGAAAAGATGTAAAGTGACAGTGGTTTGTCCCTACAAGATAAACGATCAATACATGCGCCTCGTCACGATAAAGTAAATGCGTACTTTGAGTTGATGACAGCAATCGCTTCGTCCACATCCTTGACAGGGACAATAGGTAAGATAGGACCTAGCATAAACAACAGGGGCAAAATTAATATTCTCTTCGATCCACCTGTGTGACATACACCAAAGGTGCTGCATTGGATTGTGTATGTGTGTTACCAAAAAGTTCCTCCTGCATAAGAACCGCGTCATTTGGGGCCACAGGGCACACAAGGGTTGGTGCAATATAGAGCTGTTCACGATCCACTTGACCTCCGATAACCACCTTGGATCCTTCAGTAATATTATCAAGGAGATGCTTGAGCCGGTCAAATTGACGTGTGTTGATGATGCGTCCATAGGAATCAGAGTCACACGCCTTGTCACCAAAGAACTCGTCAAGCACCTTGCGTGCGATTTTGATAAAGTCATCCACCTTGTTTTCAGGCAAGAGCACGTAATCAGGTGCGATACATGTTTGACCACAATTGAAAAACTTGCCCCACAGGATACGACGTACACTGGTTTCGAGATCGGCTGAAGGCGTAATCACCACAGGTCTGCGTAACAATTGTTGTCAGTATTCAAACTCAATAAACGTGGTCATGGCATGATGAATGAATGAATGATGTACTTACGACTTTCCACCAAGTTCCAAGGTTACGGGGGTAAGGTTCTTGGAAGCTGCTGCCATGACAATACGACCCACGTTGCCGTTGCCTGTATAGAAAATATGGTCCAACTTTTGCTCTACAAGATGAGATGGTATAGAGTTTCACAAATATAAGTATAAAGGTCTGTGTACGTGGAATGAGACAAGACACTTTACCCAACAAAGCAGTAGTTTCAGGAACGGCACCATTTACCACGACATAGGCTCGCCTATCGAGGTAATCGGGCAGGCGTCGTGCGATGTAAGCCGCAGTATTCTCAGCGATCTCCGAAGGCTGGATACATAGATGGGTTGATGTGAGTATCATCGTCATCCCAAAAAGGTCAATTAAAGCTTACCTTGAGGATGACACAATTTCCAGCAGCAATGGCCCCCACAACAGGCATTAATAGTAAACGTACCTACATTCCCCACATTTTAGTTTCACTCATGCTCCATCATTCGGGTACCAACATAATAGGAGGGTAGTGTTCTCCTTTGAATACGTACTGGATAATTCCATGCACCTTTGTGGAACCATAATGATAAAAAACATGAGACATTGAATCAGGACACAGCATAACATAGTAACACCACCATGCATTGTAACTTGCACCACGATGCAACCTACCAATAACTAGTGTAACGCCTTTGGGCTCTTTGCGCACAAATGTTTTGTCAGCAGCATTGATCTTGTATCGTTTGCGAGTTGCCTTTGGCTTGGAAAGTCGATTTAGGTTCTAAAAGGGTCAAACATAAGAAACATGTATTATAGCGTCATTACATACATACATACATACCTTGACCATATACTTGCATTCATCGCTCACGGCCAAAATTTCACCAATAGCAGCCTCGAGCTTGTGCTTGTGCAGGTCATCGTAAATGACTTTTTGCAGCTCCTCAATGTTCTCCTCAATGAAACGACACATGTTTTGCAGTTGCTGTTTACGATACGCGAGGTCCTTCGTGAGACCTGATTGTAGGTTGTTGGTTAGCTCATCATACGTATTCATGAAAAGGATGTAACAATAATAAACGTATGCATACCAGATTCAAACTGCTCATGAAGACTTTGCACGATGGAAGGGATATCTTTAACGGGCGTGTATTCGAGCATGACTCTTGTGTGAAAAAGAAAGAGAAGGAAGAAAAAGCACAGCACAAGCAGCGAGTGCCCCATAGCCTATTTTGAAGTTGAGAATGAATTCGTGTAACGTTATGCCGCTCGTGCGTCGATCTCTGTGTACGTTACTTTTTCAGCATGATGCATATGTTGGTTGGCACCAGAGGTAGTCATCCACAACAGCTGCATGTACGTTCAATGATGAGATTGATCAAAGGCGTCTCGCCAATCGCTGGCTCTGTTCATATAAATACGCATGATGATGATGATGTTGAATGATGCTTGTCGCTAGTCGCAATGGTGGAAGTGGTGGTGGTGGTAGTTGATCCCACGAGAATGGATGAGTCCATAAGCAAACGATTCGGCAATGCTGCATGCTGGCAGTTGGTATGTTGGCTTTAAGCTCGAAAAGCATGTATCCCATTTCTTTGTTCAAGATGCATGTGCTGCTGCTGTAGTGTCGTCATTGCTGCATAATAGCATGCCGTCTTCTCCTTCATGTCACCACCACCCGTTGATTGCAGGTAATTCATTGTCCGAGCAAGGTGTTCTATGCATAGTAAACAAGTCGCAAGGTGGTCTTTTAGGCTTTGTTGTCAAATTTTGGTACTCTCATAACACTTACTTCATTGTGAAAACTGCCCCCAGCGACTCATTGTGCCTCAAATACATGCAGCGACAAGCCGGATACCATACGTAGGTGCATACCCGAATAATCCTACGTACCAAAAGGCTAAAAGTTAGCAACTTGGTGGTAGAGCACAACATCATTTCCATACTTGTCAAGTTTCGGCCTTTGGTAAGACGATTAGGGGTTGACACATCTTCTTTGACACATAGATAGCCAATGGGATAATGACGGTGCCAAAGTTCCATGCCATTCATTGTTGCCTTTGCCACTCCATGTTCGATGATACACTTGTCTTGAAGCCTAGTTGTTGTTCGGTCCAAAGAGGTACGATCCATTCGACATCCCACATTTGATGAAAGCAGGAGGTTTACTGATCGACTAATCCAAAGCTGATATGTCATACCCAAGTAGCGTTGATGAATCAGACGTTGTGTGGATCAAGAAAGGAGCTGTCCTTGTGATGCTCCATATCAACCTTCCAAGCGAAGCCTCGCACTTCCATAGCCGTCATCGCCCACCGATCAGGTAGCTGCTGATAGCTGATTGCTGATCGTAGTGCCACACGCCATGTTCTTCACCTTCTGGTCGGCCACAACTTGGTCATTGAATACTCAAATGCGCTATTCGATTGCGTGGAGATGTTGAACGCGAGATGCAAGAAGCTGCTGAATGTGAGTGAGCGATGCATGTTTTTTGATCCGTTTCAGCCAAAGGCACTCCGCCTCCATTTCCTCTTTCATTTACCACATCTTACACATAGCAATGATCATTAGAAACTAATAAAGGAGCTTCATTTGATTGCTGAAATAAGTTGTCAAAAAGGGATTAGACATCAAGTAATTAAGGCTGAATGATGTAGTAAATTACCTACACAAGGTCAATAGACAACCTGCTTATCGCTAATAAACACGTTCGTATTCACGTCCATGAAGCGGCAATCATGGTCTAACTCCTTTAATATGAGATTTAAGCATACGAGATGGCAACATTGATGGTCATTTGTAAATCAAAATTGTGATCCTTTATTCTTTGGATTGCTAAGCTATACAGAGTTGTTGAATGAATGATTGTATCAAATACAGAGATGAAATCCCATAGACGTTGTTTAAGCGGGAGGAGCACCAGCACCAGCACCGGCACCGGCACCGGCACCAGAGGCACCATCAGTGGAACCAGCACCAGAGGCACCACCAATGGAACCAGCACCTGAAGCACCATCAGTGGAACCAGCACCAGTAGCACCACCGGTAGAACCAGCACCAGAGGCATCACCACCAGTGGAACCAGCACCAGAGGCACCATCGGGAGAAGCAGCACCTGAAGAAGTGCCATCAGTGGAACCAGCACCAGAAGCAGCACCACCTGTTGGAGCAGCACCAGGGGCTGCACTTGAAGATTCAGAAGCTGATGAACCATGTTTATTGCCCTTCTTCTTGTTGCACTTGTGATGCTTTCCCTTCTTTTGGCCATCACTAGGAGCACCAGAAGGTGCACCAGAAGGTGCTGAAGCAGCAGCAGAGGGAGCACCAGATTGATCAAGTGGGTCTTGTGGATCACGGCGTTGGGGTTGTTGAAGTTGTTGAGGTGTAGGTGTAGCAGCTTGACCAGCAGCTGATTGAGAGACACCTTGATTCTTCACATCACCGCTAGGAGTAGCAGCAGCGTTTCCACCAGCAGGAGCAGCTGAGCAAATACCAGCGACAGCAAACAAGGCAACAGTGATGAACTTGACAGAGACCATTTTGCTTGAATAGATTCAGTGGATTGGGATCAGAGGAAGAGAAGAGATATACAACAAAGAGAGATTGGATATGTTGATGTAGAATCCAAAGACCATCCCATTGATACGGGTTTATATACCTTTACGACGACACGTCTTGGCACGTCAACAAACAACTAGATTCACAAATCACTCTTTAGCAGCGAGTAATAAGTCCAGACAACATGTCGCACTATTCCTATAGCGTGTTTGAAGTATATGCCATCATGGACACAAGATCAGACACGAGCGGCTATTTTGAGTAAATATGCCCTTTTCGAACCAAGAATTAGAACCAAATGTGAAAGTGCAAATTAATTCAACATGCTTATTACTACTAGTATCATACACACCATGATTACCCTTTCAACAATTTACAGGCTGCCATCATCATTTCACCTTGAGGGCTCCCAGGATCTAGACATTGCACTTAATACATGCAATGGATGGCTGTGGCAGTTTCCATGTCCGATCCTTGTTGATTGCTGTTAGCCAATTGACTATGCCATTTACGGATATCTTGCCAATCAATGCTGTTAATCCTCTCGATTCTTATGCAGATTGGATACCATGGATTTTGGTGTGGTCTTGGCAAGTAGCGTGAGTGAATTACATTTGTATTCGATACATGTTCTCGACCACTATTATGGTGTGGATGGTGATGGTGATGACATGCAAAGTACCTTATGGGTGTTGGGGTTTGAAGGAAACATGGGTAGTAGTAGTAGTAATCTCATCACGCTGATTTGGGATCGACGTCAATAAACAAACAATGTCGATCCGCATATGTAAGGTCAATCTTCATAATGCCAATTATATGGATATTAACATGATACGGGGCACCTGATGATGGCGACAAACCATGATGATGATGTAGCCAAAGGTAAAATCATACTATGTGGGGAGCTGTCGGATTGATTCCGCACACGCCAAGAAACCACTATTATTATCCTTTGCATGTGCATATAGCTTTATCACAGCAACAACAACAACAATCCGATAGCGATGCTAAAAGACTTGGCAGTAAATACTCATTGTGGGGAAATGAGATCTCTTGCTAAACAAAAATCTTCATATGGTGAACAAGCCTTGGCATGTTTTCAATCATCATTCATTCGAAAATGGGATCACCATAACACTATAACGTCATCGTGCGTTCATCCATTGTGACCTTTGGTGCCCTTTTGAAGATTATAGCACAATGCATTATATATTTAGCAGCAGCCCAACACAACGCTCAAGTGCATGACCAAAATCGATGCCCCATCCCTGAATGACTTAGAGAATCGCATTTTATTTTTAGTGTCTTTCAGGGTGTCGGCTTCTTGCATCATCATTACTGCTTCTACTGCTGTTGGTGCTGCTAGTAACCACGATGGATGGCATTATTAGCAGCAATCATGGTATGTCAATGATTAAGTTTATCGCGAGGGGATTATAGCATGCATGTTGCCATGGATACAAATACCCAGTGATGGATAGATAGAACTATAATCCAATCGTTATTGCTTGTGATGTGCAAGAAGCTCGAAACCAGCGATCGGGGAATAAATGGCTGCCAATGAGGTTTGATAGACGTCGTGTAAAGCGACATGCTTCCTAAGACTCAAATTGTTCTTCATAACAGGCACGTGATTGATTGAATATCTTATAGGCGATGTAGAGATAGCTTATGCGATTATGAGAAGTACAACAAGGTCAACAAGTATAGATAGATGCGGCATTTTATCTTTGCATGGTAAGAGATGACTGTATGACATTGTGCGACAAACGCCACAAATGCTTTGAGAGGTTTTATAGAGGCAAAAGATGATATATCAAAGTGGGTGATGATTTACAAACAAGTAATACTATATAGGTGGGGGTGATGATGACGATGATGGTCTGTGCATTCTTTGGATCGATAAAGGTGATATACATTGAATGTGGAGACGTCCCAGAATGGTGTTTAAAAGCATGGCACACACAATATCGGGATTCCCTCTCTTGTTGTAAAGCGACATTTTTGCCGATCCCAGGCTCTTGTCCTTTGTTACGCAAAAAAAGCGTGTTTGTGTTGCTCCATCCCTATTTCAGTGGTTTTGACTTGTTTTGCACTTGAACCTCTTTTATCCTCGTCGGCATGCGGCTCTTTCGAAAGCAGGGTGACTTTGCAAAGCTGCATGATGAAGAAGAACTTTTACATCCCGGTGACATTGAACTTGAATCAGCTCATCGTGGCTCATCACAGTCTTCGGATGAAGGATCGACTACCTCGACCAGCAATGAAAACGTGAGGAATGGTGGTACTCGTGGTGGTGGTGGAGGAAGACGACGACGAAAAAAGAAAGGAAAGCAGCACCAGCAGCAACACCGTATTGGGCAGCATCCTGCTGGCTTCATGTCAATATCAGCGCTTGCACGTGAGACACCCGGTACGCCAGGCACATCCACACCTGACAGCAATCATGGTAGTAGGCCAATGCCTCCAGGAACCAGTGGTATCGGCTCTGATGAACATGAAGATGCCGTTGAAGAAGACGCCCATGAAGCCAATACGGGGTTGGATGTCGCCGAATTCAAAAGTGACCTAAAGTGCAAGCTGTATCTCCTTATGGAGCAACCTTCCAGCAGTAATGCAGCTTTCTGGACCAACGTCATTGTATCCATGTTGATTGTATTGAGTGCTGTCATGACAACCATTGAAACCATTCCTACATTTCGTTCAGCAGAAAGCAACAAAGTTTGGTAAGTGGCCAAGGGATTGAAGAATAGAGGAGGTGGTGGTACTAAGATACCCTCCCATTGACAGGTTTCATCTTGAAACGGCGATGGTGGCACTTTTCACTTTGGAATATTTATTACGCGTTTTCGCTCATTCGGATTCACTACGCATGCTTGGCAGATTCTTTCTTTGTAAGTACATAATCATATCTCACTCTCCCAAAATTGTAACAAAGAACTCACATACAATACAAGCTCCATTATCTATCATTGACTTCATTGCTATCATACCTTTCTACATTGAGCTATTGGCACAACGAGACACGGTAAGAGGTTATAGCATTCTTGCTCTATCTTGGTTATGGATACTCATTGAAGAAAGTCGTTTACGCCCTAGACGTATGAATTTCGATTCACTATCCTTCGCTTATTTCGGCTGTTGCGGTTATTCAAGACATACAAGTACTCGAATGCTATCATCATGACAATCGAAGTGATGGTGATTGCGCTACGTCGCTCCAGTGATGCTCTTTCAGCCTTATTCTTCTTTTTATTGACATGCGTCATCTTATTGGCAACCCTTCTTTACTTTGCTGAACGTGGCATATGGGATGAGAGTTTGCAAACGTTTGTTGATCCTGATGGCAATCCAAGGTAAGCATCAAATTGAAGCAGTAGGATGATCAATGGATGATTAAGCTAATGATGTTTGTGCATCGTAGCTCATTTGATAGCATCCCTGCAGCCTTTTGGTTTGTGCTGGTTACAATTACGACTACCGGCTATGGTAAGACAACCGTTATATAGCATCTCGTGCATGGATTGATATCTCTCGGCTATTTCAAGGTGACATGGTACCTGCCACGTTTATTGGTAAGCTGGTGACATTCCCAGCTATGTTGTTTGGTGTATTGGTAAGTGCATGCATATATACATTGGTGCGTACTAGGAACTAAATGATCTATGATCCATAGTTGATTGCATTACCATCCATCATTATTGGGCGCAATTTTACTATCGTATGGGAAGCAATGCGTCGTCGCCAATACTACAGCCAATTAACAGCCGAGCAAGATGATACGGCAGGTACGTAATACACATCAAATGAGCTCGTATGAAGATTCTAATCGGATGATAATAATAGATGGACCTGAAGTACATGACCAGACCCCCATGCTGTTCCCAACATCCACTCCTCCACAACCAAATGGACCATCTCCTGGAACAGCGCAAGCCCCGCCACACAATTATGATATATTGGGAGGAGGAGATGATGCTATTATGGATCAATTGCAAGCATTGATGACGATAACACGCCAAAATCAGGAAGCCATCCAGCATATCTTGTCCATCTTGGAAAAACAAGGCAGACCCATACCACCTGAATATCAACATGAAGAAATGGATATGGCTCAGCGACGTGGTTCACTGCATTTCAGAAAGCGTTCAAGTCAACAACATGGCGAGGCATCTGAAGACAAAGGCAAAAGCACAGCGATACCCCATGAAGATGAGGAGGACAATGCATAAACCTTATAGACTGAATCACCAATTCACATACATATAGCACGTATAGATATTTAATGCCCTTGTACATAATCCTTTAGACCACCTCCTCAATGCGTATACGTGTAAACAAAACCTATTTCCATTTACCTTTTGAAGATTGGCTGTATAATGATGCTATGTTCTAATGTACATACGTGGGATGATAGGTAGCGTGTATATGTATAAGAATACAAATGACGATCATACTCGAAGAAACAGCCGTGAGACTAAACTTTTTATTGCGGATACACATATTAGGCGGATCAATTAATGCTTCAAAACAAATATGATGAATGAGGGAATAAGGGGTAATCGCAACGATAGAAATACACAGCTAAAAAAGACTAGGTGATCTTGTTGGTTGGAGGTTTTTCATCAATCCATTTCCAGTCGTATCAGGCATTTTGCTTGTTCGTGAACTCGTCAAGTTTTCTGTATTCCAGCAAGTTTCATTCCATTGTTGAATTTTGATTGCCATATCACAGTCTCGAAGGTTACGTGGAACCGACTATATGAAAATGGAGGGGTCAGACGATAAGAAACGAAGGATGAAAGAAAAACTTACCATGGATGGATCATTCAAAGGTAGATAAAGCATCTCAATTTCCAAGCTTCCAATCACTTTGAGTACATCACCTTCTTCCTTTGACCGATGCTTTTGGCGTTGTTGTGTCCAAGCGTTGAAACAATCAAACCTTGTCGAGTAGGAGCACATGTAACAGCCATGGAGCATGTGTGAAAGAGCAAATCGAGAACGGCCTATTGATCCGTCATCATGGCAGATGTAAGAAGACAAGGATCCTCCTTTATCGTGATGGTGATGTTTCTTGTTGGTTGAGAATAGGCGTGTCAGTGGTAACTTGGATCGAAGATGATGATCAGGTCGAACATGTAAAGAAATGGTGATGATCATGTCGGGATCGTCATTCGTATCAATAATGCACTCGTATTCAAATGGGATGTGTTGACCAAGCAATGCATATCGCGACATGTACTCGTATCGGTCATCGCTCACCACACAACGAACATAGGTCGGCTCATTTGGTAGCGGTAGTAGCATATCCGTAGCTGCATTAATGCGTAAATAAAGCTTGCCATGTCGAGATGCTTTTGGTTGATATGAGTGCTTGCTTAATGATATACTAGCGGGAACAGTGCTTCCAAGGCTTTGTAGCGCAGACTGGCTACGTCTAATTGTAGGCGGATCATGTTGCTTTGTTGTGCTGCTGGAGAGTTTTGATACTGATGATGGCACCTTCACGGGTACACGCTTGATCTTGAATTTCGATTGCTTTGTGTCGTCGTCCAATATGCAAGGTTGTTGCTCTTGTCTATGCTGCATTTCTAATAAGGCAGGGTTTTGTGCTTGCGAAAGGCGTCTCACATAGCGCGAAGTGGTGCTCACAGATATACTGCCATAGCTGACATCATCATGAACGTTGTCAGGTGAACGCTCCATGGCAACTTGGACCGGTGGAGTAGTGATGGTTGATGCAGGTGATATGGATGATGAAGATGTAGGATAACTTTCGAGGATTGGAGATGAAAGAGATGATGAGGAAGGTGACGATGAGGGTGTGGTATCGAAATTGGATGCTGGTGTTGACTCGATGTTGTCGATGGGTGGTTGATGGGTTGGCTCATTTTGATGCAAATGTGGTTGCTGTGTCAATGGTTGCTGTGTTGGTTCATTTTGATGCAAAGGTGGTTGTTTGACTAACGAAATGTTGTTAATGATCAATAGCCAAAAAAGCCATAGCAATGATTACCTTCATTCCGAATCTCATCCGCTTCGAATTCTTTGCTGTCAAACCATTGTTCACCTTCTGAAACGTTGTCATCATCAGAAGAAAGCGTATCGAGATGTGATCTTTCCATGATTGATGCCCATGAATTCATCCCAAGAGCCCATTGTGATTTTTGACTTCCACTCAAACGTCGCCGATCCATTCTAGTTGCTTCTTCCTCCGATAATTCCTTCACTTGTGTAACATTATCTGCGTCCTTAGTAGTAGCAGCAGCTGTTGTTGTTGTTGAATTGTCTTTGGATGAATGCTGCTTTGATGGTATTGTTGTAGGTTTAGGTGATGAATCTTCAACGGAAGGGGTGAGCTGAGGTGAGCGTGGTGCTGGTGCTGGTGAAGATGCTCTTTCAGGCTCTGTTTGCAAAAACACGCTGGATGAAACTATGGATTTGTTGCGCAATGCTGAAATAACTTTGCTATTGCGTTTTTTCTTTGGTTCTTCAACATCCACATCAGCTGCTGTTGATTCCTCATCGTTGGTGGTGGGGTTGTTTGCTGAATTACTATTATTGTTGTCAGACGCTATTTCGGTGGCCGATCCTGATTTAGATAGTGCTACAGTCGTATTATTGGTAATAGGACGTTTGTGCTGCTTCTGCTGCTGCTGTTCGAATCGCTTAAATAGAGGATTGTTTTTGACTGCAGATCGTTTCGCCAACATGGCTACTTCTTGTTGTCGTCGTAACCGTTGTTTCTCCAATTCAGCTTCCTCTTCACTAAGCACTTTGCGTTTGCTCTCTGCCACATGACCACTTCGAAAATAACGTCCTTCAGCTTGGCGTGTTGAATTAATATTCTTATGTGCTGATGGTGTAGTCTCTGCTAGTTGACGTAGTTGATTGAATCGATCGTTGGATGAATGCTGATGTTTACGAGCGAGGCCGCCTCGTCTTTTATCATCGTCCATCATGTTGATAGGTGAGAGTAAATGGAACAAGTCGTCAGATAGGGCAACGTCTCGAGCAAAGAAACCGAGGTCATTGGGTATTTCAGTGGAGACGCTTTTATCATCCAAGAGGCGTCGTGCAACCTGCTGATGTCCCAGAAAGCTAACGAGATGTAACGTGCGATTATTGCAATTTCCCCAAGGCTGATTTTCCAGATCCTGCTTTGTGGCACTCTATATGCAATCATCATCTTTCCATGAATACACAAGCATTTAGCATCCTTATAATTCGTCTCACATACTTCAATCAAAAACCAAAGAAGGTTCCCGGTTTGTAACTGTGCAAGTGTGCTCTTTTCTCCAGGTACGGGTTCATTGTATTGTAGCAATGCATAATGGATGGCACACAGGTTATCCAGTGACGACCCAAGGTGTTGAACAGTCTTTAGTTGTGAAATCACATGCGACGCATCTCTCTCGGGATCCCAAGCCGTCAATGGTGTCCACAGCAGATCCGGATGACTTCGTAGTAATCGTTGTACGCGATGCAAGTTGGCTTGCTGGATCGCAACCGACCAATCCACGACAAGGGCGGGATCCTCGACCACTCTCGATGCTGAGGGCTGCTGCTGCTCATAAATCGTGGCTGTGGTGGACGATTCGATAGACATTGTAACTCATAAGCTGGATACGAGAATAGTAGCTTCAAAGACAATGATAAAGCCAGTAGCTCTATTCACGAGCGGGTCAATAAGAACAAGGTTCAATGCCAATTTTGGAACTGCTTTACGAGCGGGGTTAATTAGACTTGCTGGGAGGAGGGGGGGAGAAAATGATGTGCGTGTCCCTTGAAAGAGCATAATGGCATGCTTCATTGTCCCCCATCAAAACCATCATGATTGCAAGCGTATATGAAGAAGGTATATTATTCGAGTAATCAATGATGCTATCAATGACATATCATTACAGGGTAGAAGCGCTTTTGAACAACTGCAATTACACGTGGTGTTGCTGAGAAAGGATGCAGGTTGTCATTATTATCATCACTCCCTCCGATACCACGCAGAGCGATCAATCTAAGGAGTATCCTGGTTGCCATGGCAAATAATAAAACGGTGGCTTATCAACAACACTGCCCTTTTTTGAATAGCTTTATCATTGTAATACTCTCGTTCATTGCAAAGATTGGAATTTATTCTTGAGCATGCTACTATTAAACACGATCAACGGTGCATGAAGAAGATGTCATGGAACGTCTTGATGCCAAACAATGCTGGTATGATAATAATCGCCAACTTTTTATTGTCCATGATGCTCTCGTTATCAATGTGAATGAACGCCAATAATGCACATGTTGTGTGAGCTTTTCGCGAGGTTTGTATCAGTCATTGCATTTCATTAAATCGATGTCATAGTGTAAATAGGGGGGATGATCAAAGCGAGGTATAGTAAAGAACAAAGAATAATGCTTGTGCTACAACAGATGCATTGATGCATAAGATCACGTCCGGGTTTGAATGATCACGCTCCACATGTTCCCTCCCTATTCCGAAAAAATCTTGAGAAAGCGCGTTGCAAAGGTTGCCTGGTGTCCCACATCAGATTTAGCCGCCATTGTCTTTGACGACAGCTCCATTGCACTCTGCCGCGATGGTGTATCCCCCATTTGGTCATTACCAGCTCCCAACGACTCCAATGTTCTTTGTCTTGAATGGAATCCTCAAGGTAAGTGCTTGATTGCCATCGATGGCTTGCTCTCTTCTTACAGGGTCACTCGCGTAGGTAACGAATTCGTCGTTGGTGCAACAGACGGCACAGTGACACGCATCGACGCCAGATCCTATGAGCCCAAATGCACCACGTGTTGGCCATCAGCACTCACAACACTCGATAATACCTTTGGCGACAGCAGCATAACGGCCCTTTGCTGGGTGAATTTCTCGCGGCATAAAGCTCAAGAAATGTACCTTGTAAGCACCCGGTTCATCGTCCTGATATTGTTTCATCCATCACTCACAAGCATGCCTTTGATAGCATGGATTTGATCCTAGTGTCCTTGATTTCACACGAGTGTTGCCAGCCCTCAGTATGGTGCCACCGGATGAACCAATGTATGTATCAAATCTTGCCATTTGTTTTGAGCAAATCATACTGAGACGCGTGTTACTTAGTCCCTTAATACCTACTCAGAGGATAAAGAAGCCACCGTTCCCTGAGCCTCCAATGGATGATATGGATGATCAAACACTATTGCTGATTGGTGACGAAGAAGGATATATACATATATGGTATGCGTCTCATGGGAAGAAGAAGAAGGAGGAGGATTGCATCTGATTATGAGCTCTTTTAGTTTGAATGGCACCTACCATATAGGCTCATTCAGCACAAGAAGTAAAGGATCAAAGGTAAATGTATGGCTAGTGCTGCTGTTGTATGCCATGGTTACTAACGCTTCGATACCTGAAAAAGGATGCATTCTCTCTGACAACAATTGACGCTTCATCGGATGTATCTGAACTTCAAACGCTATCATATCGAAAAACAGCGGCAGTCAACGAGATCACGTTCTCGACTCTCCAATGCGACTTGCTTCGTTGTCGACGTACAGAGTTATGCAATCTTGCTACCGAGCATGGTCATGTTCTTTTCCTCTTGCAGTATATCCGCCAAACCATCAATGTCCTTGCAAAACACCACACAACCGTTACCAGCCTTTCCAAACAAAACGCGACAAAGATTTCAGATCTTTTGCTCTCTCGAAATGGTAATTGGGTCGTTGGAGTCACAAAATGGGTTGCATTTTCAAAGCTAACATCCCTTTTTGAAACGTTAGAGCAGACCCTTCCAATGCCAGAGATTGAGCTTCTCGGCCTTATTGCTACAGGAAACCCTTGTGAGGCGGTTTATGAATACTTTACACAGTTGCTTTCAGAGCAGGTATATATACCACCATAATGGATGATGGATGGCACGGGGTCTAAGCCTTCTTGCATAGCAATTAAAACGTTGGAGTGAACGGGCAACACACAGCTACAGCTGCTCCCAGATGATCGTATGCGAGTATTTACAGCCAGCTTGTGAGCGACTTTTATTACATCTTGATACACTTTACGGATATAGTTTATGGTATGGATAAGGTCATCATTGAAGGTATTTGCTGGGCTAAAGGGAAACCATAGGACTGAGCGATACAATGGGCTACTTGATCCAGAGGCCGTGAACCTATGTATGAGGAGGACCAAAAAGTTGATGCAGTCGTTGACCCGTTACCTTGCCGATGTTACCAAAGAGTCGGTTACGTTCTCGGAATTCATAAAGTGGATGTCCAATAGTAAGTACATGGCATGGAGGGGGGAGGGGGTGTAGGGTGCTTGCTGCTTATCAGGAGCTGTTGTAGTGTTTTACAAGTTTGTTGGCGAAGGTGGTACAGAAGCCGAGGTGATTCCCTACGATCCATGGCGTGCTGTGGAACACATTCGCAATTCCTTTGCATCCGACAGATTAGCACCCTACTTTATAGCTTCGTCGACAGCATCAGGTATGATATTTGGAATCAAAAGTTTATCTTAGCCCACTAATCGATTGGTAACTAAGCCCAGGAAATGAATTTCTCGGATATGGTGGGGAGTGTTTCTGAAGCATGTCGAGCTATGTTACAACAGCCGTCCATTACATTGTCAGCAAACATTACAGTGACCGAATCACAAACATTGGAATTGGATTGCACGAGAGATGATACTTCTATTGGGCGATTTGCAGCATCTTGGATGGATGAGGATCAGGTATAGCGAACTTAACAAGGATTGTCATCCGCTTTTAGTTATTGATCAAAACCAATGCTATAGGCCAAGCAGCATTATGCCCTTATACAACGCAACGATGCATTAGGAGACAAAGGTAATTCTCAATAGCAGGACCTTATTCTTACCAGATGAATAACAACGTGAGTATTGGATTTAGTCATCTTGATCAAAAAGGATCTGAAAAGGGTTGAACCAGCTGGCTACGCATCTTTGGATTTTGGTAGTTGCCACATCTCAGACTTTGAATTCTTGGACGCTGAAGAAATTGCATTGGTATCTGCATACCCAACACAAGGTAAGCATTAAGATCGTTTGGAATGGTTGCAAAAACTCATACACGTCCCCCCCCTCCTCCAGAGACTCTCCTCTCCACCATCGAATACAATGCTATGGAATACGTCCCTTTTCAGGCACAAGAAGCACGTATTGAACAATTCCAAGAGGTACTGAAGCGTCGTTGTTTTATAGCTGGATACTTATCATATACGTAGTGCCAATTTTCAAGGTCTATGGAACTCGAGAAAACGAAGGATGCGGTGATTGGAGCAAACGGCCGTCCTCGACGACGCACTATTGGCGTGTATAGAGCAAATCGTAAAGCATCTAGTTATTTTCTTGATGAATAATACTTTGTACCATACGTGAAATGAGCTGGTGTTTTTCAGTAGTGGCTATGTGTAGGTCCGAGAGGAAATGGTAGCTTGCTCTTTGTATATAGCATGGGATGGTGTAAGCAATAGTTTGCACGCTCACAGCCCAACATTTTAAGTATGGTTGTAGGCATTTCAAGTGCACGTCGCATAGCAACCACCTATGGCATATGATAATAAGGCATTGGATATACTACTTCTTGTGGCCATCTAGATCCTGCTAGAAGGCCACAACTCGTATAAAACTTTCTCAGATGGACTCGAATTGTTGTTTCGCATGTAGGGAACATAATTTTTATTCTGTTGAAAGATCCTCTATGAACAATGACATGGACATTTTTGACAAGTCTTATGACATTTTGGGCCCTCTGCACCCTTGTTTGTAGGAAGCTGCATTATTGGATTTCATCAAAGCGCCGCCATAATAGCATCCAGATGGTCCACTTGGAGCCACCTCGTCCAATAAAAGTGAGAACTCCCTTCGTGCGTGTATCTTTTGCCTGCTGCTCTCTGTTTCCAACCCCCAATTGCAACATGAATCTGTTTCGCCTCGTTGCCGACTTGATGCATTTGGCGTCCATTATCATATTACTGTTGAAGATAAGGCAGTCGCGTTCCTGCGTGGGTGAGTATCCTTTTTACGCGGTTGAGTACTTTATGCTTTAACCTTGGTGTATAGGCATTTCGTTCAAATCCCAATTGCTTTATTCTATCGTCTTTTTGACGCGTTATCTGGACCTTTTCTTCAAGTTCCATTCACTTTACAACACGTGCATGAAGATCTTTTTTATTTCATCCTCTCTTTATATCCTTTATCTCATGAAGTTCAAGTACAAGGCGACCTACGATGCCAACCTGGACACTTTTCGAATCGAATATCTTTTGGGTGGATCAGCTGTGATGGCACTCGTGTTGCCCTATGAGTATAGTGTAGTCGAGGTAAGCGTATATACCTTGCAGGAATTTGGCATGTGGATTAATCCCACGCTATCTATCATGTAGGTTTTGTGGTCCTTCTCCATCTGGCTGGAATCGGTGGCCATTCTACCCCAGCTCTTTATGCTACAAAGAACCGGTGAAGCTGAAACGATTACTACTCATTACCTTTTCGCCTTGGGTGCTTATCGTGGCTTGTATCTGTTGAATTGGGTGTATCGATACATCACCGAGGATTATACAGATTGGATTGCTTGGGTTGCTGGTCTCTTACAAACGGCTCTGTACAGCGATTTCTTTTATATTTACTATACCAGGTACAGTGTTCTATATACTATGATGAGGGAAGAAGGGTGGCGACTCACACAATATGGCAATGATTAGGGTACTCAAGGGTAGAAAGTTTGAGCTACCAAAGTAAGTGTTTGGTTGAATGAATCCAATCGATAATGAGGCTGATGATGGTGTATTGTAATTAGGATGGTTTAAATTGATTTTGAAGGGAAAATATAATATTTGTATATACATTTATTGGTTGCATGCATCTCCTGTACAATGATGAAGTATGGAAAGGGGTTGGTGGGGAGGGGGGAATGATCATTATGATGATGATGTCTGTTCCAACTTTTGTTTCTTTCTTGCTAAATAACGTTCACGTGCGCTCATGGCTGATTCATCGGTAGTGCGTTTGGCAGCTGCTTTCTCGGCCATTTCCTTTTGCTTGCGTTCTTCTTCTTCACGTTCTTTAGCCTTGCTTTCCATCATTTGCTTTTCAATCTCTCGACTGTATCGTTCACGTTCTGCTTGATCACCACCACCACGACGTTTAGCTTCATATTCCTCCACCTTCTTTCGTTTGTATTCATCGTATTCGCGTTGTCGTTCCTGAGCACCTTTGTCTGCGAGCGATCCAAGTGATCCAAATTTGGGTCGTACATTCAAGCCAGCACCCAACAACTGTCGTCGATCCACAATTTCATTGTTGTCATTGAGCATAACATCCTTTCCTTCACGACGAGCTTGCTGCGCCAATTCAGCATCCAACACTTCTTTCATCTCGGCTTCTGACTTGGATTTCGATCCCTTGTGCATCTTGAGATATTGTTCAAGCTCCTGTCGTTCGTTGCCTTTCTCATTCAACAATTGTCGATAGAATGAAGTCATCTTTTTCTTCTTGTTGGCTTCCTCTATTTATATAAAGTTAACTACAATGAACATCTTTCATAATGAATGTGCTTGTTTACCTTCACGTCGCTTTTCTTCTTCCTCAATACGCTTCAATTCTTCTTTTTGCTTTTTGAATCTAATACATCAAACAATATAAGAACTTATTCTCTCTCTCTCCCTCGCTTTTTCGTTTTCTTTACTTACGTTTCAGTCACAAAAACTTCCTTGTCGGCATACATCTCTCCTTCTGCTTCACGTTCACGTGCAATCTTCTTTTCTTCAGCCATCAATCGATCCTTTTTACGTGTCTCGGCTGCTTCCAAAAATGCCTTGATGTATTTTGGCTAGAATGCACATGTCAGACAAATCCATACAGTAGTAAGGGTGTTCTTGTATTACCTTCTTGGTATCCACTCCCTTTTGGGCTTCCCGTTTTAAACGCTCAGCTTCCTTCAGATCGTCATAGACGGCATCGTAGTCGAAAATGTTGGCATCCTCTTCCAGTGCTTTGGCATGTTGCTCGGCCACCTTTTTGGTCATCTTTGTGGACTGTCCAAGTTGCTGATTCACTATGGCACGGTGTTGCTTTTTGGCATTCTGCTGATTCTGTTGTTGTTGCTCATCCTCTTGCTCATCGTCGTCATCGTCTTGACCCAATTGATTGCGTCGACTAAACATTGGCCGAGGCTGGGCTTTCTTGCGAACATTGAGACCGAATTTCATTTGGGTAGGTAGAGAGTGCTGTCGCAGTAGTAGAAAAGGTTAGGAATGATAAGGCTCCGCATTCTGGCTCTTATATAAATCCTACTACCTACCTCAAAGCAGCTCCGTTATATCATTTAATAAACATTTAGAATCATTCATGCTATCATCTCAAGATAAACCATTCACTTCAAATAGGTTGCTATAGCAGCGGTGTTACCAGGCAACGAAGCTACTCTGAATTGTAACATTTTCCAACAACATGAAATCAACAACGGCTTACTATTATCTTGTTTGTCACGCTAATTTATCTATTGTGATATGCCTTGAATAATGATAGGGGGATGAGGATGAAAGGATCGACTATATACTATTAAGCAAGTAGAATGGTTTATACAAGAGGTTCATAAAGTCGAAGGATGATCGTAATTATCAACAGAGTTTCTTGTTAACGATACCGAGCACCATTCGTTTTCGGATAAGCACCATATCATCTTGGGTGAATTCGAATTCCTGTTGTCGTGATAACCGCTCAGCATATGTGCATGTGAACACACCGCAATCTGACATGTTCTTTTGATGGGGGATTTCCTACACGATTCAATCAATATCATTACTTCCACCCCTTTCATATTGTAAACTAACCTTGGGTGTACGCATTGTCCAGCCAGAGTCGTCAAATGGTGATCCCTTTTTATCTTGATGTTCTTGTGATAGGTAATCCAGCAAGAGCTGTGACATAATGTGTGTGAGTAAGCAACCTCTCTTCAAGTAACAATAAAGCATTTACCTCGAGCGTAGGACGATGACCACCACCCAATGAATCATACACCGTAATGGTCTTCTGCTTCATGTCAACGACACCCAACGTCCAATGGTAAGAATAATTGATGGGTATAAAGAGCAAATCCTTGGCAAAGATATCAACGCGCTTCGTCCACCGTTTCACTTTGGGATAGCCCTTTTCACGCAGGGTTGAACAGAAAAAAGTTGAAAAGCAGTATACGCTGGGTAAGCCTGAATCTTCTTGGTCGGCCCGATCCGCTATAAGACCCAAGTAAAAGTTGATCACCTTTGGTATAGATTGGTGTTAGGATAAAAAAAGCGATGCTCGGCAAAGGGGTGAAATTACCTCGTCATTGAGCCAGGTCTCTGGAAGCAACTTTGCAATGTCCTTGTATTCAACCACAGCCTTCTTATGTTTTGCAACCACACCGCTATTTCCAGGTCGTAAAAGCTTGCGAACCTATGCCATGGAAATCAGCAACAGACTCGATTGGGTTGCTCTCATTACACATACCAGTGCTTCCTCTTCATCCGTCAATGCAACTAGACCTTTTGGAATAGGGATCGCCGTCTTTTCATAAAGGTCGTCAAGGTCAAGTGCAGCTGATGGGCCAAAGATATCCTATGCATCACACAAAATCAGATCCATTGTGGGAGAAAGAGTTTAGCATTACTTACATTCTGCGCCTTTAGGAACTCCTTTCGTGATTCAATTCGCTATTCAAAAGGCACCTATGTCAGTAGTGTGCCATCCAAATCTCGTAACGTATTTACTTCAAAGTCGAATCTCGCTTGCAATGTCTTGGTTGCCGGAGTCTTGCGATTGATGTCGAGTGCTTGTAAATCATCCAACAATGAATCCACGCTGTCCACATTGTTCGCTGATCCATTCTTATTTTTGGAGGCATTCTCATGGTTGTCGTCTTCTTCTTCTTCGTCGGAACTGATCACAATGACGTCGTCGTCGTTATCGCTGTTGGCCTTTCGGTGGTGTGGAAGTTGATACATGGTTTGGCAGAGTTCTTTAACACGTATCGTGTCGCAAAAATCGGTAGAAGAATAGTAGTCTTTGGGCCAAACGGTTAGCATACAATGCTGCGTTGAATGCGTAAAGTCAAGTACCCGTGTCTGAAGCAAAGCAAAGTCGTATGGCTTTAAAGGAAACATGTTAGCGATGCGTTGTAGTTAGACCCCAACGTGTTAGAGATGCTTACATTGCGAACGAATGCCAGCTATTCCAATAAAGCAAACAGCTCCATGTTAGCAATGAACAAGTTGATTTTGGGGAGACTCACAATCTCGGCTTGTTTTTTGACTCTTTTGTGTGGAATGAGCGTAATCCAATGGGGAGGCACGAGCCAGTTGTTTCATGGGGTGAATAAAAGAGAGAGAGAGAGAAGGAAGAAATACAAATGTGGTCTGTCAAACCTGAGAGCCAACTTAGTCGGGATTTGTACAATCATGCACTTTAACAATCGAGCAGCTCAAAGCAAAGTAGTACAGTGAGAGATGAAAAAAAGTATTCTAGTGGTTGGTTCTATTCAACATTGTAAGGATAGAAAAGATACAAGATGAGAAAGAGGGAGGATATACATGCAATAATGGAAGAATGGGATAAAGATATACAGTACAGGCAGGAGGTTAAATGATGCTACAACAACAAGCGAAAGGAACTTGGGAATAAGGTGTGAGATATGGAAAGGATGGTTGGTGGTTGGTGAATGAGAAAAAATCTAGTTGGAAAGGATGGCTTCAACTTTTTCACGGCACTCGTCATCGACAATGGGAAGTTCCACTTGTCGAACAATACGCTCCTTGATTTGCTGTCGATAGCGTTGTAGTAAATCATTCTCTGTGCCTGATAAACGACGATACACATGCAAATGAACAGCCAAGGTGGACAAGTGCAACAAATCCGCTTCATGGTTGCCATGCAAATCCGCCGGTGCTAAATAAGCAATACAATCAGCGGATGCATTGTGGTCTGCGAGAGCCTGCTCCAGATGGTTGGCACATGTTTCGCTGTTGTTGTTGTTGCTGGCGGCTTGCACAAAGTGGTAGATGGATCGACAATGGCGTTTGAGTAATACGGAGGATGGGCATTTTTCATCCTTATCAATCAATGTATGCAAAAATTCAAGGCTGCTTGAAGGAGCTGAACCGTTTCCAAGACATTTGCCAAGATGCGTCCACCAGGCAACCATGGCAGGTACATCCTTTGTGCTAAACATGTTAAACAATTCACTGCTGTTGCCTTCTGAAAGCATCCATTGGATATACATGGCTTGGAGCTTGTCAAGTGCCAACCAATAGTCGTTCCAATCAAGAGGTGTCACGAGATAAGGCAACACGTATGAGTAAAATACAGTGGGGCAAGTGCGGCTTGAGGTACGGTTGGCAAGCATGGACATGACTTGTTGGGGTGGTTCGTTGCCTGCAAGCTTGTCTGAAAATCGGTTGGGACCAAAAACCAATCGAAGTTGGATGGCAGCAGTAATATTGACTCGGGCCGTGGTACGATCAGTAACGAGACGAGGATCACGTTCAAGCAAATGGATACGAGACAACATGGCCACACATGAGCGTAAAAGTTGAAGCTTAGTTACCGAAGGCTCAGCTATATAATAAACACGTCGTTAGGTATCACTTTCATCAAAGTCATAATGTAGGTCTTCTTATTACCTCCAAGGCACTGCATTTCACTTAATCTTGTCCAAGCGGCGGCTTTGGTGAGTTCACTTTCGGTGACGTGTGTTGTGGCGAATAGGGAACGATAAAAAGGAAGAAATGCCAGCATGTCGTAAAGCGTTTGCAACACCAACACCAAAGGAGATTGAGATAAGGGTGCATGGCTGATCATTGAATCGTAAAGCTGATGCCACGATGATACGACTTCAGATGCATAATGATGGTGTGAGTGATGGCATTTCTTATTGGTACGCCGAGAAGCAGCACGATTTAGCCATGGGAGAATGATAAGATAAATGAAGCCAAAGGTATAAACAGCGATCTGCAGCCAAGTCCTATATGCACCAGAAGCAGCAGTGTTAATAACAGCAATGCATAAACAAACAACAATGCCACGTATAAACATACCATGCACTCAAGCTGAGAAATTGGGAGGAAGGCGTTGATGGATGATTGAAGGTGGTTGTGTTGGAAAATGGGATGCGAGAAGTATGTGGATAATGATGACCAGAGGCTGTATTATGCTTTGGAGCATTGTCGGATGTGCTGAAAGGTGATGCCGAGAAAAAGGCAACACACATGTACATTGCCATAAACATTTGGTTTGGCCCCTGATCCTTGTTTGCAGCTTTACTCTTCTTGGCATCTTGTTCAGCCTTCTTTCTTCGACGATAAGGTCGACGTTCACGCTTTGGTAATAGCTGTGCGAGAGCTGCACGTTGGGCTGCACGCTCTTTCAATAATTCTTGACGCTGTACTTGTTCGCGCATACGAGCTTCTTTACGTTCACGAGCAAGACGCTCTTGCTCTTGTTGTTGAAACTCGCGTTTTCGTGCCAAAAATTCATTAAGTACTTGTTGTCCACCAGGCATTTGTCCAATGATGTGCTGCAGGATTTGGTTTTCACGGTTGGCAAGGTCATTGTTGCGTCTTAAGAACAAGATGTACTCGGTTGCTTTGCGTAAAATGGTTGCCTTGTTGAGCTTTTTGGCCACTTCGATACCATCAACGATTTCTGTTTCACCAGACTCATCATCCGATTCATCGTCATCATTCTTTTCGCCGACTTTGGCCTTGTAAAGTGCTGGCACAACGTTCTTGAGATCATTGATACGGTCGTTGATGTTGGTTCGATAGCGACGTTCGATAGCGTTGTGTGCTACTTTTTTAATTTGCTGTGTTGGTTCCAATTGCCAGAATTCAGCATTACTGCTAGAGCGTTTACGGCCGATGGTTGAATTGTTGTTGTTGGTATCATCTATGGCAGTAATAAAAAAGGTTCAATGAGCTCATTTGTTATACAAATTTTCTTTTTCAGCTAAAGAGCTTACCACGCTCGATAGGAGGTGTTGGTGTTGTTTGAACACCATCGGGCACAGTGAATGCATTGATAGGTGGGATTTGCCAAGTGGATGTGGTGGATACGCCTGATGAGGATGTTGAAGGAGAAATGGTTGTCGGGCCATCTGCAAGTGGCGTGGCAGGGATAGCAATTCCAGGCATTTGGCCATTGAGCGAATACGGCTCACCAAAATAGCCATCATAGATTCCTGTGGGAAAGAAACCAAAGGCTTTTTGTGCCTCAACATGAACATCATCTTGCATCAAGTGATCGGTGGGTGGTGATAATGTTGATGAAGATGAAGGTGATGGGAAATGTTGTGAGGAGTGATCCCAGTCGAACATGTTTTCCAATTCGTCAAGTGAAAAATCGGATGCTGTTGCTTGTGGACCGGTAGGGGATGATCCCAATGAAAGTTGTGGTGAAAGATGGTTGTCGAGTATGTTGGAGGAAGGACGTCGCTGTTCTTCGTTAGGACGCATTCCGAGATATGATTCGAAGGTGTCTTCCATCATTCTTGGAGTGAATGGTGTAAAGAGAGAGAATGTATGTGTAGAGATAAAAGAGATTACAGCTCGCTACGAAGATGGTGTTCTGGACCTATATAATAGGTTTGTCGTTTGTGCATTGACATTTAACAGGCCACATTTGCTCCAGCGTCTCTAACGAAAATGATTGGATAACTTGTACTCACCTCATTTTTTAAAACTCCAGTGCTCAGACCACGGGGCTTCCTCACGCCACTTTGCAAAAGCAATTGTTCCCCCGCATGTGAAAGTCGATGCATCCATCACTGTGCATGCTTGTATATTGAGACCATATGAGCTAACCCAGATTTCATTTCTGTCGAATGGGCTAGCGAAAAAAGAAAAAAAAGACCGCCCTGTCAAACTTGCCGGGCGATCCAAGTTCAGGGGTTGGCGACGATTTAAACATAAGCAATGGAAAGAAAAGCCGAAAATGAGTCATTGGAATGACCACAGGACCTCCTCATCGTTCTTCGAAGGCAACCTTGTTTACTATTTGCTCAATTAAGCAGTTGAGCGATTGGCTCGGTATTGGCCTTACCAATGGTGCCACCATGCTGACTGCGCAAAATTGTCAATGTTATGTGTGTGTGCCATTGTCTCGGATCCCCAAATCTGGATTTCCATTCCACGTCCTCAGCATGTATTATAACACGGTTGACAATGGAAATGTAATTCCCTGTGTGCAACTGAGTACTAATGTTAATTAGAATCAGCGTAATAACGTATAACATCTTTCCGTAGTTACGGATGAAGGAGGGTCTCTTTCGATGCTGACCACCGCCAACACCACAACAAACAAACATACATCATGTCGTCGTCCATAAATAGGTAGTAGGTGTTGATGCATGATGCATCATGTAATCGAAAAAGGGTACATGGTCGACCTGGATACGTGTTGTTGCTATGCTCTTTTGATATGACTCATCGTTTTGCGAGATAGCATCCATAATCACGCTGGCTGTCATTTGTATCTGGTTTGACGGTTTGCAAAATTCCCACCCTGTCCACACGTGCTTGTATGACAAAGAAACGCTACAATGGGTATAAATAACTTTCATATCGCCTCATTTTTTGCACGTCCCCAACTTGTTTCTATTGAGAAGCTTAAACGCAATGATGTGTGTGTACATAGCATGATCCACCAACATGCATACGTGGAGGATGATGCCACCAACAATTAAAGCCTGTCACCATAAAGGGGCATCGTCATTCATTTTAGCTATTTCAATCGTGCCATGTGCTGCATTCTCATTTGCTCGACCTTGTAATCTTATTCTCATTCCATGGATCATCTTAATTATGTAACCTTGTGTGGGCATTCATGGTGTAGGGATGGATTGCAATGCCACGTGCTTTTATTCAAAGAATAGCCGGGTATACAAGATCTAAGAGTAATAATCCTCCTTCATCATCCATGTTGCTGCCATTGAACCTCTTCTTTCTCACTGATCCTGCAGGGATATAAAGAACGTATCCAACACCTTTGCGCCTTTGGTTGTTCTCATACTGATAGCCGTGGTTGACTGAAAGAGATTCCATAGCGTTCAAGTGTGGGGTGATGACAAGCTTTGTGTCCAAAGTCCAGAGCTGCGGTTTGCCGTGCTTATCACTGATGTCAATGATACCATTATTGGAGAGCCAAAGTGGCCGATAGCCGAGTCGTCTTGGATGCATCACCCCGTATTGGACCAAGATAGCGCACCATCCAAATCAACCTCATGTTGCTGGACCTTGTAAAATGGATCGGGGAGGTAGCTACGTAAGAAGAAATGGATGATGTACATGAGTATGTGATTCCTCAGGTAATATGCTTGCGTTTTACCTCATTACAAGAGCCAAATATCCAATGACGACCACGACAATGAGAAGAAGAGGATAACAAAAAAGATACTATAAATGGACCACAATGATCAGCTCTAACCCATAGAGTTGTAATGAAGATCATTCATTGTAATACGTACATGAACCTGGACCTCTGACAGCGCCATCGAAAGAGGCGCCGCTCTTGTATGTATGGCATGTGGATTGCTGTGGTCACCCAAATAGAAAAGCCTCAAGACGACAACATTCGTTGAAGAGGTGCGATGCCTACACCGGACATAAAGCTTGTTCTCTGTCAAAGAGTCTTGGCGTGATGTTCTTGTCCATCCATCGAAATAAGCATAGCAGGCGAGCGACCACACAAAATGAGCCATTCCTTTGTATCTATACTCTTGACTAGTATCATCCTCTGCTTCTTGTATCTCATAACTCGTGTATAGACCCTCTATAATCAATGAACACCTACCACTCCATAGAGACAATGTTGTTTTTTCCTCGTCTTGAAGCAAGCAATAAAGTGGACATGAGGGTGGTATTAAGGTGCATCAGGAAGGAAGAGTGTGCCATGGAAAGTGCGCGATTACAACATGCTTCGATCGTTGCGTTGATTGCGAGTGGTGAGGAGTTGAATACGACGACAATGAAGTAGCGTGCAACAGCGATGGGAGGTGTGGGAGATTGCTGTCGTAGATTGGTCAAGAAGAGGAGAGGAACAAGAAAGGATCATGCATGATAGGCGCCACTCTAATTAGATTTAAGCCAATTTCACCTACATAGCATGCCATCACCGAATCAATAAATGCACGCGTCTCGTCTTAAAGAATGGCGTCCCATTATCGATATATAGCTCAACTTTGGCGCCTTTCAGTCCATGGTCATCGCATCATTAGCTTTTGTATCACGTGATCCTAGCGCTTTTGTCACAAATGGTAGCATGTTGATAACCATGGCATTTGAAATTGATGTCCGAGAGATGTTTAAGGATACTATTAAAAGGGTATGGTATGCCATGTCAACATTAACCCTGGGATTTGAGAAGAGGGAGAAACCTCGGGAAGACGCCGCTGACTTTTTGATGCAGAAAAAAAGCATACACCTTATTTGGACACATTGATCTGTTCTCACATTTATCCAATGGGCGATTATACCCCTTTCATTGCTAAGCCCTGCATTTTCATTGCAAAACATTCACCAATGTATCTCGTATGTATCATGGTTCAATTTATTCGTATACCCAAAGCCTGCTGGATGATCACATAGCAATGAAATTTGATTGACCGAGTCAACAACAACAGGCCATATGCATCCCACACATACGCCCAAAGTGTACCAATCGGCAAAATGGATTGCTGATATGGGCCATGAATAACAACTTGTTTTGAAAAACGCACAGCCACAGAGCCCCGCTTGGTAACACAATCGGGTACCTGGGATAAAACGACGCGAGAAGGGACGCGAAACAAAAGGGCGTTTGTCGGACAAGATTGAAAAGGAAAACCTTTTTTTGGGTGCATAAGTCAAGTGAGAACCCGCCATCTCGTTTATTTTTAAAGCTTCCATCTATGAGAAAATGTCTTCCTTCCTCTCTCTTTTTTTACACCCTTTCTCCCGCACACCTCATCTATATGCGTTCAACAAAATATCTCATTGCAGCGGCCTTGACCACATTCTTGCTGCTATTGACGGTTGTTTATCGCACGCGTCCTACAACGGGAGCCTCCTCGTTTCAGATCTGGGAATCATCTAGACGAAAACAGGATGCACAGCAAGAAGAAAAATACATCACTTTTTATCCACACTCGGGTCTTCACAACCAACGATTGGCCTTGTTGAATGCAATGGTGCTTGCCAAAGCACTTGATCGTACGTTGATCCTTCCCGAGATTAATATTGGACGAGGCGTATACTGGTGGCCATCCCCACAGCTGGAACAGAAAATGAGCGATTGCCCTTCTCGGCCTGTATTAGATCGCAAAGGCCTTTGTACCGAATATCGTCATTACGTGCCTGTACCCGTATCAACCATCTTTGACTTGAGTGTCCTTGACAATGTTGGCATCAAGTACATTCAACGTGATGATATGAGCACCAATTACTTTGCATCTGAATGGGGCATTGAATATGACGATCCCGAACATGTGTATCGCTTGAATGATGACAGCCGATTTTCCTACCGTATCTTTGACGTCAAGCAAAGCAGCACCCAAGAGCTGATGCAATTCCGATACCGCATTGATTTGGATGATTTGGCAGCACGATCTGAACGCTTCATGGTATTCGGTTCACTGTTTGCTACACCACGCCTTGTACTTGAACGGGACGACTTGTATTGGTTACGAGAATACTTGGCAAGCGAGATGGGTTTTGGTCATCCCACCGTTATTCAACAAACCCTTAACGTTGTTTCCTTACTTGGTGGTCCTGGCGAATACGCAAGTGTGCATCTACGTACCGGTGATGGCGTCTTCAAGGCTACCATGGCATATACCATGGATAAAGTACGTGAGCAATTGGCACAAGTAAATGCAGGCACCCATCGTATGCACCATCAGCATGAATACGAGCTCATTAATCGATTGCAATCCCTGGCACAAGAAGGGCAATACGATACCATGCTCAATGAATGCGTTGCTTTGCAGCATGATAAATCACTATTGCATCCACGATTGAGACTTATCTTTATGGCCACCGATACAGCTCAGCCCCGCCATACAGTGCCCCATTTGTTTGAGGAATTCGTGTGCATGTTCACGTTATCAGATTTCTCCCAAGCCATTGACATTGCCATGACATCGTCCGATAGTTATGGACCCTTGTTGTTGCCATTGATTGATGCCGAGATTGCAGCACATGGATCCTTTTTCGTAGGTACTCGCAAGAGTACGTTTTCAAAGTATATCCAATACCGTAATCGGCGTTTCCTAGCATACTATCCTCAGGTCAATGCTGCCTAAATCTTCCTCCTCCTCCTCTATTATCCATCCCTCTTCTTCTTCTCCTCATCCTTTTGTATCATATTATTTACATTCTCCATTCCCTTCATCTTGTTTTACATATTACTGCATCTCTTCAATTCTACATGTATCATGCATCATTTCCCCTCTTGTAGCTGTTTTTGGTTGTAACTTTACTCTTTGACAAATACAGTATAAAGGTTTCTCTCTTATCCGTGTCACCAAGCACAGACGTTACACTGCTACTTTGGTTGCTGCATCTTTGCTCTTTTTTCTCCTCCGAAAGCTGAGCCCTCTCGATGATGTCGTTGCACATGGGAGAAAACTGTAAGCGTGTATGGCCAAGGGAAAACAATGATTTCCATAAAGATTTCGATCGAAAGCACATCATCATGATGTGTATCACACTTTGCGTAATCCGAGAATAAATCTATAACTGTATCATGGCAACGTCGTACACCCCACCCACCTATCCGCAGCATGGGCTGAGGAGAGTAAAAAAAAGAGAGAGATCCATTTTTAGCTATTCTACGTACGTACGTTCGTACGTACATAACCAAAGCCATGGGACACGCAACATATGACTTATGACCATCATGCAAGTGTTCCTTTCCGCTTGCATCGTTATCATGGGGTGTTGATTAAATATAAAACAAACATGTCGATGCATCTGCCAAACAAAGGGTCGACATTAACCGATCTATCCGTTTTCCCAATGCAAAAGCTGTGAAAGGGATTACAAGAATGATTGCACTTTGCTGTATTGAATACTTTTTCAGTTCAAGGTTGATATATAGAGGGGGTGTTGGGCAAGGGATATATAAAAAGTTAGATTGTGGGAATACATGAGCCTAAATGCTACTTCATCCGTGCCTGCGGTGGAGCGCTGGTCAAGGCGATAGCTGATCGACTTGCTAATGGTGACACACCCACAGCATTTCCTCCTTGTTTCTTCATTTTCATCATATTAGCATAGGTGCGTACGAAGTCTTTGGACGAAGTAAGATCGGCGTGGTATAGGCTTTTGATCATGCCACTATCTTGCATAACCAAATTGAATTCTTTGGGTACCTAAAAGAGTCATCTTGGTGTTAGATAGGTGGATAATGATGAGTATGATCTTTTTCACACTTACCGTAATGAACTCGGCTTGGTATTTGATGAGTAAATGCACGACTCTAATCTCATCCCTTGGCATTCGGTACCTTTCTGCCATCGTTGGCGGTGCATAGAATACACCAGGTGTCAGTACTACTGCAAGGTTGTGTATATCCATGAGATTCTTGGCATGGAACGATGCAACATGATTGAGGAATAAAAACAGCAGCTGCATAAAATCTCGATTTGGCTTGGGCAACATGCAACATGCAAGATGTAACACTGCCTTTGTTTCTTGCTCAGTCTCCATCTCTATTATGTATGTATGTGAATCAAGTTTGTAAGCAAATACAATACGACGACATGTGTATAGTTGTTGTTGGATACGTACGTAGACTTGAAAGAAAAAGGTTGTATAACCTGAAGGTCAATAAAGGCTCTGGCATATCTCGAATGAATCGTTTAAGTAAAGCAGCCAGCTGAATGGATGATGATATTTGCATAAGCTGCTCAAAGTAGGGTTCACCCCTGTCGACCGATTGTGACATTTCTCGTAGTTCACGGATGTTACCATTTTTGCGAAAGATGCCTTCCACAGCCAAATCTATAAATGTAGTAGTAGTAGAATGTCAATGCATGCATGAAGGGGGTAAGGCAAACAGTGAGATTCTTACCTTGTTGCAGTAAAGCCAAGATACAATCCTGCACAATGATCGGAGCCATGACATTCTCGGAAATGTATGCAGCTATTGTAGGGTGATGGGTGGTCACATACTGTAATGCATTTGCACGTGCAGGTTGGTCTTTGGGGTGATGCCGTTGTTTGGTTGCCAAGCTTGACAAGGATACTCCAAATACACGAGTGCTATTATTGGTGTTGTTGTTGTTGCCGTTGGTATGTTGAGTTGGGCTGCTGCTGGTTGAAGGTGTCGTAAGCATCCAATCCGCTGGTGAATATTGTCTTGCTGAACGAAAGTGAAGCTTGACTTTGCCCCATAACGATTCCTTGCGTGGTTCAACAAGTGCTAATAGCTCTTCAATCTCAAAGTAGCCACCGACATAGCGTTCAACATAAAGCGCTGCTAGATTCCTCAATAAAAAGTCCTGGAGGTCTGAAACATCGACAAGCCAATGCATAGCGTCCTCGTTTTTACAGCTATTATTGAGACAATGATGGCGTTGTAGCGTGGCAACGGTAGGTTTTTCATGTAAACGTTGTTGCTGAGCAGGAAGGGTGCTACTTGTATGATTACGAGTACCACGACCTGTGCTCAGCGCTCTGCGTAGCGTGCTGTAACCAACAAATTTACTCGTGGGAGACGAAGATGGTGATGTAGGGCTTATCACTTCACTTGATGGCTGATGGATCGTTAACGCACGTCGTGGTGTGGGTGTGTTGCCAATCGTATGAGGTGTAGTAGTAGTGGTAGAATCGGCTTGGCTTGATTTCATACGTTTGACGTTGGACCAATATATAGTGCCGGTTGGCTGTTGTTGTTGTTGAGGCTGAGCATTTTGTTGCATCGTCGTGGTAGTGTCAGCAGCAGCAGCAGCAGCTGTTCCTGTGTCAACTGTCAATTGTCGAAAAGAAGCAGGTGAAGAAGAAAGTGGCTGTTGTCGATTTTGCGAATGTTTTGTTTTGTCATCCACAGCATGCTGCATCTTCTTTAGTCCGTTTTTGCCTATAATCAATTATTACACGACGACATTGATCAGGCTTGATGTATTGATGAAATTTCCTTTTTGTGCTCTGACCTGTGGCCAATGTCGTGGTTGTTTGTTGTTCCACACGAGCAAGTGCAACACGCAACAAGTGCATGCATTGTTCCAACTGTGAAACCGGGATGAGCTGGGTTTGTTGCATAACGTGCTTTGGTCTATTACGCGGGTCAACAGTGCATTGGTCGCATAGCAATAGCATATCAACATGGCCCGATTTCTCTGTATGATAGCCAACGCGTGCTTGACGAGGATGCTGGATTTGCTTTTTACATGCACCACATATTAAGCAACCCAAATGCCAAGATCCTACACCATGACGAAGGCATGGATCCAAGATAACCTTTTGGCAATGTCGACACTTGTCTTCTTGCTCTGCCGTGGCGGTCTCTGGAAATGGCGATTCCTTAAACAGATAGCGTCCTGGTATCCATGCACTATGCCTCTTCAAATCACCAAATGGCTGAAGGAAAACAGACAACACATTCTTGACATCCGAGTTATGCTCCTACAATGTACGTGCGCTTGTTTAATGTAAGGCCCTGTAAAAGAAAACATCCCTCCCTCAAGCGTGTATGCATAATAGTGTCATGCATGGCTGTTGTCACACACACACACACACACACACACACACCACTCTTTTCCCCTTCCAATGTTTAACTTACCAGCTGTAATGCCTCAACCAAACCATCATGTAATAAGACCTTGAGGCTGTTTGCTAGGCTACCAACAAAATCAAACACCTTTTTGCCAAACACATGTCGTTCCTCGTCCTCCTTTTGCGTATCGAAAAGTTGAAATAGCTGGATTATTTGAGATCCGATCAATCGAGTCCACTTGTTACACTCGGGTACTGTATCCGATCCATATCCACTATTAGCTATTGTCAATCCTCGGGATACTTTTCATTGATTACCTTTTTGGTTGCTAAGATCATGTTGGGTATACAGGGTGTGGATCGATTGATGTGCCGTGAACAATGCACGTAAATGCCATGCGAGTTGACGTGCCATGGAAACGGATTCATGAAAGGAGCCAGCGGTGATGTGTAATCCAAGATCATAGATATACGTTGCCAACGAGTCTTCAAACGCGTGCAACTCAGTCCACACTTGCTTCCTTGTTGTCTCCATAGTTGTTTGGATAGCAATAAGCTCGTTGGGGCTCATTGTCGAGAATTCATCTACAAGTCGTCTGAGTTGCCATGCCAACTACCATAAAAAGGGCTTACCATGACGATCGTATCGAGGATCAACAAGCTTGACTTGCCAGTACTAGAAGAAGAAAAACATGATTAGCTATCGCGTATGATACTTGAATTGACATTGCATTTACCTTGTAAATTTTGAAACACTCATAATGCCACCAACGACCTCGCTCAGTATCATCTTCGACAGGCTTATCCAATACAGCCTGACCGCAGCCAATGCATGCTGTGCCGCGTAATAATGAATAATGGTATCGACAATAAGATTTTCCATCATAAGTGAAAGAGTTGCTTTTTTCCTCAAATTGCTCGTGACTTTGTTGTCTTTGCCCTCTGTTGATGATTTTCCAATTGCCATTACTGGTAAAGGAGGATTGACTGGAGGAGGAGGAAGATGCACGTTTGGCCAAGAGACATCCAGGACATTGTATGCATTGCTGATGGTATTTCAATCCATTGATCCACTCAACCAAAGTATCGGCTTGAAAACGTTCATTGCAATGGGCGCATTGTGTGTGGATGTAGTAATGCTTTTCACAAACGATCGATGGTTGATTTCCTCGTTCGATGGCATAGTATCTGCTGGTCACTGACGTATGACAATCCTATAAATATGGGTAAGCTCCTGATGGATCATCTTGTGGGTCATCCTCCTCCTCCCCCATATAACTCTTTCTCTCTCTCTCCTTCCCCCTTTCCATGGTCCAAGCTCTTTTTGCTGCTGACATGATCGTATTTTCCCCCTTTGTCTTTGTCTTTCCCTTTCTCTTCAATATAAGAAGCAGGGATTTGGCCCATGCAACCCTTTTTTTCTACCCCACACGCACACACACACATGCTGCATCATAAAAGTCTAAAATAAATACTTGCTTCACAAACAAAACATTGATAGTGGTATAGGCGTCCAAGTGCGTTGATATGCTTGCGGTCGCTATGCGTGCATGGTTGATCACAGGCGTAGCAGTAATGCTGAGTTGGCGTGCCTGTTGAAGTACCGGTACTTGAAGCTCGTCGAGATTGTAGAATGTGCGATTGTCGCATAAGGCCTCGTGGTTGTGAATGTCGTTTATTGTCATTAGACTGTAACAGTGGCGTTGATATTGGATCCTTTCGTGTTGTTGTATTGCTCATTGTAGTGTTGGTTGGTTGAATATGTGTTCGTGTGTGTGTTTGCGTTGGTGCCAGTGTTATGCCGACAAGGGTAAAAAAATTAGAGGTGAAAGGGGGGAAAGTAGAAGCCACAATAAAGATAAATGATAGAGAGTGAATAAAAGTGAAAGAAAAGGAAAAAGGGAAAAAGTGGAAAAGAAAGAGAAGAGAGAGATGTATGACCAAGAAAGAGAGAAAAAAAGGAGCTGCGTCTGTATATACACACACCATACGAACATAGGTGAGACAACCATATCATGGTAACTCTTTTTTCTTGATGAAGAAGAATGAATTGGGGGGAATCGAACAGTTTACTCTTGGGCAGCCACAATCACTCGTATTTTTAGCTTATTCTAGCCTATGTTGTTGGTGGGCGATTTATTCCAGCGTTCAGTGTACTTGATTGCATGTTCATGCCAATGGCGGGTCTAGTCGTAATCCATCATGTGAGATAAAAAAGCATCCTTTCGCCTTAACATATCAAGCTTACCGTATTTGTTATTGCCCGATCCCGTGTCAATGTCGCGATGCTATCCTCGTTAAGTACCCAATTCCGCTTCCGTCGAGCTGGTCGTCGTTTTCTACGAGTGTTGGTGATAGCTTGTTCTTCACGACACATGGCTCGGATGGCAGGTATATAATCTGGCATAACAATGCTTCGGACCGGAATCGCTGCCAATCGCCAGTTTAGTAATCGCATGGATGCATCACTGCATTCAAGGAAGGTAGTTGTTCTATATTTGACCATCCATGGGTTACTCTATGGCTGCGCCGATTTTGCATGACCCCGCCAAAGTACATACCGAATGTCACACAATTCGCCCCATGTGGCGGCACCTTGTCGGATTTCTTGTTGCCATTTACGATTCTTCAATCGCTTATTGCTGAGCGTCATGATGGTCGAACCCAAGTCTTGCAACGCCGCATCTGCATGCTCACTCGTACAAAGTGACCCAGAATATCCCGCTAGCTGATCACTATTCACTTGCTGTAGGCCCTGCAGAAAAAGATAAAACATTTAATTTCATGTACATCAAACGTCATCTTGTTCACACTCACTGATTCATGCGTTGGAGCAATAAAAGAATCCACAAAGCATGCAGTATCCAAGGCACGCATAACACCTTTGATGTCATTTGCCCACATGGCTTCTGCAATGTTAGCCTTGGGCTTGACGTTGTTGATCTTGTCCGTATATAGTTGGCTGAGTAATGGCATATCAATCTTATTCCAGAAATCGTCCTTTGAGAATTCATCGAAATGCCCATTGTCGTCAAGGTCCATGTACTGAGCAAATATCCGGGGACACGTAACAAAGGTCCTTTTCCCCTTGCTATGATCCCGTTCAGGCACAGCTATATCAGGTTGCTTGCACCACACTTCGAGCGTCTGAATCAGTTGGCGTAAATCATTCCCAATCGATGCAATAAGATGTACAAGCTCAAATGGATCGATGATGTATCCTTCGTTCAGGCACAGCAATTGCAAATAAGGTGCGAGTATCTTCCGGTTTGGTCCATGCACTCGGATGACCTTCTCGAATGAAAGCGATTCAGCAGGTATCAAATCATCATCTAAATGAGAAAAAGAAATCAGTCGATTTGAATTTCGCCTATTCAATAACAAATAATTTACCATTGCATGTCATAATAATCGGCCGTTTGCTTCTTTGTGCAAGATCAATCACTGCAGGCCAAAATCCTTTGTCATCCTCGTACAACAAATCAGCCTCCTCAATCAGGATCAAGCTCTGCTTTGGTGCGCTCAATGGTTGCTGATCCCTTTTCTTATCATCATCATCATCATCATCAGCTGCAGCTTCGTTGTTGTCATTGCTCTTCTCATGAGTGGTGGTATCAGTATGGCTCTCTTCCTGTTCATCCACTGCCATTGCTGTATGAGGTTGTTGATCGGATGTTGTTGTTGTCTTTGGAAGCTTTGCAAAATGGCTCATGATCGATCCTTTGCTATTCGCTGTCTCCTGTCGCGTCTTTCTTTTCTTGGCGTTTTGCTTGTTTTGATCCTCCTGAAGTTGCCGTTTCTTGGATTCGGCTTCAAACATCAAAGCAAGATTCGCAAATTGCTCCTTGGAAGAACCTTCGGCAAAATTGACTTGGTGGCTGTCACTCATCTCACCAACGGCTGAAAGAACATCTTTGCCCGATCGTCTCGAACCCGCATTAATCTCAAATACGTCAAATCCAATTTCATGTGCTGCCGTATAAATGCTCGCTGTTTTGCCGACACCATTGGGTCCAACCATCAAAACTATGTTGTGCTTCTTCTTTTCTCGTTTTTGCCTTTTTCTCCTTGAATCCTTCATAACAAAGTCGTCGTCGTCATCATCATCATCTTCGTCCATACTTGATCCTCCATCCTCCTCCTCTTCTTCTTCTTCATGATCCGAACCATCCAATGTCAGCTGCTCAAAATCCAATGATGGTGATTTGCCTTTGTCGACTTTGGCTCGTTTACTCCTGTTGACTTTCTGCTGCTCCTCTTTGCTGGTACGAACTTTGCTCTGATGTAACCATTCTGATAAAAACGCATAGCATTTGGGATTGCCGAGAAGATTCGATACGTGCTTCGGTCGATATTTTTCTGGCCATGAAAGTTGTCGATGGGTATCCTCATTGTCATCATCATCTTCATCGTTTGCGTGGTCGTTGTCCTTAAAGAGCATCGTAAACAAGTATTCGCACACAGGAATCTTCCTCCAATCCTTGTATGTGTTATCCATCAATCGTTCCACCTTTGCTCGACTCAATGTCACCGTGGTCTTTGGTTGCTTATTCGATCCAGCAATTGTAGAAGGTGGAGTTGTCTTTCTAGATGTTGTCGTTCTCCAGGCACGTCTTTCAGTGAAAAAAGCTGAACCTGATGTGATGAGGATTTTGCGGATACGATCTCCAGGCTCCTCTTTATCCGCCTTCGATGAACAAGCTACTTCTTTTGATGCAAAATAGTCTTCATTGTCGAATTGATGAATGTGTCCACCTTGAAACAATGACTGATCAGGCCACACTGCAGGACCCTTTTTGAATGGACGATAGCAAGGAATTGGAGGAATGGTATCATCTTCTGGTTCAGTCAATAAGCATCCATAAAAGTCGCGTAGTAGTTGATCCATGGGCGAGAGCTCTTCATCCCCCTTTGCTTGTTGACACTCTTCATCATGGATACGCTCCTTCACTTCTTGTCGATATCGCGCATAACGTTTGGCAGCTGTTGTTGAGCTCTCTGCTGGACACGTTGACATGGGTTTACTTGTTGCTCGAGTCTTTTTGCCGTTAGACAACTGCTCAAGAGGTTTGGAAGGCTGATCGCTTTTATCCCCTGAAACAACGACAGGTGCAGAAGGTGATTGCTTCAACGCATTGCGCTCATTCTTGGAACTCGGCTTCAATTGACTACGCTTGGCGAAGAAGGGATGTACTTTGGGTGCATTGACGGCTTCAACGGTCATTGCAGGTGTCCATGTAGTGGTGAAGGAGGAGGGAGTGTGTGTGCTCTTCAACGGAAAAGGAAAGAGAGGAACCTCGGATTTTTCGCGACATAATGAAACGCGTCGCCGCGTGTTAACGACTAATGCGACACCATTATCGTGTTGATCATTTATCCGACAAAGTGAATTGCCATGGCTACCATCCCATTTGCTAGTACCCTTTGATAACTTTAAACGTCTTGAGTAGCATGTTACATTAGAGTTGTTTCATTAAAGGACATTGACTAATAGATGTTCATTGTTTTCAACATGCATGCATAAAAGAATGAGTATCTACACAAAGGAATACTGGTGTTAATTGAAAGACGTCAATGGCGGTTGTTGGTATGGCGAGCATTGCACAAAACAACATCGAATAATGAAACCACGTGAATGAATGGGATAAAGAACAATGTTCATTGTCTAGAAACTTCAAACAATCTACAGAGAAATGGACGCCCTGTAATTTCGTGAGATGGTGATGATTTATATTGTAAAACGATATAGAACAATGGGAGGGAGAGCTTAGGCAGACTTGGCGATCTCTAAATGAGTGGAATAAACATGAATAAACTTGATCCACGCATACTTTGATTGATTGAAACTTACTTTGGATATCGGCAACAGCCTGATCCAAGATTTGTTGTTGAACCTTGGGGTCTTGGAGATCCTTTTGGACCTTCTCGATCAAGTAAGCAGCCAATTGCTTTTGCTCACGCTCACGAAGGCTGGCTTCATGACGAACCCACGAATCAAGAGTGCTCTTGACTTCTTGGGCAACGGCGACTTGTTGCTTAAGAGCGAAAGCCTCAGCTTCAACACGAGCGGTGTCACGGGAGAGCTCGAAGAGAGACTTGGTGACATCAACAAGGTCCTTCATTTGACCAGCCTCGTTAATGCGGTCTTGGACAGCAGCCTTGTGATCTTGACGAGCCTTGTTCAAGATGTTCTTGATACGCTATATACATGTACACATAGACCTGTCAATTACCAATCCATCTTGTTTCCATCATCCTTCATACATACGTTGATGTGATCTTCGGCCATGTTGACATAGGGCTCACGCAAGTACTTGAGGAGGACACCCAAGAAAGCACCAGTGCAGAGAAGGACAAGGGATTCTTCGTTGAAGACGTAGATCTCCTTGGAGATAAGGAAAGTAGCCAAACCAGTGCTCAAGGTAACGAAACCGGTCTTGGAAACAAGAGAGTTACCGGGAAGGGAGTCAATGATGCTGGCAGCCTTTTGCTTAGGCTCGACTATAACCATCCACATACATTGTATCAGCCAATTGTCCATTCAATATACATGTCAAACTTACCCTCCTTGGGAGTGCTGTACGCACGGACACTGTTATCGTTTAAAAAGACAAACGTATATCAATATAAAGGATCCTCATATTCGTAGACATAGAAAGTATCGACTTACGCAGCAGCACCAAGAGCCTGGCGAGAAGTAATGATAGCAGGACGTGCGACGGCGGCAGCTGTATAGATAAAAAGGGTCATTGAGTCCATGCAGTTCCAATGGGCGCGTAACCAAGAGAGGTCGATGCTGGTTTAAGAAGGGGGATAATGCTTACCGGTAGCGCCCTTGGTCAACAAACGGAAAGCCATTGCACTGAAAGAAGAAGGAAATGCGAGTGAGAAATGGAGGATGAGTGTGATAGAAGGGGGATGCGATGTGTGCCGACTTACACAAACGGAGAGGGGTAGTAAAAGAGTTGCGCTCACAGTGTTTTTTTCACCTCTACCTCGGCTGCCCTCAAATTTTTACACACAAAGTGCCGGGGTAGGCTGTGATCACCCCAGTAGTCACGGATGCTATCGGAAGCCACCACAAAGGCTCATGGCGGTACCTGATTCTTTTCTGTAGTTGCCATGGATAATCCCACTTTTGCTATTAACACACTAAGCATCATATCAACTATGATCTCTTTTTGGAACAATGAGTGATTTAAATTCGCTGACACCATGCAAGAGGGAATGTTGGAAGTCCATTACATCTTCTCAGTCATGATAGTATCCAATACCAACGCAGCCAATGTGCTTTGGATCTACATACATACATGAACTTTGACATCTGCCATCTAACATTATTTATTACATATGAGAGAGGGTGATCTTTGGTAGGTATAAATCAATTGACGAGGAAAGGCACTCTAATTTTAGATGGCATCTCTACACTCTTTGATGAAAGCAATGCATATACACCTCTTGGCTATCCATTTGATGGATTCACCTATAACTTCTTCGTCTTAGATTTCAGCCCGATGATGATGAGAAGCGTTGCAATGCTGGTAGTCTTGGAAACCATAAATGGTTTCTCCTTCTATTCATCCATACTCTTATGCATCAATCTCGTATCTTTAAAAGCATTACTATTGTTGGATTCAATCTATATTGGATCACACATGCACATGCACTAAAAGCGGTCGCTCATCAAAGCAAGCAACCTTGACGCAGCTTCATCAAGTCAAAAATGCCGACTAGTTTCAGAACCCCGGCAAAAGCTATCTTCTACTTGTTCAACACACACCGCACACACCCACACAATTAATCTTTGTGGAAGCAATGTTGAATTACGATGATGACTTGATACGATGATACATTGGAAAGTTTCATCCGTCATTAGCCGACAGCTTATTCACTTATGAGTCGTACCTGACTGTCTGCAGCAACGTATTCAACCGCCCATCCTTAGCAATGGCACCTGAATCACGTTGCACAACCTATTCTAGAATGCTTACTTATACCCTTCCTTAGGACAATCATCATCATCCATTTGTGCGACAACCTGTCAAGGATGTGTGTGTGTGTAACCGCGACGTGTCATTTCACTTAGTTCTTCACCTTGTCTATAGTACTCTCGACACCAACCACGCTTACAGCATAGTGAAAACATAAAGGCAATCATATTTCAAGATTTCATAATCGAACGTGAGGTCCTTAATAGAAGCAAGTTGCTCGGCGGGGTGAACAGCATCATGTGTGGTAGTTTCACGATCAAGGTTGCCAATCCCAGATTCGCAAATGTCGCCACCAGCCAAATTGGATCGAGGTCGACCTCTTGAATTTTTTTTCGACGACGACGAAAATATTTTTTGGCTGGTAGCGACATAGAGTGAATCTGGGATCGGCCACGATCGACTTCATAGTTTGACACAAGATCGCTTTCACCCCGCCGAGCAGCTTTGTTCTATTAAAGACCCCACGTTTGATTGTAAAGTTTAGAGATACGGGCACCTTTATGTTTTACCTATGCTGTAAGCGTGATGCTATATGAAAAGAGGTCTTTGTTCATTGTCAAGTAGTATGACTATAGCCAAAGATGCAGAGGGGCGTGTTTGTGTAACACAGCTACCTTTGCATGAATGGAAGGATTGATGGATGATACTCTATACACTATTTAGTGCCAGCTAGCTCACGAATGAGAAGACATGGATGACTTGTACCTAAAGGCAAGGCATACATACGTTGAGGTGTCATTGTGGTCCATATTTATGAACGAAATCTAATTCATTACAACAATGCATGGTTACAAAACATAGGCATACCCATCAACAAGGCGTTGAATCGATTAGAAGCCATTTACATTGTACCGAATGATGTATCCCATAATACGGTGCTACCATGTTAACTACGTGGCGTCACATGGATGTGCAATGGCCAACCCAACCTAGGCGAGAGGATGGCTCTAAGATCATTGTTGGCACAAAAGACAAGAGACGTATGGAAAATCGAACAAGGATTACAAGATACTTGTCTATATATCGAGCATACAGTTTCTGCCTATGCATTAGGGTTGTCATTTTGCTTGCTATAATTACAAAGAAGTTCAAAAACAAAGGAACCATGTTTCTATTTTGGAAAGGGCATGATTTGATTGTATCTTTCATTATCCTTTCAGCATCCATGATTATGGAAGTAATCAGTCGTCCTCCATTTACGCAATATTTTGACTTATAGATGAATTAGGAAGGACATGGAATACCTAGCTTAAATATTAAGGTTGCGAAGACCGAGGTATTGACTATGTAGAGCAAATGCTGAACGAATTACGTATCCACCAAGTCGTTAAAGAAGCAGGTGACAAAAACAAGGATGAAGCCGACTTTATTTAAAATAGATTCGTGTCAGCAAGCAACAAGATGATGGTTCAATGGATAGCAGAGTGAATAGTAATATTTGGACAAGGTAATAAGGGTGCGCACGCATGAATGAAGGACTTGACAACTATTTAGCAACCGCGGCAGGTGTCACAACCTCAACATTTTCGGGACGCGTGCGTGATTTCTTTCCTCTTCTCCATTTGTATCCCTCTTTTTATTGCTGTGACATTCCTTGCAGTTGGTGTCATGGGGGATCAAGATGCCAAAAAGTTCACGACGATCCGAAAGGCAGTAAGAACCTCTGGCAATGTAGACATTGGTGTTTGTCAATGGCCAACATGCACTTCTTGTTTTAGGACCTGTTAAAAAACTGGCTTGTTGTCTCAGCTGTCAATATTCCTGCCGACGATTCCAGCAACAAGAACGACGATGCATCATACATTGCTCAACAAGCTGAAGCGAGGATAGAAGCTCATGGCCCTCTGCAAGAGATTCTCTCAAAACGAACGTTACGATCGGGCAAGGTCATGTACGATGTGAGGTGGAACGATGGCACAAGAACACAGGTAATACACTAGTAAACTAGGTGACCAAGGATGTTTATTTATCTAACGGCTACATGGGTGCATTGTAGGAAGGCATTCGTATGTTGCGTGAAGTGGATCTCGACATGCTGATGGGCTTCCATGAACGCCTCGATCTTGACAACAACAGCAGCAGCAGCGGCAGCAGTAGCAGTGGAAGCGTTTACGAAGAAAGACCCTCGATGCGCAAATTCGTTGTGGAAGACTCTGATTCAGACGACAGCTCACATGAGTATTCGAATGCCAACGATGAACTCGAGAGCTCTGAAGACGACACACCAAGCAGCCATTCCACACCCGACACCACTCGTAAGAGCAGTCGACCACCTACGAAGGAACCGAAGAAGACGCGGCACTTTGATTTGGAAATACCACCCGTTGTTCAGCAGCAGAAAGGGCCTATGGCAGCTGTACCATACTACACCAATCGACCTTTTGTTGAACGGCATTGGATTGATTGTTTGAAGTGTAAGGAGAAAGGATACCCGAATGGACCCCCACGTGACAAGGGCAAAAAGAAAAGAGGTGGAAGACAGCGACGACCTATGGATGACATATTTGAGATGACACCAGAGGAAGAAGAAGAGCTTCAAGGACGTCTTTTCTTATGTATTACATGTACAGCATCTGTTCACGAAGGTTGTCTTGCAGTACCACACAAACGTTTCTTACGTGAATGCATCAAAAACGACAAAGAACGCACCGAATTTCAATGCGCTTTATGTCTATCAGCTATTGCCAGCAAACCAGATTGTATTCCAGCTTGTGATGGATGCCATCAAGTACACAACATTGCTGATTTGAAGCTATTGCCGAAGACAATGACCAACATGGCTAGCCCAAGCACGAATTCAGATCAACCTCTCAGCGATAGGGAGAGTCCAACACAAATTGCAACACCTCCAGATACCGTGGATGATCATCCTACCGATCCCAATGGCCTTTTACGATGTTCAATGTGCAGACGTGGATTTCACGACTCTTGTTTACCAGCTGTCGCCGATGCTACGATGTTCGACAATGAGGATGTTTTCAAGGGAGCATCTCGTCAAACGATCATACAAACATGTTTGGAACAACAAAAGTGTACAGAGTGCATTACATTCAACAAAAAGGTGGAAAGGATCGTGACATGGCGCATTGCGGGAGAACCAGCTGATAAGAGACTTGATATCACATTCGATGCAGCAAAAGGGGCCAAAGAATATCTCGTCAAATGGGTCGACACTTCATATCGGCATCTCACTTGGGTGCCTGAAGAGTGGATTAGTCGTACATGCAAACAATTATACAACAAATATTGCGACCGTGTCAGGCATTACAATCACGCGATTGAAGAAGATTTGGTCCCCAAAGCATGGAAGACTGTTGAAAGGATATTGACAGCAGTCGATATTTATGGCAATACGATCACCAAAGGTCCAGCAAGAAGCGTCCATAAAATACTCGTCAAGTTTAATGATTTGAACTTTGATGAAGGTAATAATTTGAAGCTTGGGATAAGTATTGGAGACAAAGACTAATGGATGTTGCTATTAGCTTGTTGGGATACACCACCACCGGAAGATTCGGATTTGTACTCGTTCTTTACCGATGCCTACAAGCAGTATTTGCACGCATGTACAGTGAAGCCGCCTACAAAGATGAAGCAACGTGTTGAAGAAGTACGCTACGCGGCAACCAGGGAGAATTATAGCCAGCACGAGATTAAGCAACAGCCCAATTTTATTGCCGGAGGCACTTTACTACCACATCAGCTGGATGGCCTCAAGTAAGTTCAAGGGATCTTCGATATGTGATGAACATGTTACTGATCAAGGTGATCTAGTTGGCTCATTTACCAGTGGGAAAGAAGTTCACCATGTATTCTCGCAGATGATATGGGTCTTGGTAAGTAAATAAGGGTTAAGGATTCATGCTGAAGGGTGATTAATATTGGTGTTTGATAGGCAAGACAATCCAAATTGTATCGTTCCTCAACTTGCTGTTCAAAAAGTTTGGCGTGTATCCGTTCCTTGTCATTGTCCCAAACAGCACAGCAACCAATTGGCTTAGAGAATTCAACAAATGGGCGCCTGACATGGTGGTATCTACGTACTTTGGTTCTGCCAAGAGTCGACGACTTGTGAAACAACATGAGCTGTTCCGTGGTGGTGAACAAGATGGGATACGTGTTCATGCCGTCATTCTTACATATGAAAGTGCGACATCGGATATTTCAATCTTTGGAAGAACCAAGTTCTGGCCCGCAATGGTCGTGGATGAAGCACAGCGATTGAAGAACAATGAAAGCTTATTGTTTCAAAAGCTAAAGTCACTACAATGGGATCATACTATTTTGATGACTGGTAGGTCTCCACTTTGGTACAATATATGATGGTCGATTCTAAATCATATCTCTACTAGGCACTCCTCTTCAAAACAATATCCGAGAATTGATGAATCTCATGCACTTTGTGGATCCAGAAAAGTTTGCTGACGTTGAAGCGTTGGAGGCAAAATACGAGGAGCTTTCACGGGATGTCGTTCAAGAGTTGCATGATCAATTGAAACCTTATTTCCTGAGACGGACCAAGGAATTGGTGCTCAAGATCCCTCCAAAGTCTGAAATTATTGTGCCCGTGAGCATGACACCACTGCAAAAAGAGGTCTGCAAAGGCCTTTTGGAGAAGAATTTGATCTCTTATGCAATGCTCGACAAAAGCGACAAGGGCAGCAGCAGCAAAAGCAAGAGCAGTCTCAACAACATCTTGATGCAGCTACGAAAGGCGCTCAATCATCCATACTTGATCCCTGGTATCGAGTTGCAACAAGATACACCTGAAACCACTCAAAGGATTTTGATTGATGCCTCGTCCAAGCTTAAAGTGCTCCATCAAATGCTTCCCAAGCTCTTGAAAGATGGCCATCGTATCCTTATCTTTTCGACCATGCAATTGACGCTTGATATCCTGGAAGACTACTTGAATTATGAAAGGGTCAAATATGTACGACTTGATGGTACGACACCAACTATTGATCGAGTCAAAAATATCGATGCGTTCAACAAGACAGGATCAGATATCAATGTCTTTTTGTTGACAACTCGTGCTGGTGGTGTTGGTATCAATTTGGCGACTGCTGATACGGTCATCTTGTGGGATTTCGATCCAAATCCTCACCAAGATCAACAAGCTATTGGACGTGCTCATCGTTTCGGTCAAACATCGCCTGTGCTTGTGCTCAAGTTCATGACACGGTTCTCAGTTGAAGAAAAGATAGCCCAAATCGCCAAGAAAAAGTTGGTGCTTGATCATTTGGTCGTGAACAGAATGGATGATGAGGATTTGGAGGAGAATGATGTTGAAAGCATCATCAAATTTGGAACACAAGCTTTATTTGACGACGACAAATCCAAAGACATCATCTATGATTCTCATGCTATCGACAAATTATTGGATCGCAGCCACATTAGTAATGTCGAGACCCCTGAGCAACATGAGGAAACCGATGAAAGTCAAAAGGGATTCTCATTTTCATTTGCACGTGTTTGGAATCAAGACAAGGAAGGTGCTACCGAGGAATTAGCTGATGATACGGGTCCTCGTCAAGAAGAAAATGATTTCTGGTCCAAGTTTTTACAAGAAAAGAAGAAGCAATACGAAGAAGAGCAACAAAAGAAAGAAGCGCTTGGAAGAGGTGCACGAAGACGAGGAATGATTGTAAGTCCATTCTATCAAAAGTTAAAATATACACTAACAACTACTTTAGAGCTATCGTGAGGATTTGCTTTATGCTAACAGCAGCCAAGAATCCAACAAGAAGAAACGCAAGCAAGCGACTCAATCCACAACAGAACCTGATGGCAATGGGGAGGATGGTACCTATGTGGATGAGCCCAATGCGGGTGGTGAGGCTACTGATAGCGATGCAACGATATCAGACAGCGACTTGTCAGACTTCTTGGGATCCAAAAAGCGAAAGCAGTTGGCATCTATTCCACAAGTTCCACATCAGCCATATGAATCTCAACCCTCTTCTCAGATACAAGGTCCAAATCAGCCAGCTGCCAAGCGACAACGTTCAAAGAAGCCACAGCAACAGTCGCCACAGCAACCACGATTTCAAATGTATTCGCCACCCGCTTTTCAACATGAACAGCGTATTAATTATCCGCCACCACAGCCACCACTATCACAACCATCCATGCAACCACTATCACAATTTGTACAATTTGACCCAGCAAGACCTCCACCTCAATTCAATGTCCCTGTATCACTTCCAATGAGACCTTATTCAATGCAACCACCGACAATACCACAAAACATTCGCCCTGAAAGCTATATTCCGCATCGTCCTCCCTATCACCTACCACCTCAACCAGCACAATCACATCCACAAGTGGGATCTGCTCCTCAACATCAAATACCACCAGCTATATATGAGAACACTGAAAGGGGAGGTGCACGACTTCGTGAAGCATTAAGTGCTGCTATTCAACAACGACTCTCATCACAGCAGCAACAGCAACATAGAAATGAGGATTATGAAACGAGGTATGCGCAAGTGCGTGAAGCTATTCAGCAACGACTATCCATGCAACAACAACATGAGCATGAGATTGCTGAAGCGAGGAATGCTCAAGTGCGTGCTGCTATTCAACAACGTCTACCTCAACAACCACAACCACAACCACACCATAGACATGAGAATAATGAAGCTATTCAACAACAACTTTCAATGCAGCAGCAGCAGCAGCGTGAACGTGAGATTACTGAAGCGAGAAATGCACGACTGCGTGAAGCAATTCAACAACGACTATCAATGACGCCACCACATAGACATGAGAATACTGAAGCAAGAAATGCGCAAGCGCATGAAGTTATTCAACAACGCCCATCACAGCAGCCACAACATAGACCTGAGAATACTGGAGTAGACCATTCGCAATTACGTGACGCATTGAATAATGCTATTCAGCAACGTTTGCAGCAAATCAACCAAGCTAGAGGGTCGCCTATTGATCAACGCATGGCCATCCAACAACAAGCTCTTCAATTGATCCAAATGGGAGCGTCAGGGCAATACGGTGCTAGAAGTGCACAAGAGATGTTATACATTGCAGAGCAATTACGCAACAATCCAAATGCACACGTGCCTCCACAGTACATTGCTCCAACGGCTCCCTATTTGCCTAATACAGCAGCAGCAGCAGCAGCAGCACCATCATCTTCATCACCACAACCACAACCACAACCACAACGATCAGCATTCTATAACGTAGCTAGTCCATCGGCTCCACAATCACCATCATCACCATCATCGTCAGCAAATCAACAACGCAACACTCCACCACAACATCCACCAAGGTTCTCAGACGCTAGTCGTCAATAAATACAGCCATTATAACATAATAATACATTCTCGGTATGAAAGCTGATTCGTTTTCCCTTTAATAAAAATGCCCGATGATGCTTGATACACACAACAACTACTTGTCCCTTTCTCTCTCTCTCGTACGCTTTGTATAGTGCATTGAGCATGATTGGCATGATGCATACATGATAAAGGCAGGGGTAAAAGACATGTGTGCATTTACTGCAACAACGAGTGGGTCGTCTTTCCTTCTTCTTGTACGTAATGTAACTCCCTCGACATGATGGCTATCTATATTTTGATGGCTCTTCCCACAAGATGTGTGTTTTTTTTATCTTACTATGGTTGCATGTACCCTTGTCATTGTTTATCTTGGCCTTCCATCGTGATCTACTAGTCGACATTAAAAGAAGAAATCATATCAAAGTAATCACGCAGATACATACGAGAAACGCTCCGTACGCTGCACATGCATATGCAGTAGTAGCGTCCTGCATAATGACAGATTTATCTGCGACCTTACTTTATCCTCATTGTAGAGCGATACATACAACCCCACGCATTCAACAAGATAGAAAAGGGGAGATGTACCTTTCCTTTCGATAAACGAATGTAGGTCATTAACCTTTTGCTTCCCCTGCTTTCTTTTGCTACTCGACTTTTTTATATCAAGATGCTACTTTTACGGCTTAAAGGGAAGAAGTTACTCCATGCATCCACAGCTCTCGCTGCTACAGGTTTTCTTCTCTTTGGCTATGACCAGGCAAGTATTCTACCATTGATCACGTCATCCTATGTACGTATCCATGATGATGATGACACTCGTTTATAGGGTGTCATGTCGGGGATTGTCACCAATGATGATTTCTTAAGGTTGATGGGAGATCCAGAACCAGCCATGCTAGGAGCCCTCGTATCGCTTTATGAAATTGGGTGCCTGGTGGGTGCTTTGATGACAGGTGATGAACAACCCACTTCATTCGTAGGATGATATGAGCTAACACGAGCTTAATACATGTATCCACAGGATCTATCAGTGACCGCTATGGACGAAAAGCAACGATCCGTATCGGATGTAGTATTCTTTTAGTAGGGGCTATATTGCAAACGGCGACCAATGGCTTTGCTTTGAGCATCAGCTCTCGTATCATTACTGGTATCGGCAATGGTATGAATACTGCAACTGTACCTGTATTTCAATCCGAGATTTCTCCACCACAATCACGGGGAGCCCATATTTGCTTTGAGTGCTGTTTGTTGGTTGTTGGTATCGGGATCGCCTACTGGCTAGAGTTCGGTCTTTATTATGTGGATGGCGATATTGCATGGCGTTTTCCCTTGGCGTTCCAGGCGTTCTTTGGGGTGATCCTACTTGCAGGCACATTTATTCTACCAGAAACGCCACGTTGGTTGGTTGCACATGGCCATCATCAAGATGCAAAGCAAGTGCTTGCTGACTTGTGGACCGATGGCAATATCAAAGCTGAGAGGTGTTTAGCCGAATTTAACGAAATCAAAGAAGCAATCGAATATGAGCAAGCCGCTACTCAACATTCAGCATCATCGTATCGTGCTCTTTTTAATCAAACAAACCGATCCAGGGTATGCCTTGGTATGCTTTCACAAATGATCCAGCAATTGAGTGGTATCAATGTTACAACGTGAGTAGTAGTATATAGGAGGAGGATAATGGGTTCATGTTTTGTTTTACTCAACGATCTCGTACTAGGTATTATCTTGCAAAGTAAGGGCCATGTTTTATATATGCATATTGACGCGAGTGCACGATTCATGCATACATGATTATTCACTGATGAATCATCCTTATGTAGCGTCTTTCTTCAAGCTGGGCTATCAAGAGCCATGGCCATGATGCTTGCAGGCATCGACTCCATTGTTTACTTTATCGGCTCGTTGCTTCCAATTTATTTGACGGAACGTGTGGGTCGACGAAAAATCATGCTGTGGGGTCTTGTTGGTCAAATGATTACCCTTGTGTGTATTGGTGGTTGTCAAAAGGCAGGTATCGATTACAATCAAGGCACTTGGACAGCTGCTGGTGGCTCACAAGGTGCTGTGGTGATGACAATGATGTACAATTTTGTCTTTGGTGCTAGTTGGTTAGGCATGGCATGGCTCTATCCCGCCGAGATCTTTTCCACTGGTTTACGTGCAAAGGGAAATTCCCTATCTACGGCAGCCAATTGGATGGGTAACTTTGTCGTTGCTGAGATGGCACCCATCATGTTTGCTAGTATGGGTTATTGGACGTATGTCTTTTTTGCTGGACTCAACCTCTTGTTTATCCCCCTTGTTTACTTCCTTTACCCCGAGACTCAGGGGCTTTCACTCGAACAGATCGAGCAGCTCTTTACAGCCACCCATCATCATACATCCCCATACAAAGCATCTAATACCACCACAAACACCAATACAGACGAAGAAAAAAGCTTTTAATTATACAGCATCTAATGTTAGTTTAGCTAAACCGCCTACCAAAAGAACATCTTATTATCCATCTCCCTAATGTGCAATCGCTGGCATTGTTTTTTGTATCCGATGATGATGTGTATTTTCATATCACTAGTAGGTATGCTATATATATAAATGGGTACATCCAGGGGCTATTCATTCTTAGGGATTGGCATCTTTTGATATCCACCTGTTATCCTTGAGGGAATAGGTATATACCTAAGACAAGCCAATGAGTGAGAATCATCAACATTGTATGATCATTGATGATCTTACCGTGCGACGTTGAGGAAAAGAGGAGTGATCATAGTATTCAACTTCGGAAATCTTGTAAGCTAGTAGACAAAAGTTGTCCATAGCAATATCATGGATGACTTGTTTTTGATCCGTGGATGGGGAGGAAGTGGATGATGCAGGTGCTGTATTGTTGCGTCTCAAAGAAAAGAGGCCACCACCACGAGCTGTTGTTCCTTCTTGTTCGATAAGACAATCAAGGGATTGGCAAGAGAAAGCAATGCGATCTGCTTTAGGAGCTTCACCACGAGAAGGCCAAGTGTAAGTTGCACGTGTCTTGTCATCCATTGCTTTCCAATGCTTTCTTCGTTCCAATTCCCAAAACTCGGCTGCTGGGAGATCACTGGCCGGAATCTTCGGAGGTGGGAAGCGTGTCACTTGGATCGGCGCTGATGCAATATAGAATTTACCAACCAACTTGTAGTATTCCTTAGACTTTGGCATCATCCTATTTACCCATGTAATGAATATCTACATAGATTGATCAATCCGTGCTTGATACTTACCAGCATAGGTTTGCATTTGGGTCTGATTTGATATCACCCATCAAAAGGTTATCGTTCATTGCCAAAGGAAACACGAGAAATCGAGGATCATCTTCGAGAAAAGACAAGAATTGCAAGCAATGCATGGATGCATCTCCTGATCGTTTAATATTGGACATTGTAAGGAAGACTATAAAATGGGATCATCCGTTAGCCGAAAAGCTATCCGTAGGTTGTTGGTTGCTTTGTGAGCACCCGCCTGGATCTTCTGCATACAAAAAGTTCTTTGTGTAGCTCTTTTTTAACATGGGAAACCATGGCGGAGGAGTTGCTGAAGCTAATGTCGGTGATGTTGGCGATGATGGCGAACGTGGAGTGGTGGTCATTGTGAAGAGTAGAGGAAGAGAAAAAGAAATGTAACACAAGTGTGATGGTCCAATTTGAACGGGTCCATTGCTTGTATAACTCCCATCCCCAAATCATGCCAAGCACGTTGGATACGAGAAGATTGAAACAAATGTGGATCATGTTTCGAATAGCTGGTCCTTTAGGGATATCGCACCATCATTGCTTATGGTTGTTCGATTCAAAAAGACAATGAAGATGGGCGTCGTTGTTTATCCAAGACAGCCTGTGTAACCATCAATCTTTGTAATGATCATTTCCCCTCGCTTCCTTACCAGAGCTGATAGTATTTAAATCTCGTACAATGAATGCATAGAGGATGACGATCTTCTTTCATACATTTGCTTTATATTCCATTCGTTTTGCCAGAGATCCATTGCTGTTGCTTGTTAAAGCACGACGCTTTATTACAAATTCCATCCTTTTAATTCACGTAAACGGCCATACATATACGCATTACTTCATCCATCATTGCTAGAGGAGGCTATGTCTTTGTTATTGGATTCTATAGAGTAAGTCATTGTGTATTGATTTCCTGATTCTGGCAATAGCGTCGTCGTGACGATCCAAATTTGGGATTGTCGGGAGTTGGAGTAGTAGCTGAGTTTAACAGCTAACACTGTTTCCGTCAAGGAGGACTGCTGGTGGGTGCTGCTTTGTGCTTGTTCTCTTTATGTCGTCTCCCATACAGCCACCACCGCCTAATATAAGGTGAGTTGTTCTCTCTCTTTCTCTCTCATTCACACATTCAGCGCAATGCATGGGGTAATGTATTGATATAAACAACTGTGTAGGCGTCCACCAAACTCTTCACCGTTATCACAACCACCAATGTCGTCCACCGGTCCACCACCAGTCGCTTCACCATTTTCACAACAACTTCCACCTCCACAGCCAAGTACACCAGTGAGTGGTCCACCAAAACCTTCGTCAGCGACATCACGCCCTTTACCACCTCCAAACTTGGGCGAGATTTCATATCAACCACCTTCCATTTCTTCCCCTGGCACGATGAGCACGTCGGCATCACCATACGCTAATATTCCGCAACAGTCCTCACAAGCGATGCCCAACTTGCCTTCACCAAGTACGTTGACAAGTCCTTCCAATAGCCATCGACCCAGCATTACAAGTGGTAGCAAACCATCATTACCACCTATCTCTCCTACGCGTGGACCACCCATGCCATTGTTATCCTCACCCTTTGGAGACAACAATCCTTCTTCTCGTGGCCAGGCAGGAACTCCCCCACCTCCCCCGCTTTCAACAAATCAATCATCTTCTTCAAGATCGGCATCACAATCACAACCACAACCACCGCAACCGTCACAACATCATAATCCAGTTACCAACACTTCCAATGCTGACATGACGACTGCATCCAAAACCCCTGCCATCTATGCAAATAGCAACACTGGTAGCGGCAGTGCCAGCGGCAATTTTAGACCTCTCAATGTCCGCGACGCGTTGACTTACCTCGATCAAGTCAAGGTCCAATTCTCATCACGTCCTGATGTATACAATCAATTCTTGGATATTATGAAGGATTTCAAGAGTCAAGGGTAAGGCATGGGTAATAGAGGATTGATTAAAAGGGTTACATACTAACATAGTTACATTATTAGACTCGATACGCCTGGTGTGATTGAACGTGTATCCATTCTCTTCCATGGCCACCCTGATCTTATATCTGGTTTCAATACTTTTCTACCTCCTGGTTATCGTATCGACTTTTCAACAGATCCCAATGAACCGGATATCATCAAGGTCACCACACCTACTGGTCTTACTCTGAAATCATCCACAAGACCTCCAATGAGCACGAGTGGTGGTAGTGGCAGTGCAGGACATCATCCACCAACAAGCATGGCGAGTGGGCCAAGAGGGATATTATTACGTGAGCAAGACAATGCAATGATCCCACATAATATGGGTGGTATACCACCAGGTGCTCCTCCTCCACATCCATCACATCCATCACATCCACCACCACCACCTCATGCGGCTGCTGCTCCAGGATATCAAACTCCTTATGGTCATATGCCACCTCCACATCCACCATCATTACCTCATCCATCCACATCAGCACCTCTTGCTCCACCACATCCACCACCACCCCCTCATTCAATGCCACCTCATATGCCACCACCACCACCACCTCCAATGCATGCTGCTGCTCCACCTCCACCTCCTCATGGTAGCTATATTCCTGGTCCAAATGCACCTTCTAGAAGACCTCCTTCTTTACCAGCCCATGATGTCCAAGATCAAGCAGTCAACGGCAATGGAAATACACGACGTGCTCCTGTAGAGTTCAATCATGCAATCGATTATGTCAACAAGATCAAGGTAAGTGACACACACACACACACACACATACAACCATGTACTTGTACTTATGAATGTCATAGAATCGATTTGCCAATGATCCAGAGACATACAAGCAATTCCTGGAGATACTACAGACATATCAAAAGGAGAGAAAACCTATTCAAGAGGTAGAGTATTCAATGGAAAGGTCGATCGATAGATGTACTATATATTAACAACCCATGCTCTTAGGTTTATGGTCATGTGTCTTATTTATTTAATGGTGCACCTGATTTGCTGCACGAATTCAAGCAATTTCTACCGGAAATCACTGGTCAACCCGTACCCGATTTCGTGGATGACTTTGACATGAGCTTCCCGCGTAAGTCATATGACTTTTTGTATCCATGCTGAATAGGATACTCATGTTGTGATTTATATAGCTGGCAAACGGATGCCTGGAATGTCTCCTCCAACTGGATTTATGCCACCTGGAAAACGAAAACGCATGGCGGTAAGCCCCTTTTTCAACCATGCTATATATATATTCAGTGATCACTAATTCAGTTGAAGCGTACAAAGGATGCCAAGTTGGATGAGGAGATGATTGATGGTTACCCGGCATCTTCTTATTTCGATCCAGCACGACCTACGATCTCATCCGAGGAAGTGGAACTATTTGAGCAGATTCGCAAGCATATCGGCAACAAGCCATCCTATGAGGAATTCTTAAAGACGCTCAATTTGTTTACCCAGCAAATCATTGACGCCGACATTTTGATGAAACAAGTGGAAGGCTTTATTGGCAGTGATCGGGATTTGTTTGAATGGTTCAAGACAGTGGTGGCGATTGATCTCAAAGACCGTGCTATCGAACGACCTGCCAACATCATTGCAAAGCCCGATTTGAATCATTGCAAGACCGTAGATACAAGTCCAAGTTATCGTCTGGTCTCCAAAGATGTATGTTTGTGTGTGCTAACGTTATTCATGAGAACGTTTGCTGATCATGTCATTGTTTTATAGTGGCAAAATCAACCATGCTCTGGACGTGATCAATTATGCTGGGAAGTGCTCAATGATGAATACGTATCCCATCCTATCTGGGCAAGTGAGGACAGTGGATTTGTTGCATCAAAGAAAAATCAATATGAGGAAGCCATGCATCGTTGTGAGGAAGAAAGGTAAGAATGGCGTGCTTTTGTGTCATAACGCGTATACTGATTGGAACGTGTAGATATGATTATGATCTCAACATTGATGCAAATCTCAACACCATTGCTCTCCTCGAACCCATCGCCAAAAAGATTGATGCCATGACACCCGAAGAGAAGAATGCATTACGACTTTCACCTGGTCTTGGTGGACAATCGGTTACGATTTATGAACGCATCATCAAAAAGGTGTATGATGAGGAGCGTGGAAAAGAGATTGTGGAGATGCTATACAACAATCCAGCACGCGTGGTGCCTATTCTCTTGAAGCGATTGAAACACAAAGATGAGGAATGGCGTAAAGCACAGGTATGTGTATTGGGTTTGTGCGGATGTGTGTGAAAAGCACTATACTAATATTGTGTTACACAGCATGAATGGAACAAGACATGGAGAGAAGCAGATGCCAAAAACTTTTACCGTTCCCTTGACTATCAAGGTTTGACATTCAAGAGCAATGATCGGAAGGCAATGGCTGGCAAATCATTGGTGGCCGAGATTGAAACGTTGCATGATGATGCAAGATCGGGTGAAAAGAGCAAATCCAAGGTTGCATACCCGCTTTTTTTCTCATTTGAAGACCAAGGCGTATTCAAGGATGTTACACGTGTCATCTTTTCGTACATTGAGAAGCAAAATGGATTCAGCAGCAATGACAGAAGCAAGATTCGCACCTTTGTACGCATCTTCATCTCGCTCTTTTTCCATGTCGATGATGTTGTACCTGAAGGAATGCAAATTGAATCGGATGAAGGAGAGGAAGCAACAACGGATGAAGAGGATGAGAATCAATCCGTCAACACTGAAGACTCTGAAGCTGAGACTGCACAATCATCACGTGATCGAAGTCGTTCACCATCCATGGGTGCTGCTCCTCGAAGACGCAATGGTCGATCACGTGGCGACGAGGCTGATGCAACAAGCGATTTGTTACGTGATGTGTTGACAAGGAATAGCAAAAGCACTTCTGCTGATGACAATGATACGGTCAACAGTGCCGATACACCTTCAGCATCTCGCGATTTTTCAATTACGCCTGCACCTGATGATGAGGATGAGGATAGCGAAGATCAACGTGCCCCACAAATGGAACCTAAAGATGAGGATAAAGCTATCAAGACCGAGGAAACGTCCGGTGATGAACGATCCATACCCGATACGACGATGGAAGAAGCAGGCAACTCCACACCACAAGAAGCATCAGATCAATCCAAATCACCTGAAGCTTCTGTAAAGGAAGAGCGAGAAACAAAAGAAAGCAACACTCATGTGCCTGAAGGAAACCGATTGTTCGCTGCTGCCGCTGCTGCCACAGCACCAGGCGTCCACAAGCGTACCATTTATAGCTTCTTTTGCAATACGGCTTTTTATTGCTTCTTCCGATTGTATCAGGTAAACTATCCACATTATTCGATCTCATGTGCTACATACTAATCTAATTGGCTTTAAGGTTGCTTATGAGCGGTTACTCAAGATGAAAAAGCTTGATGCTGAGATGAAGGCTGATCCAGAAAAGGGCAAAACTCTCAACAAGGTGGCTCAAGAACTTGGTCTTTATACCACTCGTTTTGATGGTAAGGAATAATGCTTATGGCTACTTGTTATGGAAACCAACAATCTTTGGTGTTAGATATTGATCTCTCTGCTGGTTATTACAATGCTTTGCTGGAGCTCATTGATCGATTCTTTGATGGAGATTTGGATCAAGCCATGTTTGAAGAAAAGACTCGCTATCTTTTTGTCACCGAGGCACACGTGCTTTTTACAATTGACAAGCTCGTTCATTCTATCATCAAACAAGTACGTATTCAGTGCAACATGTGGTGATCCTCAATGAGTATTGACGATACAATTTCACCATTAGATCCAGCTGGTCTCGGCTGATGACAAGTGCGTTGAGCTGGTAGAACTTTTCCGCAGCGATCAAATGCTGGACTCTACTTGCCCCCGGATCGTATCGGTTTATCGTCTACGTGCAGAGGAGATTGTAGGATCGGAGGAGAATCTCTACAAAGCCAAGTTTGTAAGTTATCTGGTAGAATAATGCGCTGTTGCCAAATGACTTATTGTGGTTACACAGAATACCGATACGCATGAAATGACGATCCAATTACTGGACAAGGACGATGATATGCTTGAACCCAGTCAACAAGATCACTATGAAAATTACGTCGCTAGCTATATGGATTGGGCCAATTCAACAGACGGCATTGATGCATCCAAGATGCAATCTAGTTTCCTTCGAAGGTAAGGGGGAGGAATAAGCAATGCCTATAGCGTGCTAACTTTACTTGGCTTACCCTATGTAGGAATTGGAAACCACATGACAGGCATTTAAACAAGATATTTGTCCGCTCACGGTTACAGTACAAGATATCACAAGAGAACTACCACATGTATTATATCATCGGGTCAGAGGACGTCTTTGTACGGCCATCGATCACTCCTTCACAAGACTCAAGCAATGAACGCACCAAGAAATGGCACAATTGGCTTGAATCAAGGACAACAGGCTGGTCAAGAAACATTGAAGCGGACGAGGATTGCAACACAATGGAAACCGAAGCTCGCAAACGACTAGCCGAGTAACACTTTATTTCACTTTATATACAATTTGCATACAAAAACCATTTCCCTGCTGCCATAAAATCATCAATTTGACAAAATGCATCATTTGAAATACTCTTTTAATCATAATCTTCTTGTTTATGTCTATGTTTTTCTGATATCATGACCTCATTGCAATTTGAAAAAGTGATACAATTTCTAACGGAGAGCAAGTGTGCTGTTTCTACTGCTGAGTGGATAATTTCGCCGGTGGAAGAAATCGCTTTGCCCATCATGACACGCACCACATGCTCATACCAAAAAGAGATCAGTGGCACAGCTTGTATCAGGCCTACATTTAAAGTGTATAAGCCATGATCCTTAATACATACAATGCAATGATAGAAGCCTTCTTACCTTCTAATGTCCAGCTTTCCTTGTGGTGACGAATCTTGAATAAACCACTGTCTATATCGGTTTCTTTGAAATGTAGGGTAACAATGACAGGCAAATCAAGTTGTACAAAGGGGAACACACGGGGACACAGATGCTGTGTCAGGTAAACCACGCATGTTGTCTTGCCGTTGAAGCACAGATTCGTAACCGTCGGTGGTATTTTGTTGAGTGCTTTCCACAGAAGGAGAATACTATATTATGGAATGCGTATTAGCGTCTTTCTTCTTCTCCTATATCCAAGCATCCCCCTTTCATCCTTTTTAGATGCTTAATATACCCGCGCGCGCTCTTCATTAATAAACCTTACTGTCGGATATTGTAGGCACTCGATGTAACAAGTAAAGGTGACTCGAACGATGCATCATGAAAGTAATAATGATCCAAGATGCGTTTCTGTTGAGTTTCGTTGAAAGAGAATAAGTCGGAAACAGCACCTACAAAAGAACAAGTGAGTACGCTGGTCTCTTCAAAGTAGATCCCTTGCGATCTTACGAGTAATGAGCTCCGTATTATGTTCTAAGTTGCATTCTACGTCCATCGTCGAGATTGGGTATACAAGTTGAAAAGCAAAGAAAGTGGGACAAAGAGAGGAGAAAGGAGAATAGTGAAACCTTGACTTTTACGGATCGGGTGGCACATCTTTTACCTTAGTTACACGCATGATGATGCCATCACCACCACTATAATACCCCCAACCAACCTAGCTATTATTCAAGTTATATGTTGAAGCTATTAAAACATTCGACATTGATGCAATCATTCAATCTATTGATAAGCCCTTGAAGGAGCATGGATTATGAATGCCATATCGTTCTCTATTATAATGTGCTCTCCTACACTGCATATGTGAAGCGAATGACAGCTCTATGACTTAATGGGCGTCGTTCTCGTATATCCAAGATCGATGTGCATTCACTGTTTATGCCTTTTCTTCCCACGCCTAACTTCATATCCATCCATCTCCGTATTTGAAGTATGAGCATAGTATTTGAGCTCGTCATGATGATGATGCCTGATTATACAGGCATTCATTAATCTTTGCATTGTGATATCACCCATTTCCTCGCCACAATATTACTAGCAATTCCATAGTACGTCGACACCATCATCCTGAATCATGATCCACAAAGGCAAATCAATATTGTTTTAGAGTATGCAAACCACAAGCTAGCAGCCAATGACGGCTATGTTACAATCGACGATTTTGATGATAAGCATCCACCATCCGTGCCATTTGTGTCGCGTGCTCACGTTCTTCGGTTCCGGAACTTGTTCTTTCTTGACGAGCGCGTTCTTCAAGAGCATCCACTTCTCGCTGAAATGTGTACAGATGGCATGAGTAAGAGCTTTCTCATGTTTAGGTGATTAACTCACCCAGCTCGTCATACGATCGGATGGTGCTTCGCCTTCAAAGTCGTAGCCATTCATCATCTCAGCAAGGTTAATACACTGACTACGAGAAGAAGGTACTACATCTTGAAATCGTTTCTCTCCTTCATCTTCCACGCTTTCAATAGTAACATGATGCTTGATAGACGTCATTTTCTCCTTTGATAATATAAAAGTGTGTGAATTGAGAAAAAAGAGAGGTAGAATGGGTTGTGGGAGAAAAAGTACTTTTAATGCGAAAATGAATGTTTCACCTGACCACTGTACAAGCTCGCTTATTACCCTACTCTGAAGCTCTTGCAAACTCACACGATGCATATCTTATCATCAAGCTAATAGGCTACACTGCCAAAAAGATAAACAAACCATTCCCATGCTTCACAAGTAGTACATGATAAACAACTTTTTTTTATATTTGAGGATGGGATACAGAGCACACTAATAGAATTAACAAAAGTGAGAATGGGGATAATATGCGTGCGTGTGTGCGTGTGTAGTGTGTGTGTGAGATGTAGTATGAACATGGGATGCTTTTGTCTTTCTACTCTGTAATCAATTCATTGACGTGCCAATCTTCGTATGTATCATCAGGCAAAAACCGCCGTACAATAAGGGGAATCTTCTTTTCCTTGAGCTCTTTCATAGCAATAACGAGAGGATCCGATTCGCCATCAAGCTCAACCATCACTGGTGCGTTCAAGCTAAAAGAAAATGCCCATTTAACACACTCTATATCCATATCCATATCCAATCACACCTTATACCCATACCTGATCTGCAATGCACGGGTTCCTAATACACGTGCTCGCTCATATTTTGTCATATAGGGAGTGGTGGTCTTTTCTTTGCTCTCAGTGGCATCAGCTGCAGCGTTGATAGCACCGTTTTGTTGCATGGCATCTTCGAGAATGGCAATGGCTTCTTGTTGCTCCTGCTCCTGGTTCTCATCCACCATATCCTGCTCCATCACATCGTCGTACATCTCCTATCATAGATCAACAAGGTGAGCATCGACCCATTCCTTGGTACCACGAACAAAGGATCCCGCTGAACAAAAAGGCTTACAGGCTCATATCCATCATTGCTACAATAGACAGAATTCAATGAGTACAAGTTTATGAGCGTTGACGATGGGTCAATGGCTACTCACCCGTAGTCGAAATCGTTCTCCTCGTGGTCTGACATTGTTCGATCGATAGATGCACACTTGCTTATTTTCGGGACAAGTGGATTTTTCTTTGCGGAGCCGTCACGAGATTGTCTTGCTCCACTCCCAGCTGCCGACCATCCACTTTACGCAGGTTACAAGGATTACGCTTGCATCAGAAAATCCCAGGGCATCAACAAGTCAATATCTTAATGTCATCTCGATTTGTTCACGCATGCTGGCTAGCGTCGACAAGGATACCACAAGTGATACTACTTGGTTGCCAAGGAAACCTTCTCAGCTTAGTGATGTGCAATGCTTCCAAATCACATTTACGAGGATCAGCCGGTGTTAAAGTAAATCTTGAAAAAGAGGGCATACTGCTCATAGTTGTAGCAATGAAACTTTATCTTCATCATAATAAATCCATGCATCCACACATACGGCACACGCTTATGGATCATTGTGTAGCTTTTATTTTGATAATGTGTTTTTAAGGGGAGGTTTGTTGCTGACCAGCAATCGTACGATTAGAATGGCAATGCTTGCAAGCACAAATATGGATCCCATGAATTGGATTGCAACCGTCCATGAATAATGACTGAAAAGAGCACCAGCAATTAGTCCACTTGGAAAGATCCCAATAGGCGCGAGAAGATAAATTAAGCTCACGCCTTTTTGTATTAGATGAGGATTGGCCACTTGAGCGACACAAGATGGAATCAGCCCAAAAAAGACACCGCCAGTGATCCCAAAGAGTATGCAATAAAGAACAAAGACGCCTATCCCATATGACAATTGCCAAATGACCATGTTGCATACTCCTGCATATAACAATAAGCCTTCGATATCAGTGCGCACTGAGGGGATACATATAGCACTTACCGCATAAAAATGTTGTTGTAAAGAGCGTGTTCATGACCCCAAGGCGATCAGCCACATACCCTATTCCAATTCGCGATATAGCATTCGTAGCAAACATAACAGAGACCAATCCTGATCCCAGGGTTGCACTTGCACCGATGTGTTGAGCGTACACGGGAACGAGCATAAACGAAGGATAAAATGCGAGGCATGTAAGAATGATGCCTATGGTCAAAAGAATGTACCGAACGCTAGCAAATTCAGGATCGATAAGTTTGTACCAATTTGGATTACGTTTGATATCAGAGGTAACGGGTCGTGTGAGCACTGTTGATATAGCAAGCAAAACAAAGATGATCGCACCCAAGACACGAAGGGTATTGCGGTAACCAAGGGGTGAATCAATCATCGCTTGTATTATTGGTGCCATTACCAGGGGCCCTATGCAGGCACCGCTTGCCGCCGCACTACACGCAAGTGAACGATTTCGCGAGAACCATTGTGCTGGAAGCACTGATGCAATCAAGTATACAAAACCACCACCAATATTGAAGAGGATTGCTTGGCTTAGCATGACATGATAAAATTTTGTTGAAAAGCTTGCCAGGATCAAGCTCATAGGGCAGATAAAAGTTGCTATTATGCAAGGCCATCGATAACTTTGAGACCATTGTATGAAGCCAACCGAAATGGGACCCATCAAAAAGCTCACACCAGAAGCCAGTGGACCTGTGAACCCTTGAATGGATGGATCAACTTCTGGATATACCTCGAGGTACCTATTTAGTATCGGTCGTAAATATGTATATGATCGATGTGTCGGTATACATGCATGAGTAAAGGGATACATATACTCACAGGACTTCGAAAACTCCCCAGTTTGAATTTATGCCAGCCAAAGAAAAGATAATCAGGAATGCCCCTAGCACGGTGAGCCATCCACGGCTACGCCATCCTTCATATTCTCCTCTTCCCTCCTCTTTTTCTTGATTGTACTGGATACTGCTGTGATCATCCGATGATATAGCTATTGAAATAGACTCGATGTTATATATAAATGCGTTCAATTACAATGATTCATGGCTGTGAAGGTTATGCATGCCCTTCAATACTTGCATATAATACTGTTATAGGACATTTTCTCGTCTTCAGCAGACAATGGTATACTATTGACATGTGCTGTTTGTAATATCTTCTCGTTCTTCTGCTTCATTTCTGATGCTTGAGGAGCAAAGAATATGTTGCAATAGAAAGAAAGCAGGAAAATTGACGCAATGGTAATCTCCTTTTTTTTCAATTATGTATCTCCTGCGATATGATGCATGGTGTTATCCAACATTATGCGCGGCGCATGCATGTGCGATGCTAAGAGTGTCTTTATACGTTCGTTCTTTGGAATGATGACGTGAGAATGTGGTCCGCATGACCCTTTTATGACACACATGGCTGGTATGTATGAATCCATGATAATCCTGGACTTGAATTTGGCAAGATCTCGATTGCGGAAGGCCATCATTGCCATGGAAACCTACACATCCAAATATGGAAATCGTTTCCGCCGCTCCTTATCAACCCCGAACAATCAGCCACTACGCGTGTTTCTTTCATCACCGAGATATCGTATACATGTGCAAGAGTGCCGTGGACGCGAAAGCTACTGCGTCTGATGGCCTACATCGATCTCGAAGACTCAATTGACTCAATTAAGGCTGCCTGCGTAAAGATTGCAGGTGGATCGTTCCGGGTCATACATTACACAACCACAACTTTTGGACGTGTCGTTCACCCATACCATAAATGCAAATGACAACATCTCTTTTTATTCTATTCTTATGCAAGCTTCTAGAGTGTATAACGACTCTATGCATGATTCTGACGCCTGATCATTGGTTCGACCATAACTCTGGGGAGCGGATTCCACGTTGGTCAAAGTCGTAGTTGCCCCTGACGTTGATGCATGTCATCCCATCGTAGAAGATCAAATCACTAAAAAGGAACAGGTGTTATGTACAGCGTATCTAATCAACGAAAAGGGGGAGGTGGGTTATGTCACTGAATGCAGCCTTTGTTCCATACACAATGAATCAATCAGACCCTTTCTCTTCCTTTATTTCTATAATGCAATGCACAAAGCCTCCACACAAGACAAGATCCAACGTAGGAAGAAGGAATAGACACTTGAAATGGTTGACCAACACAATCCCGTATTCGCTAAAGTAATCCTTTAATCCAACATCAATCACAAGACATCAATCACTAATCCAACATCAATCACAAGTGAGATAGACCGAGAGGTACAACGAATTGCTCCAATGGAGGAAATGTATCGATTGAGAAGGTTCTATCTTATGGGCGTGCATTGTGCGAAGGTGAATGGATGGATGTGAGGTGGTATTTGAATGCGTGGTGGCGAATCATATCCATGGCGTGTCAAAATAAAAGTTTGATGATGATGATTGAGAGGTTATGCAAGGATGATGATAGCAGCTGCCGTGGAATAGCGTGTAGAGTACGGTCATTGGATGTGTCAATCATTCAGGCTGATAGCACCAAGGTCAAGTTGACAATGAATACATAAGAACAAAGGCTCTTTTTCCACGCGTTGTATATACCCATATCCTTCCATCCCACGTACATACCAAAGCAATGTTCATATTATACTCATAAGCAATCGTATGTATTAAAGCAGTTTGCCACAAGTAAATAAAGCTGCTTCTATACAATGGCTGCTATCTGCTGTTCATGTGAAAAAGGCTGTCGACAAGTTGCCGCAAATAAAGAACGCTGTTTTGACACAATGGAGTAAAGACCTTGCTAATGGCAACTGCTGTAATGAATGCTGTACGATTGGTCGTGGTAGAGGAGTGTACAAGAAAACGTGTGGTGTCAAGAAAGGCGGGTGTGTTGTAGTAGGGCGCACACACCATGGACCTGCCATTCACTCAAAGACGCGCGAATCATGACAGCTGTAGGATTGACATGATGGGTTGAAGCAGGACAATCGTTCGCAGGAGGTAGTTGTATGTATTTGAGTGCACCAACAGTTGAGAATGGGAGGAAGAGGGAAGAAGCCGGGAGTGGAAGAAGTGGAAATTAAATGCAAGTTGAATTGACATTTCCTTGTTTGAGCGTTTTACAGTCAAATCCTCTCGGATCAAGAAAGCTGAAGGATGGACATGGTGAGCTGGAGCAGGACAATCGTTCACATGCATTGGATTGGGCAACAATGGAGAATGGGAGGACTAAGGTTATTAGCTGGCATTTTGAACTATTCCTAAATAGTGTACAAGTGTCATGCATCGCCTGTGCTGACTGACTCAAGTTACACAACACGTCCCTCTGCATCTTTTGCTCTGCCAGGGTCCAGCTACTTGACAATGAACAACAGCTCTTCCCGTTTCTCATCACTTTTCCCAAATGGGGAAACCACCTGAAAAACCATTATCTTTCGCAGCAGCGGCTGCTGCCCCATCCAAGGAAACCCTGACACTGTGGGGTGGGGGTCTAAACGGCTTCCAACCATGGTGCCATGCGGACAATGACAATGCATTACTTTTCGAGTTGACTAACACCAAGATATCCGATATTGCTTTTCGAAGTGCTGCACGTCAAGTTTTCTCCCCGAACGATACCTGTGGATTGATCATTCGCACCACCCACCGAAGAACGATAGCCGAAGTCGTCTTTAACTCCTACGCTTTACGAGAAAAACACATAGGGTCTAAAGTTACCCTCCCCAATGGCCAAATCATCGCAGGCCATGTACCTATTCCCGAACACTGGGATATCGTACGTGTCAACCTGTCAAATCTCCCAGCTGTACAACATCGTAAATTGACAACAATGATCCTCCATGCTCTTCAGCCCTATGGCCACGTTATTGAAGTGTGCATTCATCTTGAACAAGGTTGGTTCACAGGAACCGGTTACGCTATCATCAACAAAGCAGCAGATAACAGCCCTCGGAAACCCAATGCCACGAAGTCTCCTCCGCTACCTCTCGACCATACCATCCCCATCACTTCCGAAAAAGGAAAAGAAACAACCAACATGTATGCTACCTGGGCACAAATGCCTCTCTATTGCCGCTATTGCCACGCCTCTGGTCATTCACGTCTGTCATGCCCAAGTAAACCATCCCCCAGATGTTTCCACTGTCAAGTCCTAGGTCATATTAAGGCTATGTGCCCCTACCGCAAAGAAAGTCTACAGCAAACCCCCAAAGTATCCTTTACAGCAAACGCTCAACAATCGACTAAACGGCCTCGTGTAACACCCTCACTACCTCCGACATCCACAAAGCATGAACCTAAATCTATTGAACCATCTAAGTCAAGCCCACCACGTGCACCGCCCAACGTCCCTGCTTCTCCCAACCCCGCTCTTAAGGATCACAAACAGCCCGCCAACGCTATGGAACAAGACCCTCCCCCCTCACCCGCTACGATTAAACCCGATGATCTGCCTCCATCGCCACCAATCCAAGATGATGATGAACGTATGGAAGATACCTAGCAGGTTTCTTCTTCTTCCTTATTTTTTCTCTTCGTTTCGTCCTTGGGACTTATTATATTTAGTATAATCTCTTGCTCATTTCACCATCAATGCGTCATATATGACGCGGAATAAAGCAATACACTACAAAAAAAATTGACAATGAACAAGCTGAGGGTGGTCTTGGTATTATTAACCCGAAACATCATATAGCAGCTTTACAACTTCGTTGGTTGCTTCCCCTCCTTTCTTGTGACAACCCATTGTATCCCCCCACCCTTGCTGATCCTTACCTTCGTTTCTGTTTACAATTTTTTTGTGACACCTTTTCCCCCATCATTCCCATCCTTTTCCCTGAACGTCGTACTCACCTTCTTCAATCTTTGGGCCACTTCAAGATGCTCTTTCAAGCTGCTGACAAGTTACAACTTAACATCAAATGGAATCAAGTCTCCCTTCACACCGTCTTTGAATTTCCTCTTCTGAAGGTTTGCACCTATGATGGTCCTAATGATGAGCCTCCAAAGGTTAGTTGGAGGAACTTGCTGGTTCGCGATGTTTACGTTCTTGATCCACAACTACGTCGTTGTCGTGCTCGTACCCTTTCGGAACGTCGATCCATTTCC